TTCACAGGGCTCGCCATCTCCCAGCTACCTGCCCCCATCGGTTAATTAAACTGATTAATGATATTCGCTGTCAGAGGAGACTCACGAGAGGGAGATGAGGGAGCAGCTGTCCCTCTGCCTCTCCCTCATCGCATCACTGCATGGGAATGGGGCTGGGTAAAGCACCTGCTGAGGCCCTGCTGGCCCCCACTCAGCCCATCTCCAGCTCCCCATGTAGTCTGGCTCCTAGCCTGATTCAGCCCAGCTCCAGCCCCATGTCCAGCCTGGTTCCAGGCATACCTGCAGCCCTGGGGCACAAGGGCCCAGCCATGCTCTGGGGTTTGCAGTCTGCAGGCACTGCTAGGTGAGGTGATGCTTGATCTTTCATGGATCCTCTCACAAACTGCCCATTGTCTTCCAAACAAAAGGTGATGAGAGAAGGGAGACTCATCCTTGTCTTCACAGCCAGAAAAGCAAGATGCCACAATCTGAGGTTAAAAGCGAGCTGAGGCAGGAGCTGAACCACCATGGAGTGACTTTGTCCCAGCATAAACTTACCAGAGAACATCCTCAGCCAGACCAGTGTCTGCTCCAGCATTCAGCTCCAGTCAGGCTTTGTCATCCTGTATTTTGAATACCTGTTTTTCTTGTCTCCTCTCTGCAAAGCCCTCAAGGGTCTTTGCTGCATGGGCTCCTTTCCGGGCTGCAGCCAGATGTCAGATACACTGTAGATGAGTGCCTGGAAGTCAAGATCTTGAAAGATGTATGTTAACCCTGGAACAAACTGCTGTACTTTCATGTTCTGCTCTGAGTGAGAGACCAGAACTGGATGTTTTTAGAGAAGCCTTGTGCTCACTGCCTTCTCCCTTGAAGATCAGTGGATAACATAGCAAAGTCGAATGCAGCGCCCGCCCCAGCTGCAGTACGGACTTGTGCTGCAGGTCCTGCACAGACATTGTTTTGTTGACTGTAGATTTGTGAAGGAAGCCTCAGTGTGAACAAGGTACTTGTCTCCAGCTCCACCATCACGCTTTTTTGCCTGCCTGCCAGGTGTTACTCTCAGTCCTGATACAGTCCACCAGGAAGAAGCTGGCAGCCCCACACACACAAGGAAAGGCCTTCAAGTATGCAGTTCAGGTTTTAACCTGATTTCTCTACTTTTTTATCTCTCTTCTGGTCAATGACAGAGCATTCAGGGATCTGCCACTGTGCAAGGCAGGCAGAGACAAGCAGATGAGAGCGGGGGTATGGAGCAGCTGCCCCAGCCTGGGCTTGGGGTGGCAGCCAGGGAAGTCAGTATTCTGCTAATGGGAGGCTGTACTACACATAATTAACCTTCCTCTAAGGAGAATGGATTGCTCTGAAGGTACAAGAACTGTTAGAGGTTTCCATGTCTATAGAATTATACAAAGAGTTCATCTGAACTGGAGATGTATCTGAGTGTGTTTCTTTGTTTATTTGTCTGTTTGTCTGGGTAGAGCAGGGGCTTATATTTTATTTTATTTTGTTTTGTTTTGTTTTGTTCTATTTTATTTTATTCTTGTTTTTGGTGACCAACTTCTGAACATTTGCTCCACTACAATCACGACCTAGAAATCCAAATCAGATCCTCAGCCAGAAGGGACTCGGCTGTATAGTGACCATGGGATTTCACATCTGGGATTTCTCACAGTGAAGCAGATTAGTTCTCTATTCTCAAGATTTTGCTTCTCTCCAGCTGCCCCCATCACTGCACCAAACCTAGAGGGAGGGAAAAGCTGACACTGAGAGCCAGGAGCAGAAGAAAAATGGGAGCACTAGGAAAGCACAAGAAGAGGTGAAATGTTACAAGAGGACATAGGAGCTGCTGACAAAATTATTCACTCTGTTGCCATTCTGCCACAATCCAGATCATGCCACCATATTCCACTGTGTGTGAGATCACCATCAAAGCAGTTTAATTCTTTCTGCTGAAAATATTTTGTGCATTTGCTGGGAATTAGATGCTTTATATTACTTATATTCATAAGGATCTTGAATCATATATCACCAATCATGTTTCAGTCAACAGCCAGCAGCTTTTTCTCCCTACATGAATGACTGCCGAGAGAGCTGAGTGTCCTTTGCCACAGACCCCTATGGAAGAGGGCTGAGCTACTGCAAATTATTAGAAACTGACAGCATAGAGGGTACAAGTATTAGTTATCTTTAGCTGTCCTTTGGGTCTTCTGTATCTTCACATTTCCACCACAAGACAGAGGGGGCCAGCTGACAGATATTGTAGTACAGTAAATAAGCATCTCATTTTCATTACCCTGGTTCATTACCATTGTGCTGAGAATGTGAGCAAACATGGAGCAGTACAACAGATGGGTCCAAACAGCCCGTGGTTCCTCCACATAGAGATCTGCAAGACTGCTCTCTAATAGCACTGACACATTGCTCTATCCCATCGAGTTTATAGGTGCATGTATTTTTTTTTGCTTTTTAAAACAAAGACACACAGAAGCTCCACCTCTTAACTGTGATACATCTCTGTGCAACTTGAGGAATGCTGTCAGTACCTCCCCTTGGGGTACATTTTGAAAGCCAAAGCCACTGACACAGCCTGGAAGGCTATCGCATGCCTGGCAACGCTTACTTGTAACGGCATATTCCATGTAATAAGGGAGTAGGTTTGCAAGAGAAAAAAATCAACCTGGAACTTTTGACCGATCACAAACTACTGGATTTGAGCTTTTCAGAGAACGTGCATCCCAGTCCTGTAAGGATGAGACTGTGGTCACAGGTGGGATGTGAGGAATATTTACAATCAAATTACTTTCTTCTGTGACCACTCACCAAATACGTTAATGGTTAATTTGAATAGGAAAAAGGTATCTGCTATTAACCATCAACGATGCCACAAGGGCTAAGAAGTCATTTGTGTAAGGTGATCTCTCTCCTCATCATCATGCCCTTCAACAGCAGCGGCTTACAGCTTTCTCTAGGGCACATAGAGCTGTGATTTCTTTAAAACAAACATGTAACATCTTTTATCCACAGCTCATGCCTAAAGTAGAGAAGAAAAATGATTAAGCTTATTCATTCCAGTTTAATAATACTTTTGACACAAGCTGAAGAAATGTGATGACAGCATTCTCATGCTGTCCACACATAGTACTGATCTACTTATGGGAAATAGTGTTTTCCACCTAGACGGGATGCAGGTGCTATACTTCTAGCTCTATTCAACACAAACATGATGAAACACGATACAAACTCTGATGAAACTAGCACTCCTTCACCCAGGAACCAAACATAAACAGCATGGGAGATGTCTGGATACTGGAGACAGTGTGGCTTGAAAACATTGCACTCTCCATCACACTTCTATTTAGAAGATAAGGACGCTGACCATGTGCACAAGGAGTTTCTCACATCATGCACCCAACTTCTATCATAGGAAGCGATACAGACTGCTTGTGCCAGATTGTGGCCTTGAGAGGTCCTGTGAGCTCCTGAGAACTGCAGCAGCTCTACAGCAGGCAGCTGGGTAAGAGCTGGAGCCTTTTCTGCAGGAGGATAATTGTGCAGAGCTGTAATGACATGGTTTATTCACTCAGCTTCTGCTTGTCCCTATCTACTAAGAATATGTGTACATCAAGGAAAGGGTAAGCATACATAACGATTGTTCCTCGCTGACGCCATGCAACAGAAGGTGTTTCTCCCAGAAAGCATTACTCAGCGGACTAGATCACAACTTCTTGGTATCATAGTGACAGCCAAATGTTTGGTCACTACTGCAGGACAGAACCTTTCGCGTTGTCACAGCTTTGGAGGGCAGTTATAGCATAACTGACATCAAATGATAGCCTTAATAAACTTACTTCACCTTATGCACATATCTTAGCTTTGCACACGCAAACTCAGAAGTTATTTTGACCAAATACATAAAGCAGTGTTTCTCTTAACTGCTGCCATCAGTTGCAGGCTTTCCGTTACAGCCTTGGGCTGGCCTGCACAGCAGCTGTTGGGAGTATTATCTTGCATTCTACATGCTAAGCTTTCAATTAGAGCTATAGAAGAACCAAGGTGAACCGCTGGGTTTCTCCTTAGTCAATACTTATTTAATTCCATGGCGAAATTCAGCTTTCCGGGTATAGCACAAAGCAACATCTTTTCCAAGTTTGTTACTTAGGTTGACTTAATTCTACTTTGTTGCAAAACTACTGTATATGATCAGAGCTGTAGAACTCAAAACTGGCAAGAGGAACTACTTCCTGTGCAATCAGCTGTCTTTCAAGGCTCCGCATATACTGCCTCCTCACCCAGGCTGTTTTCTTTCATAAACACTATCAGTAGTACCAGTCATATAAATGGTGCTCCTAAATCCATTGAACACCAACCCTAAAGAAAAGTTCTCCTCTGGGAGAACACAGGCTCATTTTACTGAGAGCTTTCAGTTGCAATTTAGGGATAAACCATAACAGATAAATACTGAGCAGTAAGATACATGTTTCTCCTTGTGTGTTCTATCAAATCTTTTAAAAATATGTGGGTGTCTGTTTCTTTTAATTACTCGTAAATAGTTCCTGGCACTGACATTCAGAAATAGTTACAATTGCTTCATACGCTTACCCTTACAATTATGACAAATGTTTTTGGTGGCATTCTGTGACAATCAGGATGCAATGATTTTTGCTGCTAGAGCTTGGTAGTTCCATTCCCTTTGCTGTGCCAACACCAACACTGAGCCAGCCACATGGCAAGTTATTTCAGGGGGGTAGAACTTGCCAAAAATCCAAACAAAGTTAACAGTGTTTCCTCTGCTTAAACCATCTCACCATGATTCCACCTAGTGCCAAAACAGTCAGGAAAAACCTGGACTACCCACTCTGCTTATCCATCTCATACCACTGCATGCCAGTTCTCTGGGAAGGCAAAGTTCCCAGGCAAACTGATAAATGCTGACTTTACTAGCCATTCAGCAGTATCGTGTCCTGCTTCATCTGTCTATCAAGGTGACGTGAGACGCAGAGCAGACAAGAAGAAAGCACATCTCGGTGGAATTTACTTTTATTGAAAGGAAAGAAAAGTTTACATGTAGTTACAGGTTTTCCATCCATGCTTTCAAAAGGACTGGAAACAAAACTTCATCATTATTGCAATACCAAAACTCCGGGGTTTTGTTTGTTTTTAAGTGAACAGCAAATTATATAACTAATTGCTATGTTCAATAAATAGTTGTTTTCTCCTGCACTTATTAAGGGGAAATATTTAACTAAGCACAATAAAAAAAATCCCAAGACTTCTATGGTTTTAACTCCAAATATTTTCCACTGTGCAGCTATCCAGAAATTTATCTATAAAACGCAGCCTTAATTTTCAGTGTACAAGGATCTGTTTTCCAAGTCAGCCAAATACCCATTTTTTCCTCTAGCTCGAATATTCTACACTTAAAGGAACTACCTGACCAAAAAAAAAAAAAAAGAAAAAAAAAAGAAAAATCCTCTGGTTCATCACTACCTAAACAAATTTGTCTTTACAGTAAAACTCGAAGTTGTTACTTGTTTATCAAATTAAAATGTTTGCCTTTTAACAGAAGGATCAGTGAGTTACTTGGAAATGCAGGTTTATATCAAAGTATCTGAGTGTGTGCATTACATACGACATGCAAGCTTTAAAAATATCATTGCTCTCTTTTGATTAGCCAGGAGTCCGATTGTTTTAAAAACAAAATAGGAATTACTTCCAAAATGTATCAACACTTTGGGTTTTCTATTTAACTTTGCTTAAGATGTTATACTACACAAAAACTACAATTACGATATTTAAGAGTATTACATAAGGAGGGATGGAAAACAGGAATACTTCAACGGAAGATATGTATATTCTAAATGAACCCAAGTTTTCTAAAATAGCTGGATGGAGGTCAAGGAAGGGAAGGGGAAGGAGGGAAAACAGTAGGGAAGCTAAGATCTAAACTTTTTATTTAAAAATCAAGTCCTCAGCTGTTCGTTCTTCTGATCTTCAGTAGCGCCCTGGAAAAGAACAAAAGACAATATCATTACTATGAACTAAGAGCACACACACACTCCAGCATTGCAGCACCCAGGTTTTTTTGCTTTCACGTTCAGAACTCTCACTGATCAATCAGTACTGTAACAAGTGTCATACCAGCCCAATTCCATTTATTCAAATCATGTTGACTTACTTGGGCTATAGGAACGGGATCTTGACCGTGACCGGTACCTGCTATAGTAAGGCGATGGTGATCGTCTCCTTTAAAGGAAATTAAAAAAGAAAACAAACAATCATAATGAAAGAAGCCTCATTCACATTACTTCTACAGAACATTATCATTTCCTCAGCACTGTAAGACTTGACCTGCATGAATGACTCCTGCTTGATTTGGCTGTGGCTTACAGTTATTTAACAAATGCTTTTATATTTCTCTATCTGATGTGTTTAAAACCTGATGCATCTCTACAGCACGTTTGATAAACTCTCACTAGCTCTGTAAACACCTAAGTGCTTTTACAGATGCCTACCATTCTTGTTGTACAACATTCTCTGAAACTAGATAACTTTCAAAATGGTCAGATATCTGTGAAATGTCAAGCATCAAAAACCCCATCTACAAATAACCCCTTCTTCAGCAGCACTGTTTGTCAGCTGTTCCTGGTACTATATACAGTATGGAAGAGTTCCCTTTTATTCCTGTCTGCTACATTTGGAGGGTATACGTTCTATACCTTCTCCAGCTAGCAAAATTAACCTCTCACACAACCCATTAACAAGTAACTGCACTACAGAAACACTGAAGATTACAAGTACTTTAATCTTGTATTACAAAATCTACTGTAAGGTGGCTCTCAACAAAGCAAGCACGCACGAGAAATCTTGGTACAAATGGAGTAACATTTCTATCATCTAAAATTGACAACTTTGTTTTCTTCCAATTCCACTGTTTTTAGAGAAATACAACAATTATTTACCTATATCTGTAGTCATATTCTTCATATCTGTCATACCCTCTGTCATACCCCCTGTCATAGTAAGAGTCACGGCGCCGACCTGCTCCACCACCACCACCTCCTCCACTGCTGTTAGGAAAAAATAAGATGTAATTCAGGTTATATTCTCATCAAATTAAATCATTCAAAAACCTTTTTCAGCATTGTAAATCAGACACCGAAGACAAAGTCCTTAAACAATCTAATAATTAAACATGTAAACACATTCCAAACAAATAACCCTTAACACCTCCTCCCCTCCCAAAAAAAGGAAAATACCATCAAGACTTTCAGCCTAGATCTCATTAAAATTGAAGGTAAATGGGCACCCTGGTATTTCAGAAAGCTAAGGGTGCATTAGCTGACTGCGCTGGACGAAACTTTCAAAAAAATAACATATTCAGGTTTTTCTGAATAAAAATACAAGAAACCACAGAAGGACTTAAATCTGAATCACAGTAACACACTTTATATTAATACCTTTGTGCGGAAAAATGTTTAATTCTAAAATGTAAAAATAAAGTAAGTAGTCTGCAGTACAGTTTCTTCAACCAGACTTCAGTCTTTCCATTTAAATCAATTTTAGTCCCACCACAGGAAATGAGGACTCCTTACTGCGTTGGCCTGCCCATGTAGATGCCTGGGGTGGGTGTATGCGCTCTCTTGGTGATGGAGTAATCCACCCGAATCCTCCTGCCATCCAGCTCCATTCCGTTTGCATGCTCCATTGCCTGCGGGAAAGAGAAGGAATGAGGACATGAAACCTTCGACCTCCTATGGAAAGCTAGGCACAAACCACACTGATTTCTGCCAGACCCAGACCAACAAGCCCCAAGCCGACTCTACTTAGGCTGGCTACTAGTGCCCCTCTGTGGTGGCTTGGCCCCAGCCCCCAGCCCGCTTGCCGGCAGCACTTTCAGGGCTGCCGAGCGCCGTGGCACGCAATCAATCCCTTTTTAAGAAAGCACAGGACCATCCACTAGCACAATCGCTTCCCTTGTAGTAGACTTTGCCTTCTACCCATCAAAAAGGTAAATAAAGTCAAAACAGCTTTTCCTGAAAACCACATCTTTCCTACCATCGGCTCTGACCCAGAGGGGATGGGCGGATTCAAAGGCTGTGCAAAACAGTGGCTTCCTGTAGGGTGCATATGGCCGGATTACTGCTAGTCGGCTGCCATTTCATGCTCTCCCAGCCTCCTGCCATCTCCCTTACAAGGACCTACTCCAGCTTAGTAAAATGGCGGGTTCAGCCTACATGGATACCTAATTACAACCTTCCTCCCCAGTCGCTCTCACAATAGCGGCCAGCCAAAGCGATACGCACAGGGGGCTGCGCCAGAGAAGCCCGCGCCTTCAGAGCTGCTCACAGCCCGTGCACGCGCTCACTGGGGGTCCTACCCCGCTCCTTTCAGCTTTGAATCAATACAATGGCCTTTCGCAAACCCAAAATCATGCAAGCAGTTTTTCCAAAGGACCACAGCAAACTTATGAGAATTATACACAGGGAACGCTAACTTGAAAAAAATCATTTCACAAATAACTGATGTTGGACTTAACTGTTATTAAAATTTTCGAAGTAAATTTTTGGTTTTTGCACCTTCCATCTCCACTGCCCTAAAATCTCTAAAATACTACTTTACAAGGCAGCTTGTCCTATATGTATTATTTTCATTTTTGGGACAGATATACAATCTTGAGTTTAACTCAAGATTTTTTTATACTATTTAGCTGAGACTCAATTCACATCCCCAGCTTATGAACATGCCTCTGAGCAGAGCAGCTTTTCTCTTTTTCTAAAACAACAAAAAAAAGAGTATAACAGCTGCTCAAAAATTCACTTCTTACCAGCTCCGTAACAGGAACTGTTCTGAATTCACATCTAATCTATACAGAGGAGGACACAAAACTAACACCCACATTATTTCAGTCTGTGGCTCCAAACTGGAAGTGACCGAGCTATCTATCTCTAGCCTATTTATCCACACTTATTGTGCTTTAAGAGTTCTGTTTACATCTGTGCTATATCGCCACCTAGTGAGGGCTGTTCCTACACAGCAACATCACATCTAGGCTAACTGCAAGGCTGAGTCAAAGAGCACATCACATCTCAACATATACGACAATGTTTTCTCAACAAAACTTGTTCATTAACTTCAGTTTCCTAGTCTTTAATTTTTTACATCTTGCTGCACAAGGATGAATGAAATTAAAATAATTCTGTGCACTCATACTGTGAGTTATTACAAATCCAAAACAATGCTGCAAACAAGCTGGTGGAAATACAAACTTTATGATTAAAAGCATCTTTCTAGAAGTTTGGCAATACACAATGCATCCTAAAAAGAAAGGAATTTTCTGCTTCGTGGCACTTTCATGTCTGATCCCCAGCATGCAGTGAGCTGACAGACAGCCACCTGAAACCCAGATCCATCTGGCACTAGTTTCATTTAGCTAAAAGAACAAACACCTCTTACAGGAGGAAAAAAAAAAAAAAAAAAAACAGTTCTTTGACATAGGGAGTGGTGCAGAGAAGAGCAAGATAACAGCAAGACAGCTAACAAGTTACTTTTGATAACAAAATCTGATGGTTCATCGTCACAGTACTGAGAAATGTGTTACATTTCAACAGATGAAGATTAGCTGATAGTTCCCAGTCTGCATGGAACCCAGAAGCCCCGGTCACAATGTCTGATGTCTTACTCAATGGTAAAACTTCCACTGTATTTGCTTTCAACAGCTGTTAGCAATAACTGATAACTATAAAGTTTAAGTTAGCCAAAATGTTAATAGATACATAGGCACATGAAGCTTTCCACGGTTATCTTCACCCTCAAGCTGCAAGAAAGCAACAACACTGATAACACCACTCACATTCAGTCCCTCACAACTGCAGCTTACACACCTTCACGCCCCAAAGCCAAGCACTAACTAGCTAATGAGTGCTGTGCTTCTACCAGCACTTGTATTTTAAAACTATTTCAGACATGTGGCATCACATATTTGTTTTGAACACAGACCGGAATCATAAATGTTACTCATTTCATTTTCTCCTCAAACTAAGAGCACCTTATAACTAAATCTGGGATTTTACAATTTTGTTAGAGAAGCGTGTTTCATTCAGAACAGATCTCTGCTCGCTTTTCCTGCCGCTTTTGTACGTGCACAGATGCAGAGCATTTAGATGCCCAAGTGAAAAGACATTGCACACTTGGGTCAACAATGCAAGAATCATTCTCAAATGCTGTCTAGAAATCAGAAGTATATTTTCCAGGTCATCAAATAAAACATGCTGAAGAAAAAAAAATCATATTATATTGGGATTTAGAGGCATATAATACCCTCTCAGGAGCCTTTAACTGACAAATCTATTTTTATTCCAGCCTGGGTTTTCTTCCAAATATCTGAGCACTGTTAAAAGACTAGCACAGCTTTTGCAAGAGGACAGTAAGCAAGCAAGCAAACAGGATTCACATGAACATGCACTATTAGCTTTGGCTGCAAAATGCAGAAAGACTGACTTCATACCAGTTTATATACCTGTACATGGAGGGTTAGAAACAGAATAAGACTTGGCAACAACACAAGCAGGAACTCAATCTCAGATTACAGTTTTAAACCTAGAACAATCTACCCTTAACAATAAAGGTCTTTTGAATTACTACTCGTAAGCTGTTAATTTGTCAAGATGAGCAGTTCCCAAACTACTGGGTCATGACCTCCATCGGCTAGAAACAGAAAACACTGAATTTAACAGATTTCAACTCATTCAATGTGTATTACAGTACATGGCATTTTGTAAATGTCCAAGTGCTTACAGAAAGTAGTCTGAATATATTTAAATAGCCAAACACGAACATCTTATGTTACAACTCATTTTAAAAGAAATCTATTTCGAGGATCTAAAAATCTTATTTTCTTTATGGCCCCAAATCCTTCCTACGTTGTACTTAACATCAACAGTAAAAAGATCACCTCTACTGAATTGCGGGTGAAGCATGGGATGAACAGACATTACTGTTGCTTTTTATTTTTAAATATAATCAAAATACTGGCGATAACTTTTGCTTTTTCCCATTTTCTGAGCTTTAACATCTACTGATATCCCACGGTCTCCAGGAGCCTTAATTCCAGGCTTACACAACTCCAATTCCAAACATGGGAGATGTTCTCACGTTCTTTTCTGGTTTACCGAGAGTCCTCTTGATGCTGAAAACATCACTTAAGGCAGTGGGAGAAGTTTTGGTCAATAACAACTCTTCTAAATTGCTCTGCCTGCACCACAGAATGTCTTGCACAAATGAACAAAGAAACACACAAAAACTTGGAAATATTATAATCTTAGGCAACAAATTATGTCAGAGGTTCAGCTGTCTTACTTGTCAATATACACTACTTCAGAAAAGTGTTCTGAAACATAGTCAAAACTGTAAATAGCACGTAAGTAGCATGAGAAACTGAAAATTCCATATTGCCAACAGCTGTTGTAGTTAATGCTTCACAGATGAGTTCCTTGTACAGACAGTGCATTCATAGTAGCCTCAGTTTTAACAATTACTAGTTTATTGTGTGACAAGTGACTGAAAAGCTGGAATGAAATCCCTGGTAAATGTAGAATCACCTCCATACAACTCCAAGCCTTTTACTTGTGATCCTCTTATTACTGACCCAAGACAATCAATCTGCCTCAAAGGTGGTTTTTTTTTTTTTCCCATTCTAATACATAGTTTGCAACACAGCATGTATTTCTTCTGTAAGAAGACAAAAATCCTGAACTACTAACATGATGGACAAGTGAATAACTTAGCTAAAACAATGCAAAACAGTTCAGTGCTAGCGTTGCAAAACAAAGTACATCACTCTGCAGAAAGAGGTCTTCCACAGAAGATTACAAGTCTGGCTCTTCACACAGCAATGCTGTACTCCTCATGTGTGGCTCTGAAGTCTTAGCAGAAGGATGATAACCTAAGACAAGACCTTGCAACACCAGGGCAAAAACAATACCAAATACTACTTCTCTTGCTTTCAAGAAACCAAAATGTAACTTCACAAACAAGCAAGACACAGTAACACTTTCACCAGCTCAATATCTGATGTGATTTTTAAGGAAGGTTACTAGTGACAACAAAGAATCCCAACAGGATTTCAGCTGCAAGAGAACCCACACAATACCGCAGCTGACCAAAATGCAAAGTTTAAAGACAACTACTCACAGCTCTTTTGGTGTCCGATCTGAATATCAACACTACTTCAAAGCACGCCAGCTTAAAGGCTTTCTCCAGCACCCTTCTGAGAAGGGTAGAAGTAAAGATGATGTGAAATCTTAGTGATTATCCCCTCTTGCCAGGGTTTTTCTATACCTATTTAATCCATCTATGGCTGCTTTAAAAAGACAGGAATTCCACTCCACTTCTTACCTGGAGTTTTACATTGCCTTTACTCAGAGGTTTGGTTTATTTTATTGTTTCTCTAAAGAGGAAATGTATTTACCTAAAACAGAAGCAGCTCAAGTAACATCACTTTTAGCACACCCAGCTTTTCAGATCTTACCCATCTTCCCCAAGGATTTATACCACGCCTCTTAGTCCTCCTCCAGGGCCTGTCAGTTTCACGCCTATAGCTACGTGCTCTTTTCCAACTTACTGCCACTTCAAATCTACCCTCATGATCTGTGAAATTAAGTCGAATGAAGACATTTTTTCTCCCCAGTGAGCTGATGGGAGGAGGAGGAGGGACGAAAAACCTCCCACCACTTGGAACTCACAAAACTGAAATAATACAGCAAAGCAGAGATGGGAAAAGTTGTTTACATTCCCAGTTACTTTAGTTCCTACTTACAGTGCTTATCTTTATTACTGCATTTTTGCTTCTGCATGTAATATCCCATTTTTTTTCTCTGCATTCCAATTTTGTAGTTTCTGCCAAAGTAGCTTCATACTAAACAAATTACTTCATGGTATTTACACGGAACATTTTAAAAAATGTATGGTGTCATGCATGACCACTGCCAATGACAACTAGGAAAAAAGTAGTTCTAAAGACATGAAGTTTTAAAACAGACAAAACTAGCACATGAATGCTACAAAACAACATGCAAGTATTTTGGATACTGACTGCACTACAGAACAGTCACAGCTTCAGAATTCCACCAGGCTGCAAAGAAACACAAGACTAAGAAGTGAGAACCACAGAGAGGACTAAATATGAATAGACAGCAATCCACCCCATTAACTCCTCTCTTAACGTTTTAAGGTGATACTGGGGAAACAAAGGGAAGCTGAAGGAAGCTTCCAGCTCTTTTCACTTGCTACACTTCTATAACCTGCAACAATCACACACATACAACTTCTATGCTTGTCATAAACTGGCTCACTGTAAGTCTTGTTTCATCATCTACAGCTGGTTGCTCTATCACAATTGCTTGTACGATCACACCAGAAATAAATTAAAGTTCAAAACTGCATCTAATCCAACTAAGTCATTCATGACTTTAAGTAACATCAACTTCCATCAGCAGTTTTCATTTTTAAGTTACTGACAGTAGGTCCACAGCTGTCATCCACACATCCTGCAGTGCTAAGTGACAGAAGTCATTCCCACACATCATGAATATACTTTTACCTAGTGACAACAGAATCAAACAGCATATCTGAAACATCTGTCCATGTTTGTGGATAAACAGTCATGTGTTAAGTCTATCCATAAGAAAGGAAGAGATATCTCCATGAAGAAGGTATAACATTCAAGTCAGTAGCTGCAATGTTACTAAAAAGAAGCGTATGCTTAAATACCCATGCTGATTGAAATATAGGGACTTTTTTATTTCGTCAGAACAAACAGAATACATCTATTTGTTTAACAGCAAACTCATAAATCTTATTAAATTAGTAAGCCTTGCTGCATCCTTATACAGGTAAAAAAAAAATCCTAATGTAGTGAACCATAATGCAGACTGCTGTTCAGATTCTTTGATTGCTTCCTTACACATCAATTATACTAATGGACACTTAGTCCCGACACACACAGCTATTTGTCTAACTAGCCACTAACTCAAAACAAAAACAGTCTCAAATGCACAACACAGTTCCAAAGAGAATGGTGAAGAAAATATTTAGAATTTTGATAAAGAAAGTTATTTTCAAGAGTTAGTTTTCAAAAAATTTGAAAAATCCTATAACTCTTCTATATCTGTCTGAAGATTTTCATCTTGAAATAACAGATTAAGAAATCAAATTGCCAAATTTATTAGTGATTCAATACAAACAACACTCCACCCTCAAACTTCACTTGAGCATCTGAACATCGAACTTGTGTTCTTAATCTGTTTAGAAGTGCCGGATGGTTTGAAGAAAGCATTTGAAATGGATTTCATAGAGAACTTCTGTGAGTGAACACACACAGAATTTTTTACAAAGATACTTGTGAAGACAATACACAAACAGTACACTGATTTTTACGTAGTAAATGATGAATTTACCTCTTTAGAATCATCAATTCTCTCAAAATAAACAAAAGCAAATCCTCTTGATCGTCCAGTCCGCTGGTCATACACAACATTGACACCAGTCAAAGGTCCATAACGAGAAAAGACTTCACGCAAATCTCTCTCAGTGGTGTATAAACTGAGACCAAACACTCCAAGACATGTATTTGGATCTGGATTAGCCTGGTAAGATAAGAGGTTAACACCAGTTAATAAAAAACAAGTCATGCATTTACACATATACATTTCTCAACTTTTTATGAAGAAAGTTAAGTATAGTTCATTACACATTTTAATACTTCAAGAGTTAACATTTCCATCTTAAGGTACTTTCAAAATGTAACGAATTTCCTGATATTTATTTTAGAAAAAAACAAGGGTAAATTTCTCAAGTTGTACTGATAGTCCACTTCAGAAACATGAGGTATTACAGCTACAGAAAAGATGCAGCAAACAGGAAACTGTTTCACTAGTATTTCTCACTTGAATCATCAACAAGATGCAGACAGGATATTTAAGGGTGCTAAAAACGGGCCAGTCATCCCAAACTCCCTCCCATCTTTAACATTCCCACAAGGTCACCAATGATGCCAAAGGTGGACGCTGCCTCTATTTTCATACAATAAACACACTTGAGCTTGTCAGCATGAACAGCTGAACTTTAACTCATCTTCTACCAGAACTGCATACTTCCTTCTCACCTCAACATTTTCCCTTCAGATACAGCAAAGGTTAGTATTTAAATTGAAAATTTTCTCTCTGCCCCATAAAACTGGATCAAAATTACCAACTTAACTACACAGAAGCAAATACTGGTTCTATCGAACTAATTCAGAAGCACGTGCACTTGTTTAGAACAAGTCTCTAGACCCCTTTAACATGATGCAAGAGATTGAACTATTTGTACACTTCAACTAAAGTAAGTCAAACATGGAATTGTACAATTGCTCAAGGTAATGCAATTCATCTTTTTATTAGGTTCAAAGTTTCTCTACAAGCCTCAAGAATTAAGCCAATCCCTAAAGGGCTACCTTTATCAACATAAGGGGAGTGTTTTTTGTTAGCTTTTTTCCCTTTCAGTTAAGTTCCTGGCACCTGCTACACTAGAATACTTTAAAATAAGAGCAACAGGCATAGGGATTTCATTTTTTCCTGCTGAAATTCTAATGGGAAGTTAACAGCTGAAATTTCTGTTTCAGTTTCAGATTTTCAGAGCCACTAGTGCACAGTAATTTATGCCTCAGAGCTTCCCTTTCATTGTGACTTGAAGAATGAAGAGGCTTCGCTCTTCTCACATGTTCTTTTATGAACTCTGTTCTGGATACCAAGATGACAGTTTTTAGATGACAATTTTGAAGTAAAGCCTTCAATTTCAAAACTTCCATAACAAAGGAAATTTCTGCTTTAAAGCACAGACAGGAAGCAAGCTGACACTAAAGGCTGAGCCAAGGTATTCCATGGTCCCTAGCTGAAATCTAAACTTAAAAAAATAACTAAATTAAACCAAAATTTTGGAGTATGCACATAAGTACCTGTATTTTAACCCGCAACATGCAGATTTTGATATAAAGAGCTCTGGGAGTCAGCATGCAAAACATAAGGACAAACATGCCTATGACCTGTATGCTCAAGTTTACTCTGCAAGGCTCTGCTTAAGGCTTAAACTCCTCTTCAGGAGAACCATAGCATTAGTTTGCCAGCTGTGACTGAGATAAGCACATCTTTTATATGCAGGAGGTAAAAAGCATCTGGATAATATTTTTCCATGTAGAAAATAGGGGCATCATACACAGTTATTGTCACAAGGATGCTGAAGAACATTAAAAGCTTTGCTCACCTGCTTTCACCTGAGCATGTTCAATTAGCCCATCAGTTTCTTGTATCAGGAAATCTGCAACTTAGCTTAGCTCTTGTTGCAAGAATCAAGATTTAACTCAACTCTCTTTTTAAAAGGATTCTCCCTCACCAAAAAAAGAGAAGACTGAACAGAGAAAAAATTATCTCACAAAGTTCAGTAAACAAACCGTATTCCACACCACTCCACTTGCTATTAAGAGCAGAGCATAGGTTCAGCCAAGGAATTCTCAACAAGGAAGAGGTCTGGATGACTCATCAGTAAAGCATCTCCTGAGCACTGCTACAGCACAACTCTCATTTTTCTTAAACAGGAGCACACTTCCAAATATTTTAAAAACTGACAAAAAAACCCTCACAGCTTGCTGACAAACTCTCCTCATCTACCAAGACACAGAAGAGGGATGAAGAATGTGATTTACCTACACTCCCATCCTATCTTTCTGTATTTTTGTAATGCTACATTTCAAATTGGTGTGGATTTTTCCACTTTCAGAATTGTGTTCAGGAGCCCATTGTAAAAAATAGTGGACAAAATATTTGCCTATTTGCTTTTTCTATTTGCCAAATTTCAAACTTCAGTTTTAGGACATGAACTTCATACAACTCCTCATCACATTAAATGGCACAACAAAAACTGGCAGTCTGCCACTTTAAAGTTTCAATTAAAGAGTTTACATTTCTTTTTTATTCCCCCTCATTTAAGGCTATTTAATAATTTAGTGGCATCAACATCCACTGAAACACAAGTGCAATGAGACCTCACAATCTTTTACATCACTGCTTAGACAAGCCTCTACACACAGTACTCCTCAGGATTGCTCTCTTATACATCCTGACTCAAAATTAAACCTAATTACCCTTTCTGAGATAAAGAGTATCAGTCTGTGCAACCTAAGCAACAGAGACAGTTGCATCATTCATCACTAGATAGATTTCAGTGGAGGATGACAAAAAGACACCTTTAATATCACATTTTTTGTACTGCCTCCACAGACCCAGGTCAACAGAAGTTGCAAAATTGTCACAAATTTCTCTGGTGTCTGTAGGACCTTGCATTTAAGGAATTCAAATCTGCTTTATTTTGTTTTGACATTACTAGAACTACTGTTCAGAATTAGTGTGGAACTCATTTTGAAAAGAAGTTTCATGTTTCACAGAGTCACTGAGTCATTTCCAAGAAAAAAAACCAAAATTTATTTAGAGCAAAACATCCTAGTATTTCTAAAAGTAATAAAGTAGGTTCATTTGTCTTTCACCAGGAAATCTGCTATGCCTTCTGAAGTTCAGTTATTCCTTCCAACTTTTCAAGACGTTAGATTCATATTTACTACATCATGATTAAACACCAGCAATGATCCACAAACAGCTTAACAACAAATTCTGCTTCACAGCAGCTTAAGACTCTGTACATTAACTAGCACTGGTGTAGTCTTGCTGTCTTCCACACACTCATCTTCCTTCTCACATTGGTATTCTCTGGTCCTAGTGAGGTGCTTCACCATGATGAGCAAAACTAGTTAATAAATACATTCAGGGAAACTAAACTACATCAAAACTGAAAGTATCACAGATATCACCAAGGAAGAAGATTTGTGCAGCAACATTTGTTTTGATTGGCTTGAAGCAGTGCAAAAACAGAACCTAAGGTGCTGAACAAGGAATGACTTTGGGGGAAATCTCTCAGAATGACATACAAGAAGTATCTTGCATCTTAGTTGGTTTACTTACACTTCCTATTCTGCCACAGAAAGACTATATTTATTTCCCATAAGAATTCTCAGAGGTCTACTGGTCCTTTTCATAACTTCTTTTCTAGCTTATTAAGATTTACACATTAGCTAACAGTGCATGGGTATATACAAGTTAAACCCAATTCATTATTTAGAGGTATAAAATCACAAGCAACCTTCAACATTCATAACAAAGTCTATAACAAGAACACTTCAGAAGTTTGTTCCTTTATTTCTCTAGTCCATCTTGTAGGTATCTACACTGTTTTGTTTTGTTTCATTGTATCCAGAGAAGATCTTATTTTGTGAAGGGTGCATATGCTTGGAGCAAAATAAAAAAGTCCAAATTTAGAGCCAAGGGAAGTAGACACTAACAATCTGCCTACACTGAACTGCAATGGTATGGTTTTTGGCATCTGCCCTGTCTGTTAACTTGCACAAATAGTAAGGGCCCAGTGGAAAGACTTTGCTGTTTCCAACCCATTTTTTCACTCAAAACCCAACTCCCCGATCTTCCACTGACAAGACAGTAAATCACATTCAGCCTGCAGTTAACTCGGATTACACTGGTATTAAAGCAGCAACCGTCTTGTTAATACTCAGCCTTGAACATGACATACCCTGCTGCCTGTGTGCCTTCTTCTGTTGGACATTGGAGAATGACTACGGCTCCTTCGACGACGATATTCTGGCGTGTACGATCTGCTTCGAGAGCGTCTCCTATGGGAATGAGAATGGGAATGGGATCTGGAGCGAGTGTAACGTCTGTGCGAGTGTCTTCTGGACCTGGATCTTCAACAAAGAAAGTTTTTGGTTAGATCATATGCACATAAGCATATAGAATTGTAAGCCTTACTTTTCCCAGAGAAAAACCTCAAATTCATTTCAATTCTGAGGCTCACTACAATTAAAATAGTTGTTTGAAGTGAAAAATATTTTAAGATACATTTAGAGAAGAGAGGCACACACTCCTCCCCGTACTCTGAGGGAGCTCTCTATTTTACAGCTCCCTTAAAAGGGAAAGCTATAGAACTTTGCCTGTACAGGTATACACTGACAGGGAGATGAAGTGATTCAAAAATGAATTTAAACTTTAAAACCCAGGTAAATCAAGAAGGCACCCATGCCCAACTTTAGCTGTAGTTTTCAGATTTTGTTTTTACAAAGACTCACTGTTTCAGTGAAGAAATGTCAAGAACTGCCCCGAGCAATTATCCTTCAACATTTCCAGTAGTTCCAATACAGAGCTAACCCTTACCTAACACAGGCTACTTTTGCTGTGGTTTTCGCTTGAGTCTTCCTTCTAACCTGCACGAAGGATGCACACACAAGACCCTCCCCGTAAAGATTTTTGAGCAAAGAGGACATTAGATTTCAAATACGTGAACTGTAACCTCTTTTCCCTTCTCAGGAATGGTTAAATCTTTTTATTTTAGCCGTGACTTCTACACAGCTACTCCTATTTACATTATTTCCTCTTTATACACAAACGCTTTATTATTAAGGGATCTTCCCCCAGTCTTTGCCACCAACATGCAAATTAACGTGGCCTTCTTAACACCCTCTAAAAAGTTTGTAACTTTTACAAGAGGAAAAAAAATCTCAGTAATGTAACAAAACAATGAACAACAGCAATAACACTGAATCAACTTGAACTATTTCCCAGACATACCTTGATTTTGATCTTGACCTAGAGTGTGATTCAGAATGTTTGGAAGCTCTCGATGGACTGCGAGATCCTGACCTGCTCTCCGATTTTACACGAGCAGGACTCCCAGCTGGGGATTTTGACTGGGAGCGAGACTCCTAACAAAAAGAACAGTATTACAAATGGTATTGGTTGTATAAATGCCTAACTCCTAACATTTAAAGTACAATAATTCTATTATATTGATTGCTCCTGAAAAACAAATGGTTAGGGAATACCCTCCAGAACAAATTTCATTTTGCTAGCCCACTGTTAATATTGTATGCTTTCCTCAAATAGATCCCTGCTCAAACCAGATCACCAGTTCTCTATTAACTAAGTAATCATGCAAATTCATCTACAACTTGATCATACAGACACTGGAACATAAACCATACATTTACTTAACCTAGGACCCATTCATTCTTCCAGATTCTTTTAATTCTACTTCACTCTTGCTTTCTACTTTTCTTCATTCTTCATTGAGTTTTTCATTTTTCATACTTCGTGTATTCTTCCCCAATTCAAACAATTCATTATAGCCTTAAAAAAACATTCAAGTGCTTCTATCTGACCAATCTTCTGTTCAATTTTTTCCCCCATTCAATTTTAATTTTCTGATCTTTAATACTTTTCATTAGCCTTCTTTTATCTTGATTTATCTTCCACATTCTTGGAAAAAACTCTTCAATTTCTTCACGAACATTAACCTTAATGGAAAAAGAACATTTAGTATATTTAAGCACGTGGGGATTATAAAACTCTGCTGGAGTTCAGATGTTATCTACCAAATTGAAAAGCCAGCAGGTAAAAGTGCAAGAAACTACTTTATAAAACAACTTTTTTAAAAAAGCTTTAAAACTGTATAAGTGTCTACAGTCTAACAATAAGCTTACTGAGTTCTCAGTGTTTTACTGTATTTTCAAAACTACCCTCCTCCCCTTTCAAACTTGTTATTCTTTGTAAGATACACAAATGAACTAAAAGACTACTTAGCACAAATATATTAAAATATTGATACCAGCAACTGAATTTCCCCCCTAGAAAAGCAACTGTTTTCTCAGTATTCAATATCCCAAATTCTACTCCTACACATTATTACTAAGACACTCTCAGTTCAATAGAATGGCCAACAATTTCCAGTCAAAATCTATCTATGCACATACTTACTCGCACAATACATGCACATAGATATATGCAAGACAAATTTTTCTTCCTACTTTCTCTTCCTCATTGTTATCCTGTTTTTCTTGCATACAACTTAATCCACAAAAAAAAAAAGACATAATACAACAGTTCAAAGCAATCCAATGAAATACACAACTTTCTTGTTTTCTTGTATGATAGTGCACACGAGAAAAACTAAGAAAACAAGTAAACAAAGAGCAGGTTAGGATTTCCTCACACTTTAGTATGCAGCATTTCTAGGGAGCTCAGCAATAAAAAAGAATGGAATACTACACATATAATCTGTATGTATCTATAATATCTACATCATCACAAAAAATTGTGCAGAACTCTTAACAGAAAAAAGCATAGCAAGTTCCCCTCCCACAAGTGACATTTCACTCTTATTTTCATCATTTCCCCTCCTGCTTGTCCACAGAACGTATTTCTCAATTTATTTATTATTCTTTAAATTCAGATTCGTATTTCCTCTCACAGTTAGCACTCTGAACCCAAATCATTTTTCAAAGGGCTCCTTCCTCGCATTTCTAGACAATAAAAAAACGCACAAAATGGAACTTGAAAGATGTCTTACTAACAAGCATTACAGTTACACTACCTGTTGCCCTTCACCTCAATGAAAATGACATGGGATATAAGGAGAACATCACTTACTGGGATGACAGGCATGTTAAACTTACCAGCAAAGGCTACACTGACATGAAAACCACAGCATTAGAGGTTTCTCTTATTAAACCAGCTAACTGCTGATCTAGCTACAAGGCTGTCACAGAAATAGGAGGAAGGATGCACATTTCAATATTACTGAATTTTGATGTTTATATTTTTACATCTAAAATTGACTGTTCACAAAAATATATATGTGTATAAATATATACAAACACATACATATCCTTTTAGGGGCACTAATGTGATTTTTAAGAACCTCTCCTCAATGAGAGCAGTAGCTCTCATTTTCTCTTTTCTCTGGCAGTTACTTCCACCGGTCCCTCTTCTCCCCCCAATAAGAGTGATCAGCAATACAGAAAAGCATTTAATGCATTCATTGTCAAGATATAAATTAAAACTTCCAATAAAAGGCAAAGAAGTGAGGATATTATATTGCCCACTCTTATTACATTTGGAAGATCACTTCTTGAACAATAAGAATGATAGAAACAACAAAAAGAACAGCAGCAGCAAAAAAAAAAAAAAAAGGAAAAAAAGTCACGTCACAGATCTGTTGGGAGGTACCAAAAGTATTAAGGACCTGGTAATTCCCATACGTGAAAAAAAGTTAGCTTAGCATCCTTATCTATTCACCTGCAGCATCTTCTGACACCACCCACAGTTTTTTCTAATAGCACCGGTTATGACAGTGAGTCCATACGAAGTTGCCGAGAGCAAATATTACATTATTCCATGTAGGTCACGTTCATTCAGAGCTCGTTGCTTCAGCCCTTCAGAGGCTGCATTTGCAAAGACATAACCTTAGAAGTGGAGCAACAGAGGTGACAGCGTAAGTCTGTATACATTTCAAACTTCCTCACTTTACTGTAGGTGTAAACTGCAGCTAAAGAGAGATTACCTGTTAGCAGTTGCACTGTGTGTGGCATTGGCAGGCAATTACATCTCATCTTCTGATGCAACACTGACCACCTAGTTATACCTCCTACAGTGCTCTTCAACAGGAGGGACTAAGAGAATCATAATAAGCTGCAAGAGTTTAAGGACTTAAGGAAGACACTGAAAAAGCACCTAATAAGATTTATATTAGCAAGACTACAGGTAAGGATTAAGAGATTCAGAGCTTCAAAGTGTCACAAAGTAAGATTTTAAAGAACTTTCCTCCTCTGTTTCCCCATAAGGAAATAATCAAGGTAACTCTTAGTCTGTGTTAGACAGATCCAACAGTCCTGCATTAACAATTTATATCCGTTCTGCAGTATCAAAAAGAATGCTATGTTACACTTTTTTCTTATGTCATCTTTAACAACAGCAGAGAGTCACCTCTACTATCCAAAGCATTCAAATCCCTTACTACACTGCAAGCAATTTACATACTCTGATCTTTGCTCCGTATTTACCCAGAAATGAATTTGATTACTACTTACAAGAGAACAAGCTACACTTTCTCTCTGCATCCTCAACATTTACTTCTCTCTCTGCTCTCAGATCCTCAGCCACCTGAAGGCCATAGATTAGACTGCATTTTTTTCAACTCAGCTTCTCACCCCACAACAATCTCACGAGTGACAGCAGGCATCTTCTGTTTTGTTGTGCAGCTGCCCAGTCACTGCTCCCACCCTCACAAACTCACAATGCAGGTACTCACTGACACCATTTCCAAGTATCTAGATTTGCTGTCACTACAGCCTGTGGGAAAGAGACGGTCAGCTAACTGCCTAATATTCTTCAGATCAAGTTTCTCTTTCAAAGGGAATACATGTGCAAGTAACTCTTTTCCCATGGCAAAATGGAAAAAAAAAAAAAATAAAGTGTGCTCCTCAGAACATCCCATTGCAATACCCTCAGCATATAGTAGGAAATGGGATTAATGATTAATCAAGAACTAGGAGCCAAAAATTGCTCTAGGTGAATGCAATCTAAAGATTGCAGCTTCAGCTACTGATTCTCTGGATGACAACTCCAAAGCCAAACAGTATCTTCCATTCTTCACACCCTCTTTATTCCAGAAAGACCAACATGAAACCAAGTGGTACAGACAGGAAAAGTCCTCTCTTACCATTATCTAACAATCACATATACCTACGCACTGAATAACTCATCGACAGCTCCCCATCAGCCAGCTGAGCAAGACGCCAAAGCACTTCATCCACACTGGTACAACTGCTCTCTCATTTGTCTTCCTCACATCCTTCAGCAGCAATGCTGATTTCAAATATAAGCATTCCTTTAAAAAAAAAAAGTATTCAAAACAGTTCTACAGTGAGCAGAACTGCTAAAGTCTTCACGAAGTACTGTTAGGTTTCCAGCTACATCAGAGGGTATGATAAAGACAGCAAGATGACAAAAATAGCTCTTTTAAACCACTTCTCACCCTCACTGTGTCATGTTTCACCTCACCTCAGGTGTTATCACTTCAGGGTACAACAGAACAGGTTTGTCACGAGGCTATCAAAATTTACAGTGAGACTTCTGAGGCTTAAGATGAGGCTTATGCTAGGCTTTCTGTTAACAAAATACAGGAAGTAAAATAGGAAGAAAAAAAAATCATGAAATCACACTAATTTCAGCTGTGCTTCATTCAACCTTAGGAAGTACCTAAGGTTGAGGGATGGAAGCAGACAGACACCAGCCTAGCAACACCACTGAGCTAGCAAAACAAAAGCCCAGACTTCATAAAAATCTTGCCAAAAAACTCCTATTCAAATGCCAAAAATAAATGAAGTCCAACTTTATAAGGGGACAGAAAAGTGTAAGTAGTCAGAAAAGCAGCAAATTTAATATCATCCTACATTCACTGGATGAATCCATCAATTCAGTAGCAAAGCTTTGAGATGAGAGTTACTTTTTAGGTATTGCTTCGACAGGAGCCTACCAACATGAAGGTCACAAGAGAAGTTAAATAATATTTGTTTAATGCTATGACCTGTTACTCTATACTAATCAAACTAATCCCTTTATTAGCTATTCTTCTATAAATGTTTTAATGAATGTGTGTAAGCAATAAACTTTTCTATAAAGCAAAATTAACCTGTGCTGCCTTATAGACACCTTTAAAAAGTCATCAGCATCAACAAGCGTTATGCATTCATTTATGACACTACTCCAAATAAGAAAAAAAAACTTCAGCAATTATTTTTTTGCAGATTATAATTCTGCATCTTCTCACTGAGGGCTGAATATACACCTGCTCAGGGAAGGGTTCAGTAGGCAGCCTTTTGCCCAGGTACCAACCTAAACTTCAAGCTCAATTAAACAAAAAAAAAGTGATCAAGTTGCCTAAGAAGTCTCCTTTCCATGCCTGTCATCAGAAACACCATGACCGCTTTCTCCAAGCTAATGCAGAACTACACAGCATGAGCACAGCCACACCTGTACCTCAAAGCAGTGTGCCTCCTTGCTGCTGAGGTAGCAGACTGCCACTACATTAGTCTGAATCAAAATGACTGCAAGCTTGATTGGGTTTAGGTAATTAACATTAGAACATACGTTAACTTCAATATTTTCTTCATGAAGCTTGGGATTAGCAGGTCTAAAAGCCACTTGCATACATAGGAATTACATATATACTTCCTTTAGCAGCAATATATACTTCAAATGCTTTTTTAGAAGATCACTGTGATTTTATAGCGAGTAAGAAGAGGCATCTCATGAGAATCAAGGGCAATCAATCTGGAGTTCTGCCTTCATTGCAATGCTGCAAGTGGAGCTACTGCCCAGCTCTGTTCAGACTGCCAGTCCTTCACTGCTCAGACAAAGCTTCCAATGAAGTTGCATCATAGAATATGCACTGAATGAACATGTTATTGCAAATAAGGACAAAGATGAAAGGAAATAACACCTAAATCCTTGTTTCAAGTTGCCTGCTACCTAACAACAGGATAAAAAGCCTCATCTACCTAACCTGCTCTCAATGAACACTGATAAAATCCTCTAACTGCTCCAAAACTCAAGTCACTGCATATAAACATGACTTCAAATCATTTTCCTCCTTTAAGCCCGTAAACTTAATTCTAATACGTTCATTACATTTCCAACTACTCTAGCAATTTCTATTAAATCACCATGTTTCCGTGCTTTTTGGGGAGGAAGTGGAGAAGTTCTTCTGTTCAACCAGCAACTAAACTTGCTGAAGTTGAAGCAAAATAATACAAAACCAGAGCAGATGTTAATTAGCCTAAGCATATCTGATTAACAGTTGCTTTGAAAAAAAGTAGTCACTAAAGAAATGAGTGAGCTCAAGAGTAACAATAATTAAAAAATCCCTACCGATGTCTACAATGGTTTTATCCAATGCTTCAGAAAAGCAGTTTCCTAGACAGCACAAACTACACAGCCTTGCTGGAAAATTGCTTCTGAGATCATCCTGAATCTCCTCTACATATTAAATGATGGTAACGATTCTAAAATTTACAAATTAAAAAAAAAAGTAGAAAATTAAGTCAACTATCAATAATCACATATGAAACTTATTCACAAGTAATAAGCAAAACAGGAAAGCTTTTCTAACTAATCTTACACTAGGATGTGCTTGAAAGAATCTTTTGCTTACTATTCATTCAATCAGTACCTTCACCTCAGCATCAGACTATTGCTACTTGCAAGAACGAGGCCTCCTTAAACACCACTCCAGTGGGTACTGAGGGAGGTGGGAGGAACTCAAAAAGGCACTCACACCTCTTTTGTGGTAAGCCTGAGGAAAGCAGGCTCTTCACAAATGCTCTCCCACCCCTCAGACCCACCCCATTTCTTCTGTTTCTTCTCCCAGTGAAGGCTTAGGCCACACAATCCTCATGCCATGTGCCTGCACATGGTACACTAAACCACTAGGACATCCAAGTGTTTAAGAGTTCTGGTCTGATCAGGAACATCCAATTAAACACCAAATCCCCCCCTCCCACAAATGTACACGTTTAATTTTATGCCTGCAACTATTTTCAGTTAAAATAAAATAAATAAATATATTAGACTACAAGGTTTTCTAAGTATTTTAATAGCGTTATCAAAAATGCATTACTGAAATAAAGTAGAAAAACTACTTAGGAACATCCTTATTTAGAACAAAAAAATGCTGAGAAGGAATCAATTATCTGCCATTGTGTTCAGCTACATTTAAAAAATGAGACACTCACATGCGAGTGTTTCATAAATTCCAGTACTGGGGAGTGAAAAGAATGCAATTTTTCCAAAGAAAAACTCTTATAATAGGGTCAGCAGTTCTTTCCAACAGGTAGACTTTCCACCTCAAAATAAAAAAATAAAGCATAAGCCAACTGAGAAGTAACAGAAGAACTGTTATGTGGGACTCCTCATACTTCATGTACTGTCAAAATGCTATTTCACTTCTACATTTGGCAGAACGTATGCAGAAATCCTGAGCTCTATTTGTTTCTTTAGCACTAACAAGAGAACCATTAAGGAACCTAACATAAATATTTCAATCAAAAACCAAGAGCTGCCGAAATATAAAGAATATATACATATATATAAATCTTGATAGAGATGATGTGACTAGAGTAATAAACCTTAAAAATGAACAACAAAGAACACACGCTGCTCAGCTTTCTTAGACCTGGCTGGCTTCCCCCTGAGATCAGCCCATTTAACTGGAAAGAGCACAGGTACTGGCCACCTCTGTGTAGCAATTAACACAAGAACAGATTTTGTTTACCTCACCTGAGGAACCAGCAGCAGTCACTGCACAGCCAGGTAAAACACACCGAGCCTGGGGACTGGGTTTTTTTGTTGTTGTTGTTTTTGTTTTTTAAACTAACATTGCAAAAGGATAAGCACATTTCTGTAAAGATCGTTATCGGAATAAGACTCTGCTCTTTTAAAACGTTCGATTCTCCAGGCAACAACCTGATAGAAGCAAAAAGCTGCTACCACTGGTTCATCAGAAAAAGTCACCAAAAGGATGCTCAGGTGTTCTTCTAAAGCAATTCTTAGTGAGGGAGCAAACAAAAAATCTGCAAAATTAAAAAAAGTCAGCAGTGATGGAGCGAGAAAAACGCACGTTTAATTCTGCTTCAAGCAGCTTCTAATTGCTGCTTATCCTGATCATCACTAGGGAAAAAAAGCAAACAAAAAAAAAAACAAAAAACGAAACAGAAAATGGAAAGGCCCGGTTATTATAGGCGTACAGAGAAACCGCAGCAATGGGAGGCAGGGGAAGAGAAGACACGGGCCTAACAGCGTTACAAAACCGCAGCGGCGCGCTGAGATAAAGCCCTCGGCTACACGGCCGGGCGCCGCGCGGCTCCCGAGGCGGGCCGTGCCTCCGGGGATCCCTGCGCGGCCGGACGGCGCTGCCGCCAGCGGCGCCGCTCACAAAGGGGCCGGGCGGGCACGGCTCGGGCCGCACGCGGGGTGAGTGGGGCGGACGGCCCGGGCCGACGGGCAGGGACGGAAATAAGGGAGAAGCGGGGAGAAAGCACGGGGCTCGGCGAGCCCGGGCCGGGGGGGAGGGAGGAGCGGGGCGGCAGCGCCCGCAGCCCGGGCAGGGGGATGGGACGGAGCCCGAGGGGAGGAGGAAGCGGGCGAGGGCCGAGGCGGCGGGGCTCGGTCCGCGCCGGGCCGCCGTAAGAGAAATAAAAGAAATAAACGAGGACGACGGGGCGAGGGGGAGCCGGGCTCCCCAAGGAGCCATTTTAGACACGGCCGCGCCGCCGCCTCCGCCCGAGCCGCACCGGGCGCCCCCGCCCCCCGCCCGGGCCCGGCCGGCCCTCAGCACGGCCCCGGCAGGGACGGCCACTCACCCTCCCCTCGAAGTTGTTCTCCTCCACGTCGCTCATGTCGGCAAAGTCCTGACCGCGGGGCCGGGCGAACGGGGACGCTAGCCGCTAGTCCCGAGCAGCGACCGCACCCGCCGCCGCTACCGCTATGGTTACCGCGGTTAACGCTATCCCTACCGCCACCGTCCGCCTCCCTCCCGCCAAAGCCGCCCGACCCGTCTCCCGCAGCAGCGCAAAATGGCGCCTCCGCTTCGTCTGCGCCCGACACGGCTCGGGGGTGGGGCCCGGCCCGGCCCGCCCGCCCGCCACAAAGGAGGCGCCGCCGGCGGACAACGAGCGGCTGCGACGGGCTCCGAGCGGGGCGGCCGTCACGCACGCGCAGCCGCGTCCTCGTGCCGCCGAGTCCCGAGTCCCGGCCGGCAGCGCGGGGTCCGCGCCTCCTCACGGCGGCCGTGCGAGGACGCGGCGGGCCGGTAACGCTGTGCGAGGCCTCGCACCGCACGACGTTACTTCTCGTCTCTCGTTAACGTCACCCCCCGCCCCTTTCTACTGAATTCCCCTGAGCTCTGCACCGCTAGAAAGGCGTTTAAATGGGAACGCGTTCAGGCCACCGGTACCAGTCTTCTGTGACAACAAATGGTTACTCCATTTACAGGGCTGGAACGTTGCTTTCATTATAATAAAAAAAAAAAAAAGCCAAATGAGGAAAATTTTAAGAAAGACAAGCTTACATTTTAATTTGGAGTCACGACAATTTTCTTTTATCCAGAATTTCATAGAAGAGAATCATTAAGGTTGTTGGAAAAAACACTAAGATCATTCAGTCCAACCACCAGCCCACCGTGCCCTCAGTGCCACGTCTACATGGTTCTTGCACACCTCCAGGGACGGTGAGTCCGCCACCTCCCTGGGCTGAGAAGAAACTTCTCCTAATACCCAACCTTAACCTCCCCGTCTCAGTTTAAAACCAGTCCCCCTTCCAGTGATCCTCTGCAGAACCAGAGGCTCAGCACTGAGGCCACACAGGTAGTTCCTTCACAATTTGCTGAAGTTGACAAAATAGCTCAACATGCTTTGTTTTCACCAGAAAGCTGGGAGAGTGGGTCAAGATTAGTGGTTGGTTGCTACTGCAAAGCTAAGAGCTTCCCAGAGCTGCTGAGAAGCACTTCTGCCTTTATGCTAAAACTTTAAATCACCACGTTGGTAACCAAGGAATGACCAGCTTAACCAGGTGATCGCGTGCACAAGTATTCCCAGAAAAGAACAGAGCTCAGAGGGTGCCTAAGCAGCAGGGGAGCGCTCCCTAAAGATCACATCCTTGCTTCATGAAGCACACTCCAGGGGCTCTTGCCACTAGCAGTGCTTGCAGCTCTGCCTGGCTCTCCTCCAGTCCATCACATAGGATTCCAGCAGCACCTGTACAGCCACTCCAGCCAGACCACAGTGGAGAAGCTCATCCTTACGCAGCTGGGGCAGTGATTCCAACACAGCCGTAGCAGAAATGCTAAGTCACAGCTTGAAACAGTGAGCACCTGGTGGGAAGGTAGGGCTAATCCAGGGGAGTTCAGTGCATGCAACGCACCTGACTGACCAGAAGGGATGGAGCCAGGATCCATCCCTTCCCAAATCTCACTTAAGGGTTTACAGTGGAGGTAAGGGTATTTTACCATAGAGCCTTAGCTACCTGTGGCCTTTCAAAGGTACACAGCTTTTTTTCCTTAGTTTCTATATCAGCAGCTGCTGCTTTTGGGCTTATCTTCACTTGCTGTAGTCTAGGACGTTGCCACTCTGCTCTTACTGCTGTGCTTTTCATTGCACTGTAGCTTTACAATAGCCACCGTGTATGCTTATCTGTATGCATAGGATTGGTGTTGTTTCCTACACCTGACCCATCAGTGAAGTTGATTAAATGAAAGGCTGGGACTCTGCATGCCAGCCTTTCCTCTTTTTGCCCGGAGAATCAGAAGCAAATATTTTAACTAACTAAAACTACAGTTGTAAAAGTAGGTGGTATATCAGAAAGATCTTCATTCTCTAGGCTTTTGTAATGTTTCATTTGACTGAAAGCTTCTTGTTTTTGATTTCTTTGAAAAGTTTTAGTTAACTCCTTAACCTTGTTTAATTGCAATTAATTTGTCATTCCTAAAAGGCTAGGCTGTGTTTTAGACACTGCTGTTGTCTAACTTTCCAAAATACATTCTTAATCCACGTCATGATGTCTTTTATACCAGCTCTGCTCCATTCAGTTCCAGTAGATAGGTTTGCTCATTTCCCCTTCCCAGTGTAACTCTATTAATGAGCATATATCCTACTACAAGATTGCATTCTGTTCTGGCATAATCCGATCCTGATCCTAGCTGATGCTGCATATAAGCAGAGGGAACAAAAGGAAAAGGACACAAAAGCCACACTTAATTCTAACACAAAGATGCTTATCAGTCTTCTGCCACCAGGTGGATCAGTGGAAAAAAAGGGAACCAAGAACACAGTGGGGAAAAAAAAAATAAATATATATATATATATATATATAAAATATAATCACAGTTAAAAAAAAAAAAAAAGTGGGAGGGGAAGGAAAATGAGGCAAGAAAACATAAGACAGGAATATATTCTCATTAACATGTACATATGTGAGATTTAGCCACAGTGTACAGTGACAGTGCTTCCTAAGTGCCAATATTAATTCCAGCAGGATTTTAAGATATTCTGATAGTTAAGCTTAAAAAAAAAAAAAAAAAAGTGGAAACTGATACAAAGACCTACTTGTAAAAAGACTAATCAGGTTTACATTTTAAATTGAAAACTGCAAGCACTCTGTGTTTTCCATAACCAGTCTGTCTTCATCATTTCCTACAATACCTACAATAACAGCTTCCTGGAGTATAAAATTGATAATTATTTGATATTATCTGTATATTTCAGGTTCGACTTTATAAACTATAAGGTGGTGAGGATAAAAATAAAGAGCATACGATGAGATGCACATTCATTAAGGATGACCAAATGCATGAGGCCTTCAGGCAATAGGAATTAAAAATATTATTAGTAGTTGAGAGTTCCTGTGAACAGAGGATACATTTATAACAGAGACAGATATCTTAATTCTCCAACCCCATCACAGCGAATCTTCTTGTGCTTACACTATTGACAGATTTCCCTTTCTTTCCCTTTCAAGCTCTAAATTTCATGTAATTTATATTTGCAAAGATATTACAGCTGCTCACTGTGTGTCTGTGAAAATAAAGGATTAATCACTGGGCAAGTAGTACAGCAATAAATGGCAGTAAATAGCTGTGGTACATTTGTTATGTGAAGTCCATTTCAGCTGTTGTTTTTGATCTTTTCTTGATATTAGGAGAGGAATTATTAATGAGAAAATGCTTACAGAATGTGATGAGGTTATTTGCCTTTGGAAAATAATTCTACCAACAAATTTATTGGTGCTGCACAACATATAATCAGTCTGCTCACTCAAAAGCTTAGTTATGAAATATTTCATGTCTTAATTTTTCCCTCTTGTCAGTGTTGTGTAATTTAGCAAAAGACTTTTTCCATGGGATAGATTGAATAATCAAAAATTTTAAAAATTCCTTTAACACAGCTTCTTCTGATTTCTCTGTAGGAATGTAGCATCTAGCTCAGTAAGTGCATAATTTTCCAAATTGAAGTGGGCCTTTGGGTGAACACCAGTATTTTTCACACCAGCAAGAAAAATTCACTTTTCCAAAGTAGGTCTTGCAAGACTGAAATAAAGCACTGTAGACTAGTCAACATCAGAAAACTCATACAAGTAAATATTTGCATTTATGTCTGATTTGCTGTCTGTTGGGATACCACCTATCCCCAGTTCTGTTTGTTTTCTTAGGTCTAGGCCACCAACCCCTCTTACACATTAATATCCTTTTCTTCCTGCTGGAGCAACAGATTTAAATGCTGCATTTTCCCATGTCTAATCCATTCAGAAAAGAAGGTTGAAAAATTCAGAGGCGGCAAATAGATTCAGAGAAGCACTGGAAATGAAGGAAGAAATGCACATGTGGGGAGATGGTGTGATCAGCAAGCTGAAAACACTGCTTTCTGCATCTCTGTTTATTTTACAAGGTGAAGCTATGCATGCAGAACAAAATTGCAAGCAAAACTTTCTAATACACTAACTTGAGTTACTTGATTGGTAACTGGTATGAGAGCTAGTCTAGATATAGAGAATCCTGAAGAGATTCAGTAAACTAAAAGTACTTCTGATCACAGCAACATGACAGTTGAAGGTGCCCACACCTTCACCTTTGGTTAATTGATACCAATTTCCTTATATGCAGCATTGTAGGAAGAATAACTTGCTGGCACAGCTCTGTGCATACATCTGACTTACGTGAATACTTGAATACTACGGCGTTAGAATGCCAAAGTGCCAAAGCTGTGAGTAGTTTCTGCAACCTGTTACTGTTGCTGAACTACACATAGCAGCGAACTAATCACATGCCAAACCAGATGGATGGTGATCGCTCCCGTGCCTACCGTCAAAATTCATTTACACCAGTAGAGGGCAGAAATGATAACTTTCCCATTTTTGTAAAGGCTCCCTAACTTCATCCAAATCATAGCATTGAGTTGGAAAGGACCGTTAAAGGCGATCTAGACGAACTTTCCTGTAATTAACAGGGACACCTACAGCTAGGTCATGTTGTTCAGAGTCCTCATCCAGCCTTGTCTTGAACGTCCCAAGGGTTGGGGCATTCACCACCTCTCTGGGCAACTTGTTCCAGTGCTTCGCTACCATTATTGTAAAAATCTGTGTCCTTGACATATCTAGTCTAAATCTCCCCTCTTCTACTTTGAAACCATTTCCCCTTGTTCTGTCACAACAGATACTGCTAAAGAGTCTGTCCCCTTCTTTCTTCAGCCCCCCCTTTAGAAACAGAAAGGCTGCACTCAGGTCTTCCCAGAGCCTTCTCTTCTCCAAGCTGAACAGCCCCAGCTCTCTCAGCCTGTTCTCAGAGGGGAGATGTTCCAACCCTTGGATCGTTTCTGTGGCCCTTCTCTGATCACGCTCTTTCAGGTCCACGTCTCTCCTGTACTGAGGACTCTACATCTGGACGCAGTACTCCAGGTGAGGTCTCACCAGCACAGAGCAGAGGGGCAGGACCACCTCCCTCACCCTGCTGGCCGTGCAGCCCAGGATACTGTTGGCATTCTGGGCTGTGAGGGCACGCTGCTGGCTCATGTCCAGCTGCCACCCACCAGTGTCCCCAGATCCTTTTTAGTAGGGCTGTGCTCTTCCCTTCCATCCCCCGGCTTGTACTGATAGCGGAGGTTGCCGTGACCCACGTGCGAGACCTTACACTTGGCTTTACTAGCCTCACACGGTTCTCCCAGGCCCACCACTTCAGCCTGTCTAGGTCGCTGTGGACGGCATCCCACCCTTCAGCTGACGTCCCTGCGCCACCCGCCCACCGCCCCGCCGCCGGCCCTAACGGCGCTCCCCCGGGAAAGCAGCGCGCGTGAGAGCGCCGCTTCCGCCGGGCACGAGCCCCTCCCGCCACCAAGATGGCTGCTGTGGAGCGGCGCCCAGGAGGCGGGAAGACGCGGCGTTCTGCGCATGCGCCGCAGGGGCGTTGCGGCAGCCCTCCCGGTGGGGAGGGGAAGTGGGCGGGCCGGCGGGTGAGCGCCGAGTGGCGTGGCGGGGTCGGCGGAGAGCGGGGCGTTGTCAGGTGGGTGCGGGTGGGAGCGTAGATAACGCGCGGCGTGCGCGCGGGGAGCGGCAGGACAGCGACTGGTGGAGGTGTCCCGCGGGTGCGGAAGGGCGGGGCCGGGCCGCGCGCTGCGCCCAAGGGTCGGGGCCGTGCGGGGAGGTGGGCGCGCCGCCGGCGCGGGGCTGGGGGCGGGGAGGGGCGAGCGGGCGGCCGCGGCCTGCCGGCGGCCGGACCCGGGCTTCCGCTTCTCCTCGGCGCCCGCTTTGTTCGGCTTCGGGTTCCGTTCGGCTTCGTAGTTTTATTTTGTTGCGGGCGCCGGCTGCTGCCCGGCGTCCGCGCGGCTTTCCTTCCCGTAGCGTCGGCTGCGCGTTATTTGCGGTTTTTCAAGCGGTGCGTGCGGGAGCATCCAGCGAGCTATTGAAACATCCGACGTAACCTAAGCAGGTCTGGAACTTGCTCTGAACTCCCCGAAATCCGTCGTGGTTTCCTTCCTCGCACGCAGTGGCCTTTCAGTCAGCAGCGGTGGGCGCAGTGACTCTGCAGGATTTACCTCTGCCTCGTGCTGGAGTGACCCGGCTTGCGGAGAGGCTGGGCGCGCTCACAGCAACGCGATGGACCTTACAGACGGCTCAGCCCGTGTTCCAGCAGGGGTGGAATCGTTAGCAGGGTAATTTCCGTAAGAGTTTGTAATGCGCTAGCATCTGTCTCCCCCGTAGTCTCATTAATCACTCAACAAATTTTCTCTTCGGCTTAATAATCCAACACGTTAGCATCCCGTACGTTCTCTTTTATGTATCGTGTCTCTAAAAGATAGTGACAGATGGAAGGGAGCGTGAGTTCTGGGTTTGTGTGCCACAGAGCCGTGCAGAGAAGGATGTGTGGTGTTTCTTACGGCTTTATTCCCCTCAGTGGGTGATTTGTGGGTGTGGGGGACAGCTTCTCTCTTTGGAAATTGAGCTTTGTCAGAACTGGGATTTTTATTTGTAACAAAGCCTTCAGAAGATGAGCACGTTGAACATAAAAGCTAACTGTGCGTGAGATTTGTTCTGACTAATTGTGATGCGTTGTTATTCTGCTGCAAGTGTCATGAATTGCTATTGCATCCTTGTGAGAATATCAAGGAGAAGAGACAGGATGATGGTGATAACAGCACGCTGTGAGCAGCATCTTGTTCTAGTGTTGCAAGTGCAGAGATTACAGTTTTAGATCCAATTTATTGCTCCCTTTGTTCCTAGTTTGACTGCTGGAGATACCCATGTATAAAGCTGAAATTTTTATGTCCTCTTCATGTTATTTTATGCGTTTCAGTATGTTCAGTAATTTAATTGGGAGCTCCAGAGAATTAAGTAATTATGATGAAATTAATTCGGTCCAAAAAACAGGTCTCTCTCTCAAAGCTTTTTCAGGCAAAAATGTAGCTACTTGGAGTTCTTTTTGCTTCTTGTTGGTGCTCTGTTTTAAACCCCCTCATGGCTTCTAGCTTCCCGAGGGAGGCGTTGGTATTGGCTAATCCCACGCTGTTTAGCTTGGAGGTTGAATGTCACTTAACTGCTAAAAGTAAAATATTTTCCCTGGAGTTCCTGAGCACTCATACCTTTTTTGAGAATAGCTACAAGCACCGGTTTTTGCATCTTGCCCACACTGTGAGTAGGATAACTACATGCTGTCAGCTTAAATTGTCAGCTGTGTACATTCCGTATCTACAGACAAGTAAGCATCAAAAATACGTGTTAAGTTGTTTACAGTAGCTGTCAAAAATCTGTTGTGGATCTCAGTGATTCGGATGAATGTGTTTTGTCCTGGTGGAAATTTACTGCTGAAATATTCTTTATAAGGTATTTGTTATTTGAAAAGCCCTTTCAGCTGTGACTGAAATCTTGCATCATTGGGTGGGCTGGATTTCCTGAACCAAGCGTTAGTAACAGTCTCTTAACTTTTCTTGTATGATTATCAGATTTACAAGAATTGTTTTACCACTTGCCTGTGCCATTTAAAAGATTAATTTTGAACTAAGTAGCTACTTTGTTTATTTAAAACAGGGTGTGTGCTACTACTGGACTGGAGAGGACTTAAAGTTTACCCCACTGAAATTGATCTCTGCAGTAGCAACAAAGAAATGAGGCTACCTCGAGATAAACAGCCCGGATAAGTTTCTGGGTATCTCCTACTTCGTTTGAAGAATGAATTCTTTTGCTTTCCCTACCTTTATGGTTAAAGACTGTCTGTCATAACCTGTATGATGTTAAGGTAAAATGACAGACTAATCCATCCATGATGGGAGATGAAGAAGGGACAAAATCGTCTGTCTTTAACACTTCCTCCACTTTCATTTTAGGGTCAGCTTCCTGGGAGAGGGAGTGTGAATCTGAGGCCTGGTCCATACTGTAGTGTGACCACTCAGTGGTATTTTTGACGAACGAGTCGTGCACATATCTATACTCAGTTTGAATTCTGAAGGTTTCCTGAAATAAAACAATACATGTTACGTTCTTCCTCTCTCCCCAATGTGCTCTTTTATTACTTTTTACAGGAGTAGTGTTTCTATGGGTGCTGTGTATACGCATGTGGGTGTGTACTTATGTGACCAGTTCTACAGAGGCAAACTTTCTGCCTTTGTAGCAGTCACTTTACTAGTTGGCTATAATCCCCCTCCCTCCCGGTTATTTTTAAAACGTATTTAGTGAAAATCTCTTTCCTCTCAATAGCCCACATTGATGGTCTTGAAATTGTGGCTCCTGGTATAACTAGCTAAAATTAGCCAAATGTTAACATTTTAGAAGGAAGTTTTGAGTTCTGAAGACGTAGTGCAAGCATAGCTGTGAAATTTCACAGAGGAAGTTGTTAAGGAAGTGTTTTTTATAGCCTGTTATTCAACTGCACTGAAAATAGAATGGCAAAACTAGCAGAAGAAGGTACCTCGTGCCCTGCTGTAGCTGTGGTTCTTGTGAGCAGGTGTCCCACTATGATGGCCTGAACAACAGTGGCAGAGCATACAGACAAAAGCTTAGCAGGTGAAGTGAAGAAGGAGAAGCCGCTAAGAATTTGTAGGAACGCTTTGAGGCCCAGATGGACCTAGTGGGCAGCAAGTAGAATATAATATACTGTCCCCATTGATATTTGCTTGCTTTGACTTTCTTCATAGCACTTGCCAAGTCATTTCCCCTCTCAAAACCTTGGCTGACTGCCTGCAGACAAGGAACAAAGAATTTCTGTTGGTTGATTTTAGAAGCGTTTGCTAGCAGTGGTAGGCAAAACAAAGGGGAGGGGAGGAAGAAAAAGAGAGGCAAACCAGGATACTTTACAGGAACTGAAAGGTATTCAGCAGACTCATTAGGCTAATGCAAAGTAAGAAGAGTCATTGGCAGAAAATGCAAAATAAAAACAGTACAAATTGGGCTACAGTCAAAACTGAAACAAGTCACCAGAATTTCTCGAATTCTATAATACTAAATGTCGTGTAGCGTTTGGGTGCTCAGATCACTTTGATCACAGAGACATGTAAACCTGACGGGTGGATCTTCAAGTCTAAACTTTTTTTTTATTACTTTCAATTCAAAGTCCATCTGCAAGAAGTTGTTTGTGTGCTTTTCTCAGAGGCATGTGGGAGATGAATCTGCTGTTTACCTTCTTAGCCGTTCTTGAGTGCTGTTCTTTATATTTGAGCCTAGCAGACATCAGTGTTAATTCTTTCTATCAACAGATCTGCGCGCAGTCTGAAAAGGCCCTCAGGCCATATCAGCATCCGGGTGTAGTATTTTGGAGGACTTTGTTGTGCTAGGCATCGCTGAGGCTTTTGGCAATAAGGTATCTTTTTTCTTTTTCCCCCTGGTGGTGGCATTTCTCCGTTGACCAGATTTTACACCGTCAGTAAAAGGAATACTTAATGTGCTGAGGGTTAGTCTTGTCAAAAACCAACTTGAATGTGGTTTCATTTGTCTTGGGGCACGCTTTGCTGGTAATTTTTTGCTGCCTAGTAGAACATCCAGGTCTTTTATGGAGGTATACAGCTCTTTTCTGCCATAGTTTCTTAGATGGAGAAATATATATGTATTTAATTGTTTTCTCCTGGTTCTCACCAGGAGTCACAGTCCTGTTATAACAGGATGTACTTAATTTCTTTGGGCATCTTTTTGTCAATGGTACCCTGTGCAGACTTCTGTCCTACTGTCAAGCAGATAGCCAGATAAAAACATAAAGAAACAGAATACAAGCATCTCTGGTCTTCCTGTTCTGGAAAAGACTTGGTGTGTGGCTCCTATGCTTGTGTGTGCTTATTTCTTTGTCCTCATCTTCAAAGATTAGTTGGTCGGTATGTACATCCAACTATGCTTCTGTGCTTTTTTGTTTTCTTTTTTTGGTCAGCCATTCTCTTCTTTGAGCTGCACAGTGACTGATCTGATAGGTCTCCAAAGACACTGTTCTCAGAAGGGTCAGTGTGATGTCTGTAGGTCAGGTAACTGTGATTCTAGAGATTTTCTGTTCCAAAGTTTAAAAAAAAGGTTTTGGAGTTTGTAGAGATAATGAGGGATGGGTTCTAACTACATGTGTAAAAAAGAACTAATAGGATATTGTTGATGGAACCTTGGAAGCTTTTCCAGGAGTTCTATTAGACTCTGTGATTTGGCTTTCCAGAAAGGTATGTTGACTGTTTCAATGAGAGCATCATGAATTCTGTTCGCAGCTTATTGTTTTTTAATATGATATCCCCACTGTACTGAGAAGTGTTTGCTGCCATAAATCTAGCAGAAATTTCTAGTACAGACATAATTTTATTACGCTGATTTAAAATCCCTGATGGTTTCAGGAAGTTGTTACACTTCCACTGAGATTGCAGTACAGTGCTGTACAATTACTTTTTAGTAATCATTAATGTCAGCTTTTATTGGTACTGTTGTAGTTTTTGTCTGCACTCTGTTCTTTTGCAGCTTTTTTCCCCTTCACCTGCCTGTAGTTGGATGCAATCTTGTTGGCTGTATCTGGCATTTCTTTTTTATCTGTCTTGATAAATCACTTTTTGTTTATACAGTTAATAATGATAATTAATCACAAAGCCAGACTTGCTTTGGAACTCACCGTGTCATGTTGTTGATCATAATTTGTCAGTCAGAAACAGAAGTATTATCACAGTATGTAATAGTTGAGTAAAATTACTATTTATCAAGGTTATTTCCTTCATATATTAGTTTTAGACCTACATAGATAAATCTCTGGGGAATTGCTTAGGAATTACTGCTTCAACGTTTGGCATTTTATCTTTCAAATAGATAACCAAAAGGTGATTGAATCAGGCTGTGTTAATACTACTACATTGAGGGCATTCATCCTGCAAAGCGGTGCGATTTGGAGGCTTCTGTTCCAGCCCCTCCCCCTATTGATGCTGCTTATCTTTTTTGCTAAAGCTGCTCACTAGTAATTACCAGAAGCACCTGCTGGCTGCCCACTCCTTTCTTGTGCTCTTATGCTCAACTTCATCTGTCCTGTTGTTTTTTTCTAAGCCGGGCGGTACGTACCCTCTCTGCTGCAGTTTCAAATTTGCTGTTGTGATGTTGGTAACCGCTTTTTGCAGTTTTGTGAAGGGAGATCACTTGGACAGGCAAGAACAATGATGGTGAATATGTACAGGTCTTTCGTGAGCTGGCTGACTAGCAGAACTGACAGTGCTGCAAGGTGAATTGTAACCTGTTAAAGAGTTGAGTATGCCTTGTTTTCACAATACTCTTTGTTGTTTAAGAGGATGTATGAGGTGTGCCTTTGTCTTGTAAATTGTTGTGTTTCTTGCGAGGTACATGGATGTCATCTCTGGGTTTTGCTAGGAATAAATAACGCAGAATGTAAGGAAAACTGCAGCACGATTCAGCTATCATGGTTTTAAGGATGGCTTGGTTTCCATGGAGCGGAGTCAGTATTAAGATTGAAGTCTAATGCTATTGTTTAAGTAGCATTAGAGAGTAGAGCTTTGCTTTATTACAGAGCATACAATGGATTTTACCTGGCTTTTTCTTTGGTCCCTGTTTCTTTCATTTCATGCACTCATGATACAATTTATGTGTGACTTCAGAGCCAGCACACAGTTGAGAGGATAGAGGTGTGATTTATTTAGGAGAGGATGAGGTCCTTAGTTCACTGTTTTCATTGTGAGATATGTATCACTATTGTATCATCACTAGATGATGTTAAATTGACACTGACAGGCTTTGACAATAGATTTCTTAAACTATGGTGGCAACAGTGAGCAACCCTGAACTATCTCTGTGTTGTGAAAGAGAAACCAAGTCTCTGTTCTGGAATTCCCTGTAGTTTCAAGCTCTCCTCTTGCCTCTGGCTTAGGATAATCATTTTGAAAATAATTCAAATATTCATTTTGATTTCAGAGATCTTAGAAAAAATTGTCTCTTGAAACACTCATCTTTGCCTGCCTGTTGAGCATCTGGAAGATGCTCATTTCTGCATGGTTCCTGGAGTTGCCATTTTGCCTGCGTAGTTGCTTTTTTGTTTTCTTTTGTCCTCCCCCTCCACGGAATTTCAAGATTTGTCTCTTGTACTTCTTTCTTCATGATCTTCTTCACTTTGTCTTCAGTTAGGGATGGCAGGAGCTCCAACAATGTGTAAACCTGTGTTCTTTTTTCCTGTTGTTTTCTCAATGACCTCCTTTGCCATAAAATCGCTTCAGCTGAGGCTGGGAGAGCAGTAAGCCTGGGTTCCCACACAGGCTGGGTCACTGTGAAGAAGGAAGTCTCAGCTGCTTTTTTTTTTCCCCCTTCAACAGGAAGTAGTAGGTAAGGAGGAATTAAGAGAATGAGAGCAAAAATCACAGGGAACGATGTTAGTTGCTTTGTACAAGTATGGTGTTATTTCATTAGATGTTACCTCTTTATTACTGAAAAGAAAAAAGTCCATTCTGAGTACAGTTTTTTTAAATTATAATGTTCATGGTCCAGAAGTACTGACCTTTCAGGTCAACAAGAGATTCAAGATTATTCCAGTCCATCCATCTTATTTATTGTGCTGTTTTCTTTCTAATGCATGCTGCTGCTGCTCAGAAGCCTTTTTTTTCCTACCTGCAGATCACTTGTGTGATTTGCTTGCTTGTCTTTTTTTTTTTTTTAAACTCTGCACCTTGTTGATCTCGGTAGGTTTTTGCTGAGTGTGTGTTACAGGTCACTGGAAGCACCTGTTTCTGGAAGAAGTAAGAGGCCACATCTCCAGAGCTCTGAAATAACACTGGAATTCATACAAGGGTGAAAGGCCTCTTAAAAATGCCTTTATAGCATAGGAAAAGTGACAGCTGCAAATAATTGCATTCATTCTGGTAAACTTTACTCCCTGTTTCTTTCTCTGGGTTACTCGTGTGGTGTTAGGCCATTTGCCCAGCAGGCTGAGGCCGTTAGTTTCAGTGGTCAGCGTGTGCACTCTGAATCAAATACATGTGGCAGAGGCCCAGTCTGTAGTTCCTGCTGCTCTTTGGCAAGAGTTTATTCAATCTGTTCATCTTGGCCAGGAGTCTTATCTTGTTTTGTGGCCTTTTTTTTTCTCCCTGTCAGTGTGATAGCAGAGTTATTGCTATTCCAAAGCTCTCTAGTGATACGGTTTAGTAAAGTGGTTCAGGATGAGATTTGAGTGGGGATCTGTGGGAGCTGAACTTCATGAAAATTCTGCAAGAATTATTTCAAACAGAACAAAAAACAATCAGGTATGCACACTTCAGGCTTTCAAGAAGAGGGAATGGAACTTCTGGTCTTTCTCTTTGAGGGAGGTATTGTTCTGAGTCATGGCATGAATGCACTACTGTGGTACATCCTATGTACATGTTTTCCATCGTGTTGGATGCTATCCTGGGATTATGTATCTGCCTAGCAACATAGGTGCAGTAACCTATTCCTGATTTGCAACATTCTGTTTACTCTTATTTCAGTACACCCAACAACAAAAGTCAGATTCTGTGTACTGACAGTTTATTCTCATGCAATACCTTGTGACTTCTCAGCAACTTTGTTGTCCAAGTCCTTGTATTGCCCCCGGGGTTTAGAGTTTTCAGAATAATGTTGATATATTATCTAAGAATGAAGGTTTAGAAGCAATCAGCACAACTCAGAGCACTGCTGATGGTAACACTTCAATTTGCAGTAGGCTGTGGTTTGTTGGTATTAGGCCAGTTGCAGTACTGAGCAGAGGTAATAATGAAACATACCATGGAGACTGGGTTTGGTTTAGGTGAGTGCTTAGCAGAGTGAGGACTGTAGTCTCAATACTCTGAGCTAACATTGTCTATTCAAAATAAAGACTGAAGTATCAGTAAAGGAGGTTTGCTGAAGAACGGCTGAATGTATCTACAATCTAAAAACTACTTTTGTCAGATTACATGTGGGAGAGAATGGAGAGTAACACGAAAATGCGATTATGTAAAATCAGTTGCTTTTTGCAGACTTAAATGATGGAAATTTCAATTATCAGTACCTTTTTGAGAGGAAGTTGAGTTAGCTGGGAGATGAGAAATGATGACTGGGTTGATTTGAAGAGAAAAAATGAATAAGAACACAAATATGTGTGTATGCAAACGTGATCAGTCTGTAATGTGTGTCCATGATAGTGTAAGAAGAATGAGTTATTTCAGTGAGATTCTAAGTTTTTTTTTTAAATTACAGTGTTCAAATCAATTTTGGGGCATTCAAATATTATAATAAAGTGGATTTGGATTCTGTTATTTCCTCTAGCAATTGCTTTAAAACTGAAAGTGTATTTCATTTTGGCTCAAAGAGATCAATTTCAACTACTACATGGGAAAATTAAGGTCTTTTAGTGCTGCACTTTGTCTTGTTTGAGTGATTTTTTTCTTCCAATACAGGGCTCCTTGAAGATGTCTGGCTCATTTTACTTCAACCTGTCTGGCTATTTGCTGTTTAACTGCTGAAGTTTTCCTACTGCTTGTTCTCCTGAATCCTTAATCTATCAAGTTGTCAGAAGTGGCTGCTATGGTAAGGGTTTTTTGTTTTTTTAATAGTAGTAGCAAACTGCTAGAAGTGTGTGCAGTGTGCGTCTTTGTTTTGGTTTTGTTTATGAGCAAGGCACCAAAAAGGGGAAAAAAAAACAAAACTGAAATACAACTGTACTGTACAAAAGCAGCTGGCAACCAACTTGAAACTAACAAACCAAGAAGCCTTGCTTTATCTCTTTATATTGTCCAATGCTTCTACGTGAATAGTAAGGATCAAGTGAATCATTTCACAAGTCAATTCTAGATGTTGCCTTTGGGCTTACTAGTTCCAAGTACAGTATTTAAAATATTTAAGGTAACTTGTAAAAGCATAGATGTTTTGAAGAACAAAAATAAAAAATAAAAAGAGGAAGCCTTATAACAGCAGATGAGATAGAAGGATGACCGTACTTCTGAGCAGATGCAAATCTGCAGCTCTGTTCTACGTTCTGCTGTAGTACTGCATTTGGAAAATTGTGTTTGTGACTGATCTCAACAACTGTAGCAATTTTGAGTAACTAAGTAATGTTTTACAAATTTCAGGAATCAAGATCAGCTGAACTAAGAAGATGTGTTCAAGATGATCCAGCCAGAAGACTTCTTACTTCATAGAAATTCTGATTTCATTTGATATGTAATATCACTTGACTAACCTAAGTTCAGTTATTTTTCTTGAAAATAAGACACCTGTGGCCTTCATCAGAAATGTTTCTAACATTTTCAAGAAAAAACATGTCCCAGAAACTAAGCATGTTTTTACTAGTTTTTGGAATCATTTGGGGTTTGATGTTGCTACGCTACACTTTTCAGTATCCAAGACGTCAAAGCAGTGCTGAGCTGCGTGGTCAGATATTAGACCTAAGTAAAAGATATGTCAAAGCACTGGCAGAAGAAAATAAGAATTTAATGAATGGTGGCAGTGGAGCCTCTGTAGCAGGATATGGTAAGAGGAAAAAAAGCATGCTAATTGTTCAGATAATTTTTTAAGTGGAATCTGCAAGGCTGTACTTCTTGAAGTAATATATGTTGATTGCTCTTTAAGAGAAAATATCTCTCTGTACTAATTATTTTGGTTTTAGTTTATTGACTAAAGCTGAAATTTGAGGTGTGGTAGACCTTGTAAAACCAGGTAAGTTTAAATGTCATCTTTGTCTCAAATTTGAGAGAAGATAGTGGTATGGTGTGCTTTATAGCTTATGTAAGAAATGATATATTTTAACAGCAGTTTTTCTGTTACTTAGAGGAAAGTGTTTAATAATTACTCTTTTATGTTGGAAGGTATTTAAAAATATTCTATCACTGTCCAAAGCTGAGTGGTGTCACGTGGATAATACCTAGGTGAAATTTGAAATACTGCCTTTGAAGAATCACCACCCTTCTGTTTGAACTTGAAGTTTTGTTCCTTGAGTCTTAATATTTAGCTGGCTTGCTTTACATCTTAGTATTATGAGGGTATCTTCATTTCCTAAAGTAACAAAGAAATTGTATTTAAAACAAACAGACACACAAACTTTTAATTCTCCCTACTCTGTCTGTACTCTTTTTGAAATAGAATATTAGGATAACAAACTAAGATATGAATATTTTGAAATAGTTATTTTCTGCATGCAATAAATAATGGGAGTCGTCTTCATTGCCTTTCAGCTGATCTTAAGAGAACAATTGCTGTTCTTCTGGATGATATCTTACAGCGTCTTGTGAAATTGGAAAACAAAGTGGATTACATCATTGTGAATGGTTCAGCAACAAATACCACTAATGGAACTAGCAACCAAGTATCAGTAAATTCAAGTAAACGTGCAAAAGCAGCAGGCAACATTAGATAGCAAAGCAGGCTATGATGTGTTGCTACATGTATGATAGGTCGTAATTAAGACAAGCTTTTTATCTCTGGCTAGGGCAAAGCAGTAGCTGACTCTAAACGAAGCATATGCTATTCTGTTGAAGAATGCGCTGGATATGTGTGTGTGTATATATATATATAGGCCTAACTTATGTGCATAAGGTTCTTAAAGCACTATTTCATTGCCTTTGAGCAGTGCTTCTAAAGTGATCCTTGTTGTCTTTAAAGATATTTTGATATCATGATTTGATGTAGTATGCCCTTGGATAGTAACAGTAAATGGACAGCAATGAGGAACTTAGAGGTAGGTTTATAAATGTATTTAATTAAGTATAAATATAGCATATCTTTTGGATAGGTGAGCAGCATTGTAGCTTACTCATTTTTGTGATCTGCATTAAACAGGTAACTGAGGAGAACATCATTAAACAGATGTTAGAAAATGTGTATACTTAACAGTATTTTGTTACTCATTTACTAAAATATTAAATTGAGGATAGCGCTTTGGGGGGGATAATGTTTTAGAATTGTGACCCAAAGAAGGTCTTTATTTGCACTATCAGAATAGCTAGAGAGAATTTACTGTATATTTAAGAAAATCAATTATAATAGGAAAACATCCTAGGTAGTTACACTGTCCAGGTGTATCCTTGTGTCAAAATTAAGGCAGTTAGATTACCAAAAGCAAACATAATTGTGATGTCTTACGATTGTTTCTTACTGAGATATTTAAGTGTATGTATTTTTTAACTGCAGATGAAACTATTTAAGCAATGGAAATAAGTTTTAGATATGTGAATACTGTTTATTTTTATTCACTGCTGTTTCTTTTTAACTCATGAGTAACTTGTGATTTGTGATGAGAATAGCACACCAGCTCCCTGAAATGCTTCCTTGATCAGGAGGAAGAGCAACGAAGGGAGACAAAGCATCTCTGCCTTTAACAGAGATATGTACTAAAGGTGTCTTATCATGGAATATTTCAGAGCTAAGGTAATGTTTGCCTTATGTCTAAGTTAGCCTTATAGCAAAGTGAATTGCAGTGTGGACGCACTGTATTCCAAATGTTACTGAAGTCATATTCAAGTGCCACTGAGCCTGCTTTTTTAAAATGTAGTGAGTGGTGAAAGTTTTGCAGGGAGGGGAAGGGTATGTTCAGGGACTTTTGCCAAAAACGTGCAAGTTATTTATCATTTAATGTGAGTGGGTCTTTTTCTTTGTTTTTTCTTTTAAGTGATTGTCTAATTTTAATTAAAGAAAAACATGCAGTAAAAATGGGGGTGCTAGATGATATACCATCCAAAGTTCCGTGTCTTTCTTTTTTCCCCTGCTGTTACTCTGGATTTGTATAATGGAAAATGTAGTTAGAACCATAGCAGACAGATAACATTTTTTTTCCTGTCAAATTGTGTGTAAAGTTGTACTTCCTTGCAAAAAGAGAAAAATAAATTTTTAATTGTACTTACAAAGACTCCTGTGTGGTGTGGTTTTTTTTAACAGTGCTGTCATTCTTAATGTGCTCCAGGTGTTTCAGGAAAATTGTATGTCTTGAGGTTTAGTAGTAGGTTTAGTAGTAATGTCTACTACACTTGTAGCTGAATCACCAGATCCTCTCCCAGTCTAACGTTTGGGAAACTTTCAGATTAGAGGTGAGTGGAGAAGAATATTGAAATGTAACAAAACAGATCTGTTTTAAATTTTTAATCATGATGACCACATTCTTAATTTAAAAGTGAGTAAGAGAAGTGCCATCTGCAAGTTTGTAATGTGGAGGTAGGTTTTTATATCTGTGCTTTTTATTCCCTGTGTATTTGATCTGTAGCAAGAGAAACCTTGGTGGTGCTGCTCCTTGGCACTATAAAGAGTAATGCAGGTGATTTTGTGTATTTAAAGCATCTTCTCTCTTTCTTGTGAAGGTATATGAAGTCAAAAACAAATCTGAGGATTGCTAAAGAAACCTTAAAAAAAAAAAAAAAGCTGCCAGGTGTATATTTGTGTGCACACAGTTTGCACAGGATTTTGGAAACAGACACGTACTGACATAAATGCAGTTTTGTACCCCTCATAGTAATTCATGGTTGCATTAGTGAACAGTTGCTTTTCTCAGTGTCACAATGGCTCACAGGAGTTGTCTTGTGTTTAATGTGTATAAATGTGTGTGCGTGTATGTAGGAAGAACAGCAAATTAGCAATAGTAAGAATGTTCTTTTCATAATACAGTTTATCAAGAAGCAAATTCAAAATATTCAACTAGCTTGCTGTATTTACTTTTACACGAAAGCAGCATTGCTAGGACATGTATAGCATTATATCAGCATCCAAGATACATCTTGCCCCTTTCTTTGTGGCCAGTCCTTTTTGGTGCTGAGTGGTCCCACACTTTGGATGGATGAACAGATACTCCACTGACACCCACCAAAACTACTCAAAGCAAATCTTTTTATCCACTGTTGGGATCACAGAGTTTTTTCTGATCTGTTTTTAATGAAGTAAAAAGTAGTAATTCAGCAGTGTAGCACAAGAATGTAGGGGTTTTTGTAGACAGTGCTCTGAAACATCCATCTTCTTGGCAGCCAGTAATACGCTGCACAGTTGTCTGTTTTTCCAAGTATCTGCTCAGTATTTGTTTTTCTTTAATGCAGTCATTAATGGAGTCTGGCTAGATAGATGCAAATATTTTCAAGTAGAATTATCTAATGCTGACAATTCCAGATGGCATCGTCAGACTCATGAAGGAGGCAAGTTGCCCAAGGGACCCAAAGTGTTTCCTTGTGCAGATACTTACTGTGGAATTAATTGCCATAGGAAAATGATTGGGGAAAATAATTACATGAACTTTGAAATCTAAGTTTATTGTGTTTTCTTAAAATGTCTTCAAAACCCTCAAATTCATGGAATGAGCTAAACTTCTAAAACCCATTTATTTGGTGGTTTATTTTGAAGATGATACAGAGTGTCAATGGACATCTTTAACAATTAACCCAAATGTGGCCTCCTTACCCAGGACTTTGATTAGTTTGTGCTGCACAACTGGCTGGCTGCCCACAGCATTTTGAGCTAATATTTTTGACAGTATGGAAAAGATTTTCTTTCAGAGGCAAGTTTTAATTTTATAGCAGCTAAAAAGGTGAATCAGACTTCTGCAATGTTGTATCCCGCTTGTTTTGGTTTTGGTTTTTTTTTAAATATTTTAATAAAATATAAAATCTTGTTATTTCTGTACATCAACTATATATTTTGTGTGGCCCAAGACAATTCCTCTTCATGCAGTCAGGATCATTAAGGTTGGAGAAGACCTCTGGAATCTTCAAGTCTAGGCCTGCCAAAAGGTTGGACACCCATGGAATAGACTATTACTGAACTGATGCTTCACAAAGCCTCAGTTCTCTGGGATGATGCAAACGTACATTTTGTATCTGTTTAAAATATCATTCAGATTCTTAAAATATGGTTGAAGGAAAAAAATTCACATGATATACATCAATGCCAGTGGCATCACATGCTGCCGAATTATCAGTAAATGATGTAATTACTACAAATTTCCTAACTGTTTCTCAGCCCTTGAGTAAAAACCTTTCATTATGAGTTGGCCCTTGGTTGCATGTGAGTTTGCATATACCCTGAAGCATTCGTCAACTTCCTGTGGTTGGTCAGTAGATGTCTAATCATCGTCTGTTTCTCTGATGGCAAAGCTGAAGAGAAATGTGTTGACATCTCTTATGTGCCGTGAGCTAGAGCTAATCATAAGCTTTATTTTTTTAATTGTAGCATATTCTATGGTCACTGTTAGAAGTGGATAGCGATAGCTTTTGTTTTTAAGTATATCAGAATATGGGTAACAAATGTGGAAGGAAGAAACAATTGGATGAAGGCTTTCCATTATTATTTATGCTACTCTAATTGATCTCAGTTTTGGAGCAGCTAATTAGAGATGATCATTTACTAAATGCATAGAAATAGAATGGCTGATTACTACTTTAAAAGGATGACAAAGTCTAAAATACACTTATTTCTGATTTACTTATTATTCCTTTAATAGATTAGCTATTTTCTATTTACATAGGTATTCCACTGAGGTGATTTTTAAAAACTTTCTCGAACTTGCCAGGATTTTAAAAAAAGTTGAGTTGCACATTTCATTGTTAACAGAGGGTGTTAATGGAGAGTGTCAGCACCCTGCACAGCTTTAATCTGTTGCCTTTGATGTGTAGGTGGCACCTCAGGTCTCCCAGAGCTGTCCTGTGGGTGAGTGTCCATATGTTCAGCCCACTTCAATATGTTCCAAGAGCTTGGGCCAGCAATGCCTGTATGCTGCATGGCAGACACAGGAGGTAAAACAGCCATCTGGACTTCATAGAATCATAGAATAGCCTGGGTTGAAAAGGACCGCAAGGATCATCTAGTTTCAATCCTCCTGCTATGTGCAGGGTGCCAACACCAGACCAGGCTGCCCAGAGCCACATCCAGCCTGGCCTTGTGTTTTTGAACTTGCCTTGTGGCACTCCTTGTTTGCAGTAGCAGAAAGCTCCACGTATGCTAATCTGATGGTTTACTGTGCAAAGGCTGGTTTGGCTTGGTATTTAATCATTGTGATTTCAGGTGTCCACTAACAATCTCTTAGAAGGAATGGGAGACAAGGCAAGGTTTTCTGAATCCAAAGTGTATTCCAGTACCTTTGCTATGACACAGGAGCACTGGGTGCTTGAAATAGCCATGTTATAATTTTAGAAATGGATTTCTTTGCTGACTCTTTATGTCCGTGCCCAAAGAAACTGGTGAGCACAAATTTGGATCCAAACAGTCGCTGGGACACTGCTGAGCTGAACATTGGCTCTTTGTCACAGAGATCACTTGCTGGGATCAAACCTGTTAATAAAGCCTTGGTTTTTAAGGTGGAGGATTAGTTGTTCTGGGGCAGGTGGCCCGCAAAAAGCTTTCTTATTCCCAACACCTTTACACTGACTGTTTGTAGGTATTTTGATGCTGAAGTATGGTACAGATGAATGTTTGTAGCCCTCACCAATGACTGCCTTATTCAGAAACACGGCACTGCATTCCGAACCCAAACTATTTAAGAGCACCATTTTATATGAAAGTTTCTTGGATGAGGTACAGGAAGGTATGATACTGGAATTCTGCTCCTTCTGTGTGACCCAAGCTTGCCAGAGCTCACTCCTCACTTTATTGGCAGAGCTGGCACTGGTGAAATGTGCGTACAGATGAGGCATTCCTGATTTAGTGCAGCTCCTGTACAGTGCTGTGTTCCTGAGTACGTGCTAATTCCATGTTTGCAGAGCTTTTCCTCCTGCTTTCCAAGTTCTCTCTCCCCTGTCTGTTTCAAAATGTTGGTCACTGTAGGAATTCTTTTTTTCTTGGAGAGATGTTCCTGACATTCTGTTTTCCTCATCTAGCTCCCGCTTCACAGGAGCACTGACTGCTACCATGACTTGCTCCCACATCATCTCTGCCTTTAAGATGTACAAGTTCTGGGTACAGAGCTCAGAGGGGCAGATCCGTGCTGCAGTGCTGGCTGCTCTGCTGCAATTTCTTATACATGGGGCGTAGCCACAGGGCTAACAGCCCAACCATATGCCCTGTCACCTTGCTCAGATCCTGCTGGAAAACTGACAGCGACCCTGTGGTTTCAGCTCTCTGGGGGAAGCATTGGCAAAGCACTACCTCGGTCCTTGTGACATCTCTTCACCTTCTGTTTCCTTGCTGATGGTTTGCCCAGTGCAAGGCAATCCAGAGATTTCTTTGAATAGCCATGAATTTCTCAACAGGCATCTGTCACTTCACTGTTTGGAAAAGCTTTCCCTCTCGCATCTCGCTGTGGCAGCCTGAGTATGAGCTCATGGCTTATGCTGATGTGCAACTTAAACATCAATTTCCTAAAGTTCAGTTCAGAAAAATACACTACATCCCATGCTCTCACATTCAGTCACTGTGTGTGAAGTGCGAGGGTCCCTATGTTTGTATCAGGTGGTCAATTCACAGATAATGCGGTAAGTATCAGAAAGAAGCACTGTGGTCTGCCTACTGCAGAAGGAGTTGTGCTGCTGCTTGTGGCACATTGGGAGCTGAGGGGGAACTGCAGGCTGCCAGAAGCACCTGTGGCTACAGGCTGTTCCTTCAGTTGGCCTCCTTTTGTCTTGAACGATTTATTTCATAAAGGATGTGCTTTCAAAGAATATGAATGAGTTGGAGGTAACATTTATGATATCAGGAGGCAGCTTTGGTGTTCTACATGAAATAGATCTTCCAAGCTGTGCTGGGTAAATGGCAAGTGCATTTTTAGGACCAGCAGCTCTGGATGCTTTCACAATGATGGGGACTATGCTCTAAGAAGCTGTATACAAATACTGCTGCTGGGTCACATCCTTCACATTCTGTGTAGATGCTTTCATTCACCAGAATGAAATGCTCTATAAGGTCTAAGTTCATCCCTGGAGGAACCTTTAGGTTCAGGATGTACAAAATTATATTCAGGACTGGCAGAGGGTGGGGAGAGACCAGGGGGAGGTGGGCTCCTTGTTAAATGTGTACATTGTGGGATGAGTCATAATAGTTATCTTCAGCATCAAGAATTATACAGTGTATGAAGGCAGGTCTGAAAGCAATAACTTTGATTTCATTATGTTGGCCCATGATGTCAGAGGTGGATGTTGGTGGTATGGCAGCACAGGTTGAACCTTCTCATCAATATCCTGCTACATTTCATTGCTGTGTAACAGATGGCAGCAGAGGAGCAATCTGACAGGCTGGCATCTGACATGGAAGTGTTGATGAAGCGAAGGGCTGTCACTGAGGTCCTCCGTGTGGGAAAAAATGGCACCCATTGACATTCATTGACATTTGCTGGATGTTTGTAGAGACCGAAGACCGGGTGTTTGAACAGTGATGCCGTGGATGGTGCCGGTGATGAGAACTGGTGTCACCTCTACGAGCCAGAGTCAGAACGGCAGTCCATGGAGCAGCGATGTGAATTCCCCATTGCAGAAAAAGTTCAAGACGAGGATTTGTACGTGGATGGTTTGGGTGCACAGACCTCAAAAACATAAGCTATGCCTGTCCTGAGCACGTGACAGCTGACTTACTGCACGGTGGGTGACAAATCCGCTTCTTGGCCGCTTCCACCCCTACTACCCCGAACAACACCGACGGCTGCCGTGGTGCTGCAGGAACAAGAGCGAAAGCCAAGTCGCGCGGGGCTGCGTTAGCCTTTATTTCACAAAGAACGTTTCCAGGACTTCTGTTTGCTTACAGCGCACGGCAGCAGGACGAGAAGCAAACAGGTCCGTACCGGCAGCGGCAGCCAAGGGCTGGGTGCAGCACGGAGCCGCTCCTCGCGCGGCGCGGTCGGTGCGCGCCTGCAAGGCTCGGGGTGCGCGGCCGCTGCCCGGCGGTGCGCGCGGGGCGGCCGCTGCCCGGCGGTCAGGGAATGGAGCGGCTGCCGGCAGACGCGGCGGCCTTGGAGGAGTACGCGGAGTACCGGCGGTGAGAGCGGGGCCGGGCCCGGCACGGGCATCCCGAGGGGAGGGGAGTTCCGGGAAACGCGGGTAGATCGCACCGAAAGTAATGCCGCCCGTTTATTTCCATGGAAACTTCAGCAGATACAGTGCACACAATAACGGTATTTGACAGAGCAAATTCTCAGCCACACGACGCTGCTTTCCAGCGCGGTCACCACCATCAGCTATGTGTTGTCACCCGTGATGAACGAGAGCTTGCATGCCGCACTCAGAAGAATCTGCACCAGTGGAGGTGACCCACTGCTTCACAGCCACTATGGCAAACATCACCGCTAGGAAGATGTTGCCCACGCAGTCCATCTTTCATCGGCCCAAACAGACGGCACCAAGTCTGCACTACATGATGGGTGTGGTAGGAGAGCCCGGCCAAGATCAGCAGTGTGCTCCACAGTGTTCTAAATGCGGTGTGGCCTGGCACTATGGTGTCAGAAAGGAAAGGCTGTCTTCTCTGGCCTGACTGGCAGTTCGAGACCAGCTCAGTCAGAGGTCAGAGTTAAAGGTTTGTCCAAGTTCCAGGAAATCCAGAAGAATCACCCCTTTCTTGTCCCAAAAGACAGTGCGCATCTCTTTACCCGCTGAAAGCAGCACCTTGAACATTTTCTTTGATGGGGAATTCACATGTCACCACTCCATGGCCTGCTGTCCTGTCTCTAGCTCGTAGTGGTGATACTGCATCTCATCACAGGTAATGATGTGATCCAGGAAACTGTCACCTTCAGCCTCATATTTGTTCCATGGGACCTTCTCACAGTTGCCACTGCTGAAACGCACCACCCATCACCTTGCTGTGCTCGCATCCACTGTTTGGTCTCCATTAAATTCAGCATGTATTGATGAACGTCAGTGGGTGCCGTTTTTACTTCATGGAGGAACTGAGTGGCACACCTTTGCTTCATACATACATCCATGTCAGATGCCATTCTTCAGCCTGCCTCTCTGCTGCCATCTGTCACAAGGCAATGACACGTAACAGAATATTGGTGGGAAGGCTCAATCTGTGCTGCCACACCACCAACATCCGCCTCCTACGTTGTGGGCCAGTATAACGAAATACTAGGCATTACTGTTGGAACAGACCTAATATATTACTAGAATAGTAATACACAATTTTTTGCTTTTACAGCAAAAATACCGTTATGTGTTGTTTGATATATTGGGAAACCTTTTACTTTCTCCTTTTTGACTTTTTTATGACATGCTTACAGAATTGTAGGTGATGATGACGGAGGAAAGCTTTTTACCCCTGAGGAATACGAGGTGTACAAAAGAAAGGTGCTGCCCATCCGGCTGCAGAACCGGCTGTACGTCAGCTGGAGATCCCCCACAGGCATGGACTGCAAGCTGGTGGGACCAGAGACGCTGTGCTTCTGTACTCACCGGTGGGGTTCTTCACTTTTTTTTCCTGCACCTTTGTATTCTTTTTACATCAAAGAATTTTACAATTTTCTAGATCCAAATACAGCACAAGCAATTTAAGGTCTGTTTTGGAAAATTAGGTTATTAGGTTTTGAATTGTAAGAATTTTTTTTTTTAAAACCTAAATCCCAGTAACTTTTGTGCAGGCCAGAACAATTCTATAGCCATCAATAAATACAGCTTCCAGGCACAAGTTATTGTAGATCAGATTGATTGTGCTGGTGTTATCTGTAGATGGTGGTTTTGACATTGTTATCAAAATGAAACATAATGATCTGTAATATTTATAAAATAGATGGATGTAAATATACCTGATATTAAGTATCTAATTAAACATCAGTAATTAACAGTAATTAAGATAATTAAAGATGCTTCAACTCAGAGGTTGTAAGCTAAATTATAAGTCTTCTGACTAGTTTTATCACACGTGTAACCTAACAAGGATATAAAAGCTGTTATTTTTGCCCATTTCAGGTATAAACAACACAAAACAGACTACGAAGTGATTCCTAAAGACCGTCCCATCTGCATGCCGTGCAGAGTGAGCCACTGTCCATGCCAGTCCTACCACTATGTTCCTCTCAATGGCACACAGCCCATCCGCTGTAGGTGCAAACACTTTGCTGATCAGCACAGTGCAGCTCCTGGATATTCCTGCAACTCGTGTAAGTTACCATCAGCTTGCAGAAACCTTCGCTTGTGAACTGACTGTGAGCTGTGTCTGCCCAGAGCATTGTTAACACTGTAACAAAGCAGTTCCTGAAGGTCCAGAAATGCAAATGGCAGCAAAATACCATGCAAAAGGTTTGGGAAAGCATTCAGGGGAAGCTTTTTGCTTCACTTGATTGAGGTTATTGTAATGAAACAGCAGTAATAACCATAGAAATTAAATAGTGCGCAAAATTCTTTGGAGCTTCAACTTGTATAAGCTGAAGATTTTTTCTTAGATTTCTATAATATTAGTGAATTTCTTTCTTGAAATCTATTTAATATGTACAGTAAAAATCATAATCAGCTTTTGCTGGATGAGGTGAGAATCACATCCCACAGGATTAACATAAAATATTTATGTGACAGCCTTTCAAGCGTTTGCTCTGAGTAACGCGTGAGACCTAAACGTGCAACTGAATGGTTCAAAGTGGAACCTTAGAACAAAAGGTTTTAAATAATCATTTATATTCTACACTTTTTCTTGGGTTTCTCAAAAAGAGCAGGCACTTCTGAGAGCCTCAGAGATCGCACAGAGGAGGGCTAAGACTTGCTTCAGTGTTGTTTTATTGTACTAGTGCTGCTCTAGCCCAGCTGTCAAACATGGTAGATAAATTAGATGTAATATTAAAATTAAAAAAAAAGTACTTAATGTATGGTACATACAATATTTTGTATGAAAATACAGAGTAAGAACTCTATGACCGAAGAGTGCCCAAAATGAAGTAAGCAAGCCTTTCACAATTCTAAGAATGCTCTACGAAATGACCTGTAACTGAGATTAGTTAGGGGCAGGTCATAAATAGGTTTGTAATGCAGTCCTAAAAGAATAATGAAACATTTGTAGGTCTTGTCCAGATCTCTCTCCAGCAAGGCTTTATGATGTTTGGTCTGAGCTTTACTTAGGGCAGATACACCTCTGCCCTATATCTTTCATATTGTGATGAAATGATGCTGAAATGCTTTAGCAAAGACCAAATTATGTGCAAACTTCCCTATAGAAAATGTGGCTGGATGCTTTTGCAGTGAAGAAACTCTAGTTTTTTACAAGATCAGTTTGGAGAAATGGCGTTTTGTCTGCTGTGAGGCATAAATTCCATTATCATCTCACTCATAACATCTATTTATTTGTAAATTAGGTTCCAGATGTTCAGGATTTCACAGTTGCTTTACCTGTGGATGTGGTCAGCCAACATATGCGCATGAAACAGTAGTGGAAACTAAACAAGAGCGGTTAGCTCAGGGAAGGCCAGTGGGGCAGGATGTTCCCTATGCTGCTATGGGAGGACTGACTGGGTTCAGTTCACTGGCAGAAGGCTACATGAGACTTGATGACAGCGGAATAGGTGAGTGCAGCTGACCTACGATGAAATCTGAGTGCTCCAACTGGGTATTTTTGTGAAGTAGTCATTCAACAGAGACTTTCAGAATCTGAAGGTGAACTGGATCAAAAGGAGTAGGACTTAAAGACAGATTTTTTTTCAGCAGTTCTTATGTGTGAGGAGACCACTGTCCTGTTCAACTTCCTGTAGTGAAATGATCAAAACGATGTTCTGTCAGTAATTTCAGTGTTCAGCACAGTAGCTTCTAGCTGCATTGTATGTATTTTAAAGATAATTCTGCAACGTCTCTTTTTTTTCTCATTTTCATTTTGTTAAACCTTTAGCATAACTCTGCCCAGATTTTCCTTTTTTATATTATTCTAGAATAAAAAAACCCACCCTCATAGATCAGTGTCTGTTTTGCATACACACACACACACAGAACATCTGGACTTAGAAACCTCTGTGCTCTCAGGTTTTGTGTCATATAGTAATGGACACATTCTATCCTGAAATAATGTTTTATTTATTACTTCCACGCACTCTGCTTCTTTTTCATATTCTGATCTTCTTTCCTGGGTTTGTTGTGGTTTAGAAGCTATACTGTAGCTGTATTAACTAAAGAACTGAAGACTTTCATTTCTTTTGAAGCCCCCCTCTTCAACATTTTTCTGCACGGTGTTGTTTGTATGAATCTGTACCTTTGTTTTGACACCAGCATCTATGTTTTTAATGCATCTTGCAAAGTGAATTTTTGTTTTCATTCAACTTTTTTTTTAACAGGAACTCCTTCTGCTGAGCTGTTAGAATCCCCTATAACCAGCATGGATCATCCTTTTCTAAAGGCATTTCAGGGACCTTCTAGCTCTGCTCAGACCATCTCACAGATAGCAGGTGGTATATTAGTAGAATAATACTTCTTACAATAAGTATATCATATAAAATCTAATTTATTTATGAGTTGTAGCATGTTTAGGAATAAAAATCAAAGTTAAATACTAAAACAAGTTTTGATGCCTACTTATCTGGAAGTTAGTGCAGTTGTTTAGCTCAATCCAGTAAGAATGCTTTCTGCCAGAAAGTCTTTTCTGCATGGAATTAGGAATCAGTTATGCTTGCTTTAGATCCCTTCTTTTGAAAAATTATTTAGCCATTAATATCACTGTTGAATTCCTGTTTATCATAGCTGCTAGCCTTAGACTAAAAGGAATACTCATTAGTTCAACTTCTGGGGTTTGTTACTTGCATATAAAGGTGTTTTATTACATCCATACTACATCTCATTTTTAAACTAGTTTTGCCAGTACTGTGGAATAGAGAGTATCATTAATAAAAATGTTTTCTTGTTTTTTGTTGTTGTTGTTGTTTGTTTGTTTGTTTTTTGTCTTTTTTCTCTGTAGGTGGTTCTAGTGCCACAGCACAAGTTTCTCATGAAAGGCGTTCAGAAGAAGATGACATGGCTTATTTTGAAAAACGTTATCAGGAGCGGGCAAGTTATTGTATTTACTGCTTAATTTAAATATATTCTCACAAAGTGATGGTTAAGAAAGTTAAACATCTAATTTAAGTGGCATATAAATATATTAAGATAAGGTTCGAAATACATTTATGTGCTATTGCAAGATGGTAGTGGTCAGGCATGTCTGGATGGTATTTACCTTAAACAAATGGATTTTTATTGTATTAACTCTTCATTACACTAAAAAAACTCCTAAAAGTTTAACTGTTACACTTGCTTCTTGCAACAAGAAAACTGTTGGAGCTTTGTGAAACTTTAAATCATTTTCTTTATTTTGGAAATCGTTACAAAATGTGGTCAAATGTTGCAAATATGGGATCAATTTATAGGAGAAAATGTTATCATAACATTCAAATTGCTAAGTCTCTTCTCCATGCCAAGATTTTCTTTTCTCTGCAAAAGTTAGGAGGGATTTCAGTTATAGACCTCACAACTCCAAATAAGGAAAGATGTTTTAAAATGAGTTCCTGTGTAGATGTGTAGACATCTACAGGAATACTTAACAGTCAGTTTGCTTCTATACATCCTTTGCTTATTTTTAGTGTTACACAGGGAAAAAAAAAAAAAACATGTTAAAAATATTGTTTTCTTTCTCCCTGCATTTCTGATAGCTACATATCCCTTTTGTATAATTGCTCTAAAAAGGATTTCATTCGCTTTATACTGTATCACTTTATTTTATGATTTCAGTCACTTTTATATCTTTTATCACTTTTATAATAATACACAAGGAAAATTGTTGCTTCTGAAACCAACGGTTATATTTGTTTGGACTAATTAATAAGTCTTACTACAGAATGGATGAGTTAAAATAGGCGTGTTGGCAGATCATACCATGCTCTGAGAGCCTACTATGTGGAAAAACCTGCTGAGAAGAGGTGACCTTGTGCTGAGCAAGGTGTTGAGATGCAGGTTTAACATCTATTTCAGCAACAAAATTTCATTGTGATTTTGTGCATGTTGGTTGTTCTGTGTCTGTTACACTGCTGTAATAAAACTCCTTTAATTTTCATTGAGATTAAGATTAATCCATGAATTGAGGAACTTTGGCCTTGAGGGAATACCTACATTGCCATTATCAGAAATAAAGGCAGTCCTGGCTTGAATAGCAGAGGAGCTGCAGAGCTATGAAAGCACTCCTTTCTCACTTGATTCAAAAGTGAGCACTTCTGGGTTGAACTAAGAATAATCTCTACATCTCTCTGTCCCATAAATTGCTGCTAAATTTGTGACTGGTTGTAGAGGCTCAATATTGCATTATTAACCTACTTGCAAATTAACTCTTGAATCACTGTTGTGACTTTCTTTCTAACAGCTGAAAAAGGAGAAGACTGCTAAAAGAAAAGAGAAAAGTCTGGTGCCAACAAAGAAGCCATGAGTTTAATGAATAAATATTAACTACATGGTTAATCATTTATTACTTGTTGATTACATGTTAATTACATATTAATTGTGTATTGAAGAATATTTTGTCACTGTACCTATTTGTTTACTTCTTTCTTTCCTTCTTTATTCAGTTCTGTTCTTTTACCAAAACTAATTTTTAATTATCTTGTAATAAACTTGGTACTTTAATCCAAGTGTTTCTAGTTGCTAGAATTGTTATATAAGTATATAAAGTTATATAAGTATGGAAAATCATATTTAGAGATTTACAGAACTGTTACTTAAGGTCTGAGAGAATAAGCCTGTTTTAACGTATTACATTGCAGCTGGGCGAGGGAAGTATTATACATCCTGTTCTTAGGCTTTTATGATACATTTTACTTATAGAATTGCTAGGACTTACCTTGTTCATGGATTTGTACTTGGTAGTGCTTGTTTTATTAATGGTAACATTTTAATCATTAAATCATTTTTATTTCTGTTGGTTTCGTCTCCTTTGCATAAAATTGAGGCATACCTTTTGTTTCTCACACTTCTCTAGGCTCTGTTCTTCCAATGTATATTTGTTACGTGTGAAGTTCCATGTGCTCACAAACCTCATTTCCACCCATTCTTACTAGCTAGCTGAAGGGATCCTGCTGTCTGCATAGCAGTGACTGTTAGACTGAAATTTTGACAACATAAAGTGGAAATGGATATGTTATTTATTGCACATAAGTAATTATATTGCTTGATATAAAGTTCTTTATCCAACAGGTTCTCCTTCATCATGTCTAATGCAAGAGTCCTTGAAGATGGGAGATGTCCATTTGTTTTGTCTGTATGCAGCTGTGGTAGCATATATTGTACTAAAGGTTGTGGACATTTGTGTGAAAACTTAGATTTGGTAATGCTGTGTGGTGCTTTAGGTCTGTTAAGTAGCGTGATGCTGAATACCTGGCTGAGGCTGCAGGATGGTTGGAATTTGGAGGCAAAAACTGTGCCTGAGTTAACTTTGTAGGCTCGCCTGAAAACAGAGATGTAAGGTTGTTCGTCCTTAAGAGCTCTTGAACATGACTCTTGGACTGAAGTTTTTCAGGTGGTATGTGTCTGCTAAGACTTTATAGCAAGAGCTGGGAGAAGCTTTAAAAGCTTTGATTCTCATCAGAGAGCTGGATGTGGTGCCTGAATGTGTGCCATACTGGCAGAGGAAATGAGGTGAGGTGGAATGCATTTGGATGACTTCCTCTTTTCTTCAAAAAAAGAAGGAAGGCTCTTGGGAGTGTGTGTGAGTCATACAGTGACTGATGGAGGTGGCTGGATCTGAGTGCAAACAGAATAAAGGCTTGATTACCCAAATTCAAGCAGGAGCAGTGACTGTTCACCTTAACTGTGTGTTGTGTTTCTATCTATTACCTTAGTTTAAATGCATTATATATTGAAGTGTATACTGAATGTTTAAAACATATCTTTACCTTTAATTTCTAAACTGTTTCATATGGTTTTATCTTAATAAATAAAAACACTGATTTGAGCTCCCTCTTCTGGTCCTTATGAGCAATCATTTCTATAGTACCTCTACTTGGGTGGTTTCACAGTAGAATTACAAGGAAAAAAAACCCACATAGACAACATTTTTTAAAAATGGCAAATATATAGAAAAAAATAATTTGATTTCTGTTCTCCAAGAGATTACTACAAAGTAAAGTGAGAAATGTATTCCAATAGTCTTCTATTTATTCCTATAGCCATCGGAGAACACAGTTCCAGAAATGTTTGTGTACATTTCAAAGATGAGGTGTATCACAACAATATACTTTACAGGGAGAGGTTTTAATAGTTTCATTTCTTCATTGGAAGAGGGAAAGAGAAAGGGAAAGGGAAAGGGCAGAGGAAGAGGAAAAGGGAGGGGAAGGGGAAAGGGAAGGGGAAAGAGAAAGGGATGGGAGGGGAATGGAGTGAAGGGAAAGGGAAGGGAAGGGAAGGAAAGGGAAGGGAAGGGAAGAGGGAAGAGGGAAGAGGGAAGAGGGAAGAAGAGGGAAGGAAAAAGGAAAAGATTTAAGTTAAAAATACTTGCCAATTGCTTGATTTGTCCAAATCCAGTTTTACTGAACTTCACACATCATTAACTCTTTTTTATCCTAGTCAATCTGTTAAAATTTTGTTCCATGCTTAAACACATTTAAAATTTCCAGTATAATGACACTAAAAAGTCATTACATGTAATTGATACTTTATAGTTGGAAAATAGTAGGATTTTAAAAATATCAACTGCATTAGATATTGTGTAGGAGTTCTGGCCTCTTTTCACCAGTGTTGATGGCTTTCAAGTAAAAGAAAGTTGGTTTGTTGCTACAAGGCATACTTTTGACTTCTTGGTACTACACTGTAGAACATCTTGCAGAATTTTTAGTATCCTTACATGAAAAAATAAGTGAAATATATTTTATAATGTTGCTGGCTGTGAAAACTGGAGACTGCTGTCATGTCTTGTGTGAAATCTGCAGATCAGAATGACTCTCAAAGTAACTAATCAGAAATTATCCTAAAAAAAAACCCCAAAGAAACAGATAATTTTTGTACTTCTATAAAAAAAAAAAGATTTTTGTTAAAGGTAAAAGAAGAGATCAGATGCCAAAGTGTTTGCCACTGACAGTGGTCATTAAAGAGCTCAGTTTCATGTGCACTTGTTGATGCCTTGTTTCCTGAGAGAGGTCCTGGACTTTGAACGGAATGTTGGAGGGCAGATAAGTTATCACTTTATGATTTATCTGTGTGCATCTATCTCGCATTCAGCTGCACACATTAACTACTCCTGACTCTGATCCAAGGAATCGGGCACAAGAGATATGGGGATTTGTCATAATAGAGTGCTCTAACCTGCTAAAATGTAATTGCATAGCTCTGAGGTAGCACTTAGCCACTTTTCGTGTTTAGAATAATTGGCTTTCAAACGAGTATTTGCCATTATTACAATGCTCAGAGTAGAAGATAATTTTTTTCACTGGTTTTCATCTTCCAATGGAAAAACTGAGGTGCAATTTTCATGACGCTAAAGACTAGCCAGTGATAAGGGAAGGAGAAGGGGTTCCTTCTGAGTCTCTGCTTCTCTGATGCTAAATATAAAATGTGTGTCTTTCTCAGGTTGGGAGGAAGGGAACTGTGCGAATTCACAGCCAGCAATGGTGCAGAATGGTGCAATCAGTGCAGAATTACTTTTGCAAGTTGTCAGAGTCTTTCAAGCACGTCGTGCATATTAAACGGCTCGCTGACAGGCGAGCACTGATCGCGCTGCCCAGGGGAGCGGCGGGCTCACCGCCCCCACGGCGTTAAAGAACAGTGCGCGTATGGCACTGAGGGACGTGGCCGGTGGGCACCGTGGGAATGGGCTGGTGGTCGGGCTGGATGATCTCAGAGGTCTTTCCCAAACTTAATGATTCTATTCTAGGATTCTAACGAAAGCAGAAGCCTGCTGCCGCTCCAAAACGAAGCGATAATCGCGCCCTGCCCTCGCCGCCCTCCCCCAAGGCCCCGCTCCCTCAGCCGCCCCCTCCCACGCCTTGCGGCCCCGGGGCGGTGTGCGCACGCGCAGGGCCAGCGGCGGGAAACTGCACCGAAGGCGGCAGCGCGTGCGACCGGCGGCTGTGCGGCGGCGGCGCCACGCGGTGGGGGCTCCTGGTGGTTAAACGCGCTTTGGGCTCCTTCAGCGGGCTCTGATTTGTGGGTAAGGAGAGAGCAGAGAGGGGGCCGAAGGGTGGAGATCTTGCTTTTAGCGTGAGAGGTCTTACGGCCGTATGGGTGATGCTGCCGTTTTGTTTCAGCTGAAGGGAGTCTGTGGTGTTTCAGGGGCAGTCATGAGTTCTGTCACGGGTGTTTGCATGGACGAAGGCACGGAGAACGGAAAAGGTGATGTGAGGTTTTTCTTCTTTTTCTTCAAACGATGCGATCGTACGCTTGAGAACAGAGTTAGCCTGGTTTTGCACGGGATGGAGTTTTGCTTCACAGTGTCTGGTGTGATGCCGTGTTGTGACACAGCGTTGGTAACGCGGCGATGTTGGGCTATCGCTGAGCAGCGCTGCGCGGAGCCACAGACCTGCCGGTTTCTCTGCTTCTACTGCTGTCCTGTCAGCAGGGGTGGGAGGGAGCAGAACCGCAGCAGCTGACCTAAGCTGGTCGAAGCGGTATTCCCTGCCCTGGGGCAGCGTGTGAAAAAACTGTAGAACTGAAGAGTCGCTTGCGTGGGGGCTGCCTGGGCATTGGTTGGTAGGTGGTGAGCAATTGCTTTGTGTACTGCTTGTTTGGTATGTTTACGTATTAATATCATAACTACTATCTTTTTTGCCTCTGCCTTAGTTTTTTTATCTCAACCAATGACTTTTTTTTTTCTTTCCCAGTTCTCTTCCCCACCCCACTGGGAGGTGGGCAGTGAACAAAGGGCTGTGTGGTGCTCAGCTGCTGCTGGGTTAAACCACCACAAACTTAATGTTTCATTACTTTTTTTTTTTTCTTCCTCCTTCAAGCTGAGGATGTTGTGGGCTGTCACGTTGAAGATGCCATAACATTTTGGGCACAGGTGAGCTTAAAAAAAGAAGGTTCATTTAGATCTTGGAATGCTACAAGTGCAAATGATGCAAGTGCTGTATCATTTAAAACTGAAATAAGTCACTTTCTTAAAAAGTCAAAAATAAATGTCTGTCCGTCTGTTTGAACTGTAGCCAGGTTTTCATAGAATCGCTGTGGTTGGAAGAAACCACTAAGATCAACTCCAGCCATCAGCCCATCACCACCATGTCTGCTAACCCGTGTCTCTTAGTGCCACATGTATGCATTTCTTGAACACCTCCAGGGATGGTGACTCTACCACCTCTCTGGGCAGTTTGTTCCACAAATATTTGGTAGTCATTTGGTAAAAGAAAATAATATGTTTTTGATATTACCTGCAAAATACTGTGACAGGAAATGGGAGTACCCCAGGAGGCAGCTGGGGGGTGGGTGAGTGTCTTCTGCTCTGTGGGGCCCATTTCAGCTGAACTGAACAGGCATCAGGTCACTTCCATTGTGGGCTATGTGGGCAAGACGGAGGTGTGAGCGAGATGAAAAGCAGCAGCTTTCATTAATGGGTGCAGAAGGGAGAAGAGAAAACCAGGTGGCTCTGGGTTTACGTGGTCTTATTGACTGATGGAGTGTGTGTTAGTCGGCATCTACCTCACTGCGAGCCCCATGGGTACAGCAGGCACTGGTCATGTTAATAAGAGCTAGGGGGGAGAGAGCAAGCTTTCCTTGTACTGCTTATGTAACAGCTTTCTCTTTTAAAATAAAAGTAGATGTAATAGTTCATTCTCCTTTGCATTCTTACCCTGTTCTGAGTCTTGGTTACAGTATCTTATTTCATATCATAAGGTACAGAAGGTAGGAGTGTACTTCTGAGGATGACAGAATGTTTGGCTGCACTGATGTTTTCTTTTAGAGCTCTGAATGTTGTGCTTTGATTAGATGTAAAATTGACATTGAATATATACCATGCTACTGGATCTGACCCAGCCTCTCAGTGGTTCACATAACAAAGCTGTAACTAGAAAGTATCTGTTTTGCTTAGCTAAACCAAAACCTAAACCTTCAAAGTAAGGAGATGAGGGGTATGCTAGAGCTGTTGTCTCTTGGGTTTATGGAGAGAGATACAAAGGACGCTGAACACATACAAAAGTTTGTGAGGTGGAATTGATACAGGGATCTGTGTATTTCTTGCAGAATCTGGTAATTAGATGGTTACAAATGCTCTTTGTGGACTGTTTATTTGGGATACGTTTATCTGCCTCTCCATGAAGTTTTGAAAGATGAGAGCAGGCTTACAAGTACAACTAAAACCACGAGGTTCTAAACTTTAAGGTGGGACATTACTTCAGTGGCTGTGCAACTGTTCTGACTTCATTTTTGTAAGCATCAAACAGCTATTAAAAATGACAGTAACTCGTGCCCTCTATCCACACCTAGAATATCAGTAGCTGTAACGACCTCTTGAAATTAAGTTGTGCTCTGGCAGAAGCTTGTCCTCGGGCTCAAGCAGCATTTGGCAAGCTTGATTTTAATAAGGTACGTAGCTTAAGCACATATAAAATTTGTTTTTCCCTTGGATGTAAAAGCTTTAATTGAATGCAGCCATTTTCTTTGCTGTCTTATTGGTCTTTATGTTGTGGGTCTGTGCTTTCCGAATCTATTTAAGAACTGCTGTTGACCTTAACGAAAATGCTTAGTCGTTGTGTGCGGATTTTCTTTCTTTCTTCACTTCAGACCTTCATTAAATTATGCAACCATGTATGTATGCATATATACATCGATATAAAATTATGGTTTGTAACTACAGAGCTGTGCTTTTCTAGAGAAAAAGCTTTTCTGCTTCCTCTCAAAGTGTGGAAGATGGGATGAAAATCTGTAGTGCTTAGTAGGCTATACAAAGTGATGTTAAGATAACAAGAATACGTTTAGTTGCAGTTTTATGCAACTTTAGCCTATAAAGAGTGGTAGCAACTTCTGTGTTTGTGTGAACTGCTGGTGGCTTACTGCAGAAGAAGATTTAATAAAACAGTTTATCTCTGAGCTGTTCCTTTCGTGCAGGTGAATGGACTTCTGCATTCCTCTTGAAGAAAGCACATTGACAGCAAACTCAGCACACTGTGGTGTGACTGTTCCTTTGTTCAGTTCAGTAAGCTGTCAGTGCCAATAAAATGCTGTAGCAACACATTTGTAGGAAAAAAACATATGAACCTGCTGTGTAAAACGTTAGTTTTTATAGTTGTAAGATTTTCTTTGAGCTATTGTTTGTGGAGTAGAGGTTTATAGTTTTTGAAGCATCTAGCATATGTTGTTATGAGAGATGGGTCATCAAATGCATCACTTTGTTTTCAGAGTGCAGTTGAGATCATTCTAGCAGAGTGAAAATGAGATTTGCAATGTATTATGAATATTATTTTGATCTATGCTTGTATTTTCAGATTGCTGTTCTTGGCTTTTTTTCTAATTTTCAGATTTATGGTGGCTGTTTCTCTGAAGATAGATGTTGGTACAGATGTATGGTGCAGCGTATGATCAACAGTGAAAAGGCAGGAACAATTTTTTTTTTTCCAGTTTTTATGCATTTGTCAGCTTTTCTATGCTCCTGTGGGAAATAAACACAACTCCTCCCTCCTTCTTCTAACCTTCTTGTCTGAATAAATATAAAAACCACTGAATATGGATGTGTGACACAAATCCAAGCAACCTGTAATTTTGAATGTTGCTGATGAGAAGACTGACAAGACATGCCATACTTGCAAAGTGCTGTTGCGATGTCTTGGAAAAAAAAATAAAATCACAAGTGGTAGTTAATGTTGTTAAATGATGCAATTTAATTTCAAGCTGCTGAGAGGTGAAAACAGTAGCTGTTGTGTGATGTGTTAGCACTGATCCAATTGCACCGAAGGGGTTGTTCTTCGCTTTGGGTGGCTGACACAGAAGCCTTGTAGATCCTGTTTAAAATCGTGATTTCTGAACACCTTAGATTGTGTATCTGCCTACGGAAGGAAGTCTTCTGTATTACTTCCAAATTGCAGTTCTTGGGAGAGGGAAAAGAATATAACCAATAAATATGTTGTGGTACTCAAAGTTTTCTCAGTTTTTACACAAGTGTGAGTGTGTCGGTTCTTTAACTCTGTGACTTTCTTTGAAGGGTGTGTTAGACTTAGTATGGGAGGGTCTGATTTTCTGTCTCAGACACAGTACTGTGTCGCACACATCTGTTAAAATGCTTGTACTGTAGTTCTTTTCAGTGCACATTTTGGTAGGAGGTTCACATAACTTCTGCTTAATTATATTTTATATCATTGTTACAGTGTCAGGTATTATACATTGACTATGGAAATTCTGAGGTTATAAATAGATCAGAAATAGTTGAAATTCCTGAAAACTTGCAATATCCAAGTGTTGCCAAGAAGTACAGGCTCTGGGGACTGCAGTTACCAGCTGATCAGAACTTAAACATGTTTGACCAGGTGAGTGGCAGATTTTGAAGCAGTTATGATGTGCCTGCAACAGATGGTGCCAAATGTCTATGTAGTGTCTTGAGGAGTTTTCGATGAGCTGAGTGTTCAGCTGTGATAGCAGGACGTGCTGAGAAGCACTGATTGCTTGCCCTGAATGTACTCCAGAAGCTAAAATGGTTTGGTTCACGGTGTGCTGGGGGGAATGATTTTAGAGTACACTCCTGCAGTTCTGCGTACTCAGCAGCTGCTGCCAACAAGACCGATAACAGCTCAGAGCTGTTCTGAGTGGCACCGCTCGATCTAGTTTTGAGAAGTGATCTTCTTGTGGACACCACCAGTTCTGCACTCTTAAAATTATGCTCTGCCACTCTCAGCTGCCTTGAGAGCAGCAGTTGCCAGAGGAGCTGAACAGGGAGTGGCTGTCTTGCTTGCCGTGTAGCTCTGTGCCATTCAGAGGAGATACTGAGGCCCCTTGTGTATAGAGTCTCTTCTCTGTTCTCCTATTCACATTGCTTAATGTGATGAAGACATGAAAATCTGTTATGATTTCTGTTTGGTTTTTGTTTGCTTGTTTTTTCCATCATTTTGTATTGCTTGTGGTAGAGCTTTCTTTGCTTGCTGTATGTTGAAATGATACCTCTTTCCTTCCTCCAGTCTCTTCCAGTCTTAATTTTAAGTGGCAGCAACTTATGTTCAGATGTGGCTGAACAAAAATAAAAACTGTTAGTTGATTGCATTCTGGACTTAGTATTTATAAATGATACCAAATTCTTCAAAGTTAAATAACGAGGGAGAAATTTGGTGTTGATGTCCAGTCTGGTGTTAACAGAGATTAGATCAGGTACAGGCAGAGTTGCACAGATGCACTATTGTTTCAAAATAACTGTCAAACATATGAAGCTTTATCTGTGTTGCTCTTTGGGTTTTGGTCTTGAATTCTGTTTTGTTTTGGTTTCATAGCAGAAAGTTGTCTAAATTGAGTTGTGAGTTTTCAAAATGACCAGTACACAACATCAGTATATTTTACTTCACAGGGGAAGACGTTCTTGGGTAGCCTAGTTTTTGAAAAAGCAATAAAAGTACGGCAGAAGGCCAGGCAGAAGGATGATATCATTCTTGTCCAGGCAGAATGTGAAAAAGTAGACATTGGAGAAGAGGTGGCCAAGGCGGGGTTTGCTGAAAAGTGCAGATCTCCAGGAAGCACTGAAGATGTGGAAAAGAGAGAAGATGCCATGCAAAACCAGCGTAAGAAGATGAAAGCTCCTGCTCCTCTGTGGGTGAACAGGCCTGGTCACGTGCTGTGCAACCGTCCCAGAACAGTCTTGGACCCTGTAGCTGCCAGTGCAAGGAATCAGGTTTTTGCTGGAAACCGTGTGATTCTTACAAAGTAAGGCAATGGGATATAAGGGAAAGGTTTGTGTGAGTGTGTGGTCAGTGTAGTTGCTGGGATGACTTTGTATGAGAAGGTGGTGGGGTAAATGATTATCTAAGATGAAAGGTTCTTTTCCTGTCTTCCCAGCATCCAATAACGCTGGTACTGCATGGAAGGAGAGTAGATACAAAAGCATGTGTGTGGCGTGCTGTGGTGATGGGAGTTAGGACAGTAACCTGTCCAAAACTTAGTCATTACTGTTGTTGCATGTTGTTCTTCATTTGCTTTCCAAAGAGAATTTTGTTTGTCTTAATGTGACACTTCTGAAAAAGTAGGAAGTGTAGCATCTGTTAAGCAGTGAACCATAGGTGGAAGTGACGGTTGCAGGGTATTGCTCCTCTTTGAGGTTCTGACAGTCAGTGATGTTCTTTGAGCACTGACAGTCAATAATGTTCTTTTACACATCTGCGTGATTGCTGCAGGCTTATCCACGAGACTCTTTGTTGCTTCTCCCTGTTTATTTACATGTGTTAAAAACTCAGTGGTCTCAAATGTGGAATGTGAAAGTACATTCACCTGGCAGGACAAACATATTTTGGTTATTTATTTGTGCAGGAGCTCAACTGTGTGTGCTTGTAGGAAATAAAGCCAGCAATTGCAGTCTGAAGTGAGCTTTAGGGGGTAGTGATGTCTGCAGCTTGTAATTACATTGACAAGAGCTAGTGGTAACTTGGCAGTTAGAGTTGTCAGAAATCTTTTAAAATAAACTTGTCCTACGATTGCTAGGATTGCCATGGCAACAGGCTGCTGGGGAAGATGTTTGTGGGTGGAAAAGATGGTACTTCTCATTCAGAGAGCTGCAGTGATGTAAAAAATTATATTATTAAAAAAAACAAAAAAAACAACCCCAAATACCCTGGGTTGTTTAAAATTACAATTAAATCATCTAGGCAGTTCTATGCTGCTAACAAATACTAATATGAGATGAAGTGCTCTTTAAAGAAGTCTGAATTTACAGTGTAGTGCCTTATCATAAACCATTTAAATACTATAATCTGGCCTGTTTTCTGAGTTGCATATACTCTAAATCTAATTTTTAAAAAAGAGACAATAATAATTATTATTTAATATTATTGTTATGTGGCTCTTGCTGTTGAGCTAGCACTGTACCCCAAAGAATCCTGTCTGGTCTGAGCGGCTGGCAGCTGCAGATCCTTTATTCCATTTCCACGCATTCTGGTGATTTTAGCATGTTGCAGGAGGGCTGTAGTCATGAAGGAGAATGAGGTGGAAAGAAAAACTGTGATGTAAGTAATGCCATGCTTACTTACAAGGAGTAGAGATCCAAAATGCTTCCCTTAAAGTACTTCAAAAAGAAAAACCTTTTCAGTAGGTATAAAATTGGCATTATTGGCTACTGTGGGTCTGATGTGTGGTACAGCAAGATGTTTCAGGTTTTGGTTTTTTTTTTTTGTACGGAAAGGCATTTGAGTTAGCGATAGTAAAACATAAAGGGTTGTCTTCAAATGATGTATGTATGTTGTGCTTCTTGATTGTTCTTCAGTGTTGTGTAACAGTCTTTGAAGACTCCAGTGGAGAGAGTTGCAAATTGTGAAGAAGTAAAGCGTAATTATGTAGATGCTTTTATAGTCACTTTAGGGGTGTTTTGTGGTCATTACTGAAACTATGATAGCATGAAAGAATGCACATTGTGGTGGGTTTTGTCTGATTAATTCCCCTTCATTTTTTAAAGAGACAAAACACCAGCTTCTGCCCCAGTGCTTAACAGAAGTTTGGCATGTGTAAGAGATCAGAACCTGGCTGAAGGGAGTGACATCTTTGAAGAAGAGAAAGAAACTCAAAGAAAGGAGAATGTAAATCTGTTGAGAAGACAGAAGGAACTAGAACTGGAAGTTGAGCATCTGAAAGGTGAACTTCAGGTATGTGAACATCATTTAAAAAAAAAAAAAAAGCGTCTTTCCTGGTTGCAGATGTTTTTCATGGTGCTTCTGTCTTGTAGTTTCTTCAGACTGCAGCTCAAGGCTGTGCCTTGCTATTTGAAATACAACAGGATCACACTGGTTGGACAGAGACTTGGTTTTCCCCAGTGCAGGGCACACTGGCAGCGTTGTCACCTGCACTGTGGTCCAGGCTTCACCCTCACTCCCTTGGGTGTATGTACCAGGTTGCTGCTGCACTTAGTGCAGTTTGAGCTTTGGGTTTTGCATTTTGTGATTAAAAACATGCTTTGTTTCTAAGGATGTTGTCCATGCCTTTTTTTTCCTTACTTAAAGGCTAAATAAAACTCTCTGTACACTTGACTGAAAACTCCAAAGCATCACAGAATCATAGCAGCTATTGAATTTTAGGGCTGGAGGAAAATGTTTGTTTTCTTAATTGCTGCTTAATAGAAAAAATGCAAATACCACATACTTGTATTTCTTCCAGGGAAATACAGTTCTTCCTAACATTGTGTGAGAAGTGCAGTACTTAATTACTGATAGGCTTCAGAATGCTGTGTAGTTTTGTGTGGTAAACAGCAGGAGTGAGAAGAGGTCAGAGTATGAAAGGGTGTAATTCTTGCATGAGTTGAGAAAAATATCTTGCAACCTCTTAAATGTAGAGATAAGAAGTGTAAAGCATTCTGATGCCCTCAATACCGAGATTGTGAAGAAGAGCTCCTTCCTATTTCTTGCTTTAATGAGACTACTGGTAACCAGGCTCTCCCTTGAATACGCATGTTTCTACGTGCACTGACCTGTTACGATACGGGTTTGTCATCAGCTAAAGATACCATGTTTGTGTACTCATGCACATTAAATTTACAAATTACAGAGTAGGATCTGAAGCTAAGAAAAGTTCCTTAAATTCAAGGAGTTCTTAAAAGCATTTCTTAACTATATTCTGATTTTTTTTAAGGTGTGTTCTACGAATTTTAATTACCTTTTTGTTTACTGGAAGAAAATGCTTTAAAAGAAACAGTTGTGGATGTTTTGCTGAAGTGTGAAAGTCTTTGCTTGTTGCTAAAAACACTGAAGTGATATTTTTTTTTTTTAGGAAGGGCTATGGTTGCTGCTTTGAGGAGTGCTTCAGAAATGTCCTACAGTCATTAGGCTTTAAATGCTCATCAGTAAACACAAAACTGTGTGTGTAGTGTGGGGTGGGTGTTTTTTGTTTTTGTTGGGGAAGGTTTGCCACTTATAATACATGCATAATAAGTCCAGAGAGGTTGAAAGTCTCTGAAGTTTTATTACTTGAAGTGAGGTTTATAAGTGCATCTCAGTGGTATGAAAGCAAGGGCTTTTAACTTCAGGCTGTCCCTTATAGAATGTAGCCTGATTTGTTTTTTCTTGTTTTTCTGCTTTGTGCTGCGAGAATTCTTTGTGGAAAGATCAGTATGGTTGTAAGTACAGCAAGAACTGTACTGCACTGATTTAGGTGTGATTATGGGAGTAAGGAGTTGAGCGTGGTCCCAAACGTAACTTCCCTAGACTAATGCTTTGCAATTTTTCAGTAAGAAAATAAAAAATTCTGTATTGTCTTAAGGGATGCTGGCAAATAGGGAGTACACTTAAACACATTACTACTAAAATGAGAGGAAGGAAATGAACCAAGAACTGACAAGAAGCTATTAAAAGCAAAGACATTTTCATATTGGTTTTTGTGTTCCTAGGCATTTTGTCAGTGTTTCAATAACAACTAGGCTTTTAAAGGTTTAAACTATGCTCTATGTGTTAGTCATCCCAGCTGATTCTGTTTGTCTGAAACATTACTCCAAAATTGACAGACGATTAATCAAGAGAAGGAAGTATCCAGGAAAACAGCTGAGTATCTCGAGGAAACCCTAAATAAGTACATTGGAACAAAAATGAAAGATTTGGCTGCTAAGGTGAAGATGTTGAAAGAAATTAGGTATGTATTTGTTTTTAAAATAGTACTTTTTATTATTGCCCTGATTATCCCCTGAAAGCACACTTTTTGTTTCCAAGGTTCTTTTCTAAGAAAAATACTGTGTTGAGAGGGTAATCCCCAAAACCAAGGCTTAAACTTGAGGGTTTTTTTTTCTTTTTTTTATCACGCTGGGATTTGTGTTGCCTTTCAATTCCAGCTTTAAGGAAGATGCTCATTACTATTTAGGTTAGGTATCTTTATTGCTGGTAGAGGTATTTGGGTAGTTGAACTTAGCTCTCTCATACTAAAAGAAGGAATGAAGCTGCAGTGGGGCTGAGACTTGAAATAGAAATGACTGTCAGTGCCTTTAAGAAGGAACATAAATAATACTCCCTTACATGTTCATAACAGTTAATAAAGAAAATGTAGAGGGGTGAAATAATAGAAATTAAGAATGTAATACTGAGATATAATGGACATTCTCTTGCTACTGCCTCCTTCCTCAAAGAGGGATTTCACATCAGAGGGAGGCACACTGTTACTGCCTTGTGGTAGAAACTAGGTTAACATGATAGTTATCAAGCTCTGTATGTTGAAGGTGAGCGAATAGCACTGATTTCTAAAGTGTTTGAGTTCTGGGGAAAAATAAGTATTTTCGGGATAACAAGTCTGTTTCTTCCTTAATATTCAGGCGTGCAAAAAAGAATGCAGGTTTTGGGGAGCAGCTTTCACAAGCCATAAAAGTGGTTACAGAAGGAAATATCACTGTTCCGTCTTCCTTGGAAAAATTGCAGAAGCTTTGGTCGGAGTATGACTTGGCTCAGGAGATGATTCAGTTATGCAAAAACGTGGTACGTTTTGACAAGAGTGTTTTAGTCTTGTGAGTGTACCAGGGTATCGTGAGCACAGAAAGGAAATGCTACCCGGCAAAAGGCAGACATCAGATCTTTGTTACCTGCTGCAACTGATAAATTTATGAACTGTTATTTTTCTATTAAATGTAGACTACTTTGACACCCTTGGTATTTATGAAGACACGTCAGGATATCAGAATGCATTGACTGAAGGGCTTCTATTCTGTAATAATTAAAAACCACTTTAGCTGTGCAGCTGATGTGTCTTTAAAACCTTTCTTGAAGCAGCATGCCACTACAGTATTATGTAAGTCCCTCCCATGGGAGTGTGTAGGGAAATTGGTATGTAAATAGCAACTGTGCAGTAAGATGGGCTTGTACGATGGGGGAAAGATGCCATCTAGTGTAACTTCTCAGCTGCTACAATCAGTGAAAGCCTGCCTGAGTATGTAGAAGTGGCTGTGATGATAAATATGGCTATGTACTGCCTCTCAGTGGAAGTGCTGCTTTTGAGAACAGGAGGATTCTGTGCTCTGTGGCAGGTGATGGTATGGCGGGGCTGAGAAAGTAGCAGTGGTCTGGGAATGTGGCAGCAAACGTTGTATTCTCATATATAACCTGAAACCTTTTTAAATGTCTTTGCTGAGGAGGTATTGCAGCATTTCAGTGAATTTAATAGCTCATGAAATGGTCTAAAAAATAATAAGCCATATGGTTGAATAAAATACATTCTGTTCTTGTGCAGGGCAAGAATTAGAACATCTGTAGTATAGCTCACATTCAGTTGCTGTAGGTGAGAAGAGATTCTTTTATTTACTGAAAACTTAGTCAAATGTTTAAGATAATATGTTAGTAAACATACAGCATTTTGGGCTTGCTTTGTATAGGCTGGCAACATATAGAAGAATAGCTGCTGCTGCTACTTTTCTCTCGTCTGAGTTGCTAACCCCAGAAAGCAGCAGTCGTCCAGGAAAAGCTTCCTGAAAAGAGGTCTCAGTTTTGAAGAGTGCTTCAGGATTTTTTTTTTTTTTTTTTTTGAGTGAATTTACTTTTATATGTTAGACCATCTTGATATTGCCTTTCTTTTTAGCTGTGGATGGCTAACAATGATGTTGTCTACAGGGTGCATTGTAGTGTTGAACTGTTAAAGCAGTTGAAGTGCTATGGACAGGCTGCACTGTGTTCTTCCTGGTATGTTTGTTTTAGCACTGTGTTTTGTGTTGGCAAGGTGTGGCCTTGCAACAGCCTGAAAACCAGTTCTGTTCAGAAATGAACCCCCCGCCTTCCTTTTTGGCATTGTTCCTAATTACCTTAAACTAAGGCTTGTAAACGAATGGTGGTACAAACTCTTATGACTTCTTAAGAGCCTTCTGTGGCTTTCGAAGATTCCTGCTGTGGAAGGTTGTCAAGCCAGTGTCACTAATATTTTAAATAGGGGAAAAGGAGAAAAGACAGGAGTTCTGCTGTGTCAGGTATCCCCTAGAGTTCTTGAGAACTGCAAAGGGTTGCAACTGGGGATGTGTGCTGAAGAGTAGAGCTCCCTTGAAGAGTTAATTTAGTTTTCAAGATGAATTGCTGGAAGCAGGACATTCCAAGGCTCTTGTAGAATTTGCCTATGGATATAAGAAATGTCCAAGATGCTCACAGTAAAATGATCTGTTTGTTATTCTGCTTGATGTCCTTATTTAAATATTTAACAAATATTTTTAATAGCCAGCAACATCAGCATACTCTGTTGCACTTTGTTTCCCATTCAGTGGAAATGAGATGTGCCAGTGCATAGGAAGCCCACTGAACCCAAACAGGTGGAAGAAATGGCTGCCTATTGAGCTATAACAGATTGTTTAACTCTGTTTGCTTTGTCTGTCGACTTAGCTGCCAAAATTAGTTTTATAAAGTGAAATCTTGCTATTAGGTCAGCTAAGCAACGTGCTCTTCCTTTAACTTTCCTTTCTCCCTGTAACAAATCTGGTTTGTCAGCTCTTGAAAGTAAATGTTTTATCTTGCTTTTGGAGAAACCTCCAAAAGCTGCATCTTAAACAATATTACAGGTAAGCCCAGTAGAATTTGGATGTATAGTAAGAGATGTTTCAGTATTCATGTTCTGTAGTTTCATAGTTGATTTATGCTGACTTAACTTGGTCACTTTTGATTTGTTCTTATTTTTTAATACTTAATTTCTTTAGACTAAATATCTTCAAATGAAGGTGTGTGGTTGAATTGTTTGATCTTGATTAAGATGGTTGTGTAATGGATGTCTTGGAAACATAACAATTAGTGAACTGAGATGGTACTGAGGTATGATTTGCATAAAAACAACACAGGTTGCTCATCTGGAGTGGAAGGGCTTAAAAATGTACCTGAAAGTCATCATAGAATTGGATGTAAACTGTGTGCTCAATATGGGAAGAATATATACCGCAATAGGAAGGACATTGTTGGTTACTTAAGCAACTCTAGTGTGAAACTTTATTGAGAGAGTGGCAGCTTTACAGGTAAGGGACAGGGGTAATTAGAAGTTGCTCTGATTGCAATGTATGCTCATAGTGTAACTTTGTAATGCAAACACTGCATACTCAGACACTGTAGGCACTGTTTTATGGAGTGTTGCTTCATTTGCGTTTTGGAATTAGAAATTAGATTCAAAGTTTGCTTTATGAAGGTGGGATAAATAGAGCAGTTTAATGAGGATGCTGATTCCAGTGCTAGTTTTAACTATTTCACATCTTGCAAGTTAGTAATTTGCACTAAATAAAGCCAAAACCTGACGCCAAAAGTAGAGAGGGGCTGAAAACATGGATAGAAAGTATCCATGGAAATGCATTTTTCTCTTGCTTATGAGGTCATGGAGGTAAGAAGACATTGATGAAGTGGATGCACTATTTAATGCTGCTCTTAGAACCTTTAATAATAAAGATTGCTGTCATTGGAAACAAGTTGCTGAGCTGAACTGGTATCTGGTGTGACTGAGACTAATGGGGTGCTGGGGTTTTTGTGCCTGTTTGAGGTATGAAGTGGATAAATCACTTTTCTAGGTATAGTTTGAGAAGTTTTCAGCCTGTTAATTCCACTGTCTGCTGCTGTGGTGAGCTTAAGTCTTTGTAACGTAGGCTTTCAAAATAGTTCATGCTCTCTGAAGTTATGTAACAGGCGTTTCCTGAGGCATGCACTGTTATATGCATCCAGTGAAATGGCAGACACGGGAAGGAAGGAGACTTGGGGCTCTTGAGCCATGTATTGACTTCCTGGTCTCTTACTCTGTCCTGTGCAGACTGTTGAATTGACACTAGTGCTTGAGCTGGCATTCATTGGAGTTTGGTTGCTTGGTGGAATCTTCTGCTGTGCTTAAGTCTCTGTTGTTGCCATTTCTAAGGCAATATTTTGCAGAAATCTTGTCTTGGAAAGTGTTTTGTATGACAAGGTGTCCTTCAACATTTTTATGCAATGCTGAATATTCTTTCACAACCTAGCCTGAAAAATGATGTATACGCTTAGTTACCTGAAATGCCCAGAAAGCAAAGTGCCTTTAAAACTTTTTTTGGTTGTTTGGTGTTTTCTTATGCATGGAAGCAATACTTTAAGTTCTGCGTTAGAACTTTATTCACTGATATTTATTTTTTATTAACCAGTTCATTTATGTCTGGCTGGCTGAATTACATCTGTTCAATTGCTAATCTGGGTTTTAGGTTTTAAAACAGCATGTGATACAGTTTGTGGAGGTGAATGTAGAACATGCCCGTAGGTCTTTACAGCAGGTCTGTAAAGGTATACTTTGGTTTTTCACATTCATATGTGTTTTCATATTTCTGTTGGCACATTGTGTTAAATCATTATTGAAAGAACACTGCAAACATGTTTGAGTGTAGATTTCAACTTCCCTCACCCATTTCAAGGGATTTGATATTGATTAGCCTGTTAGGTACCTTGTCTGGTATGAACGCGGGATTCTTCTCCCAACAGCAGAGCTAACACTGCTAGTTGTCCAGAGGAAACTTTTCATTTTCTAAAAAACTACTTAGTGTTCTCTTTTATCATCTGTGTTGTGTGGCATTTGTGTGCAAGTTACTGATTTGCTTTTCTTTCTGCATAGGATGAAAGAGATGAGTTGATTATAAAAAGAAATGAGGTGCAGCAAAATTTGTATTCTGCAGTTAAAGAATTTATTTTGGAAGTGGATCAACTGTTCATCTGTGAACGCTCGAACATACTACAGGTATGGCAGGAGGTCTTATTACTGAGTATGAAACATTGAGAACCTTTAGGAACGTTTCTTAAACATTTTATGGCCATAGACCTAAGCAGCAGATGAAGCATAGGATCTCACTCATGAGTTAAGCTGTACGTTTGACACTTGTGGTTCTCAGCATTTCTTGTGATCTTGGTCTTCAGGATGTTTTGTTTCTAGAAACAAATGATTTTGATCCTGGATTTGGGTAAGAGTTTTATTTTAACATATTGTGTTTGGTGACTAATAAGAATTCACAAGGCACAGAGAACATGGAAGATGAGTACTGATAAGTACCTACAATTCAAGGAAATTATAAGTGAGAAAATAGTCTGTAGATGCAGTAGGATCTCTTGAAAATTACTAATGGAAGTACTACCAAACTGGTATTGGGGATTTTATTACTGGAAATAAATTATTTTCTTCTTTTTAACTGCAGAAATACTACTTCATTTTGACTGTGTAGGTGTTTGGACAGGGAAAAATGTTGTTAGTTTGATAGCTTGCACAAATCCCAGACACTTACTGGGAGTTGGAACTTCATGATCTTTGAGGTCCCTTTGACTCAAGCCATTCTGTGATTCTTCCACAAAAGTACGGAATTGGGTTCCTATGAAGAAGTGCCCCAATTAAAGGCAGCATGCAGATTTAAATAAGGTTGGAGAAGCATTACTAAAATAAAAGCATCCAATTTCTAAGGGAATTGCTCAATTTCGAATTGAATTATTTTATAACAGTATTTGATGGACTTATTTTTGGTTACAAGTCTGAAATGCAGGTTGGTGTCATCTTAGAAAAAAGTTTGGATGAGTATCATTTCATAACTTTCCATAATTTTGGGGCTCTGCATGGGTCCTGTTTTTTTTCAAACAGAAAAAAACTGTGATGTGGTGGTTTTGTTTTTGTTTTTTTTTTTTGTATGAATATAAAGGTTGTGTTGTGCTAATCCACTAGGTGGTAGGCATTAAACGTTCCCTGGATAATTGTACTGCAGTCAAATTGTGATAGTTTGTCTGGAAGATATTTGAAAGAATACTGAAATGCTGCAGTGTGTATTAATTGAGTTCTGTGCTTTAGCTTAACTGTGTTGATGCCCTTCTCTTTTATTAGAAGGTAGATGATGCAAGTAGTTTTTCTGAATAGAACAGGAAGGTTCAGTGAGAACTATGGCTGCTAATGCTTTAGGAAAGTATGTTTATATAAAAGATAAATGGGAAGAAATAGGACTTATTTATAAGACTCTTTTCCTTGAGGATTGTCTAGAATATGTTCAGGTGCTCTTCTGGTGTGACCGGTTCTGTTTCTGTAGGCATATCTTATTCATATAAAGCTTGTGCCACCTGGCTCACTTGGAAATGACTGTTTTAAACAATCTATTATACTGACTACATGCTATTTGCAATCAGGTTAGAATTTTATAAGATCGTATTTTATTGCCTTTTGGGAAGGCTTTTGATGAGTGACTTAAATTATGTTACACGTTGCTTTTTCAGTAGCACTGACTGAGTTTAAAGGGTCTTTGATGTTAACTGAGCTGAAAAATATCACATAAGGAGGAGAAAGAAAAGTGTTCTGCTGTTTTTTCTTTGTCTAAATGAGCAAGATGTTTTTAGGGAAGGCCTGTTATACTTCAAACTTCTCCATCTCAGAAAAGAAAAAAGTGCAACACTACGTATAAGCAAACTTTCATTAGTCCTTTCCAGAATTCTTTATTTATTTCCAGAATTTCTTTAGACATCTTATTGCAGGGAACAATGTGTATAAGTGAAATAGTCCATCTTCAGGATGGACTTTGAAAGCTGCAGAATGCCACTTATTACAAAAGCACAAGACAATTTAGTCAAATATATCATAGAATCATAGAATGGCCTGGGTTGAAAAGGACCACGATGATCATCTAGTTTCAACCCCCCTGCTATGTGCGGGGTCACCAACCAGCCTGGCCTTGAATGCCTCCAAGGATGGGGCATCCACAACCTCCTTGGGCAACCTGTTCCCATGCGTCTCTGCCCTCTGTGTCAAAAATTTCCTCCCTATATCTAACCTAAACCTCTTCTGTCTTGGTTTAAAACCATTCCCCCTTGTCCTGTCACTATCCATCCTTGTGAACAGAAGACCACGATGAAGCCTTCTCTTCTCCAAGCTAAACAAGCCCAGTTCCCTCAACCTTTCTTCATAGGAGAGGTGCTCCCAGCCCTCTGATCATCTTAGTGGCCCTCCTCTGAACCCATTCTAAGAACTCCATGAGTCAGGAACAGACATGAGTCTCACTGGCCTATAGTTTCCTTATTCCCTTTCTTAAAAATAGGAGTAATGCTTGGTCAGGTGTTCTTCAGCATGACTTTCTACTTGGATGCAAGGAAGGCTGCCTTTTGTGAAGATGTTTTCTCAAGTACTGTCTGACATAATGAGCTGCTTGTTGTTCAGGTCATTTGACTGGTCTTATTTTTAAAAGTGATTTCTGTTTTGCCATGAGCTTTAACGTTTGTGCCTTTACTGTGTACATACTACTGATCTGTTTTCCAGTACAAATCAAAAGGAGGTTTTTACTTTTGCCAGTATACATGGCATCTAGGCAGTGAAAATAACTTCAGAGGTCCTCGGGGATATCAGACACAGAAATGGTTTGGTTTCGTTGGATATGGTGATTAAAGTGTCAGAAGAACTTTGCCTACTGCCTTTTAATGGGAGATATCAGTGTCCAGAGCCACCTGTGGGACATCAGGCTGCTCACCTTGTTCCTTAGTACAAGTTCACTTTGTTTTGAGGAACATTCTAAACTGAACCTGTTTTTGCTTTTTGTCCTGATGAACATGGTGTCAAAGTCCAGTCTGTAAGTAGAAGAGCGTGGAACACTTCTGTCTTGTTATGATCTGTTTTTTGTGGTCTTTTCCTTCCATATTTTGAAGGGAGTATCAGACTCAGTAGTGTGTGATTCTTTTCTGTATTGTGTTTCCTGATAGATACCTCCAGGAAATTTGGCAGCAAAGTGGAGTATAAAAAGGACTTCATTGTAAGAGGATTTTGTGGTAGCACTATCTGCTGACATAAAACTAGTTCTTACGCTTTTTGCATTAATTTTTTTTTTAATATAATGCACTGGTAAAAAAAGTACTTTTTATGTGCTGACATGCTGTTTTTGTTTGCTTAATGCACAGGAACTGTCTGTTTCTCTGGAGATGATTTATGGTCAAGTTTGTGAATTAAATGATTCTGAAGAGGTATTTCAACAGTTCCTTACGTGGAAACATGCTAAAATAGAGGAGTTCATTGATATTAGAAATAATACAGATGCTGCTTTGCAGATTCTCACTGACTTGTTCAGTGGCATCCTAAAGGTAAAGCAAACAAGTCTTACCTTTCCTCTTCCTGAAAAAGATGAAGTATGATGCAGATAACCAAGCTTGTGTGCAGTAGTCATTAGTAGAGAGGGAGGTCGTTCTACTGTTCTTACGCACAAAGCCTTAGCTGCAGTACACGGGGAGAAGGTGTATCTTGAGCAACTCGTACCAGGCAAGGGTTTATGCTTTCATATGAAAGGACATCTTTTATGTTAAGCAAAGTGCTTTTGTGTAACTTGTGTGTGCACTATCTAATCCTTGTGTGAGTGAAATAGTTTAAAGGATTAAAGTTGCCTTTGGATAGAAACACCTCATATTTTAAATGTGGAGGTTGGCGGCCCTGCATGTAGCAGGGGAGTTGAAGCTTCATGATCCTTGAGGTCCCTTCCAGCCCAAGCTGTTCTATGATTCTATAAATATCTGTAATCCGGTGTAACGTCCATCAAAATCTAGAATGGAATTGGATCAGTGATAGATAAAGGCTTTTGTTTTTAGAGAATGAATGGCTCCTTTTCACTGTGTAACTCCAAAGTTTTTGGAAGCAATATACCATTTGAACATGACTATAAAAGTTTTTGCTTATTTAAGATTATAAAATATTTTTGTGATCTTTAGTGAAATACCCATGCTTGACAGGTAAATAAATGAGGAAGAGTTTAATGCTTCTTATTATGAAGTTGTATAATGCACATTAAATATAGAAACAAATTTTCATTGCAGTTCTTGTTGCCAATGTAATTAATAGACAAAATGTAATTAGTAGACGAAAGTAACAAAGTTTTGCCAAAAACATCCAATGCAATTATAAACTGATCTTACTGACTCAATCTAGTGTTTTCTGTATCTTTATCTCAAAGCTGTTAGTTCTGCCTTGTATGGAAATATTCAAGGTTTGCTGGTGGAAATCTTTAACTTCACGTCACTGTTTATCAGCAGTGAATTAGATCCCAAGGTGCATCTTTACCTCAAGCAGCATCTCCATTTTAAAAAAAAAAAAAAAAAAAAGCTCACTCAGCACTGAGAGTACCACACTGAGCTTTGGTACCAGCATTTTGCGTATCACTGTGTGGACAGCACTGATATTGATTTTGCATGTTAGACCCAATAGTGGGAGGATTAGGATTTGTCTACTATATTTCTTTTTTTTTTTCTCTTAATCATAGTGAGATTAGGAAAGTAAAATGTGATCAAGGCAAGAGTCAATTTTTGCTTGCTATGTTAGTTCTAGAAATTGCTGTATAGCATCAGGCAGTTAAAGGTGATATTTGACATACATTCTGATTAGATCTCCATTAGTGGTGATTTTTGTATTTTCTTGTCTGTTCTCGTAATTGAAAGCTATAAGATAAAATCAGCCTTGCTATCTTCTTGTTATTTTTTTCCCTTCTTTTGAAGTGTTTTGACCTGAGCTTAGAAGCATCGTCTGATACAGAGGAAGTTCCTGATAATGTGGATGAAGCTCTCAAAGAAGCTGAGTTGTGTGTTTGCAAAGAGCTGAAGACAGACTTAACAGTATGTTTCTTTCTTAATTTTGTTTTATTTTATTTATTGGGCCAGGGGATGGGGGAATGTGATGAAACATCACTCAGTTTGTTTTTTGGAGAGAAAAGAATGTTGTCCAGGCAACAGGCAGAGGGCAGCCTTGGGTTACAGGAACTTAGCTCTATGATTGACTTAACTAAGAAACACTGAGAAAACGAATGCTTCCCTCTGTAGAAGCAGAGAAGCATTCTTTAAGCTGCTGTGAGTTTTGGTGCTGGTGCTGAAAGTATAAGTGATAAGTAAGTATCTGTTGCATTCCTGTGTTCATGGTTAAATTCTTCCATTCACAAAATCACTATTCATCTGCTTTTTGCTTGAGACAAGTGTTCTTGCTTCATTAGGAATCTTTTGATACTTTTGTCAAAGTTTTCTCCAGTTGCTTACCTTTTCTGTTGAGTTTTTCCTCCATCTTTTGCTAACTCTCAAAAGTACTTGTGTTGTCTATATGGTAAGAGTCCCTTCTGTGCCATAGAATCATTATGGTTGGAAAAATTCACTGAGATCTAGTCCAGCTGTTGACCCATTACCAAGATGTCATTGGCCTTGGCTATCTGGACACACCGTTGGCTTATGGTGAGCCATGGTGACCTATAAGCTAACACTCCCAGATCTGTTTCCACTGTGCAGCTTTCTGATCACTCAGTCTCAAGTCTGTAGCATACTGCATGGGGTCACTGTGACCAAAGTGCAGCACGTGGCACATAGTCCCATCAGTCCAGATCCCTCTGTAGGGCCTTTCTACCCTCAGGCAGATCAGTGCTTCCTTCCTACTTGATGTTGTCTGCAAAGATACTGAGGGTGCGTTCAATCCCCTTGTTCAGATCCTCCATAAAGGTATTACACAGCATTGGCCTCAGTACTGACCTCTGAGGAGCACTGCTCACGACTGGGTTGCCAGTGGGATTTAACTCCATTCAGCACTGTTCTCTGAGCCCAGTTATCCAGTCAGTTTTTTACCCAGCGATGAGGATACTTGTGCAAGCCATGGGCTGCCAACTTCTCCAGGAAAATGATGTGGGACGCAGAGTCAAAGGCTTCACTAAAGTTTAGATGGACTACATCCATAGCTTTTCCCTCATCCACTGTATGGATCACCTGTCATAGAAGATCAGGTTTGTCAGGTAGGACCTGCCTTTTGTGAGCCTGTGCTGGCTAGATCTGATCCTCTGGTTATCCTGCATGTGCCTTGTGATCACACTTGAGACAATCTGCTCCATAACCTTCCCTGATATTGAGGTCAGACTGATAGGCCTGTAGTTCCTTATCTAGTTGTAGATTGGTCTTACATTAGAAAGTCTCCAGTCATCTGGGACCACTCTGGTTGACCAGGACTGCTGGTAAATACTCTTTTATAGAAGTCACATCAGAGTGGTCGTGTCAGCGGGCGTTGCACCTGTCCTCTAGTGTAGCATCATACCAACAGCAAACCAGCAGTAGTTTGCTTGTGCCTGCTATCTGTAACAGAACCGGTGACTGCTTTGAAATGTTGTGTGCTTTGATGCTTCATATGTATTTAATCATTTTATATTGAAGAAATTTTTTTCATAGCATGAAATGGATTCTGTATGTAGAAGCGCTGTTCAGCTTTATTTTACTGAAACTATTGGCTAACTTCTCTTTTCTGGTGTCTTTAAGATGAAAAATGTGAGTTTTTCTGTTTGCTGCAGAACTTATTATAAAGTTTTTACATATGAAATGTTAGTGCATATAAATAGTGAATGACTCTTTAATCTTTGCTTGTAATTCAATCTAGGAGCATGATGAGAAAGAGAAAGGAATAATTAAGAGTGCATACAGTAAAGTTATGCATAAAGTTCGTCAAGAGCAAAATCTGATCACAGTCATACAAAAAACATACTTGGCCAGTGTTGAGGTTAGTTCTTGACTTATTTGTGTCATGCTGACCTGCATTAGTAATGCTTCCTGACATACCTTATTAAAAAGATGTCTTTTTATCTTTTCTCTCTCTTACATGGGAATTCTAATATATGTTGGTGAGAGGTTGGTTAAGTTAAAGTTGGGGAGAGTTAGAAGAGACTTTGTTTTGTGTGAATACAGTGTTGTGCGTTTGGGTGGTTTGTGTGGCTGTGTGGTGCTGCTTTGCTAAGGCAATGGGAATTGGAATCTGTGGATTCATTGCAAATCTGTAGTATGTAACTTAAGGGAACTTACCTTAAGTAGGATGTTTTCCAGCAGGTTGTGAATATAATCAAAACTAAACACAATAAAAACCCTATTTTAATGGAGAACATTCTGAAAAGCTGAATTCAGATGGCCTTCAGACAGTTTCTCTAGTGCATTGAATTAAAGCCTATTAAAATGGAATTCTTGAATGCTTTTGTGATTTTTTAAAATTTTTTTTCCTAGTTCAAAAAACAAGCTGAGGAATGGCTGAATAGACGACCTAATTCTGACAACTTATTATCAATCAAAAAAACCGTGAAAAGTTTGAAGGCCCAGTTGAGATGGAAGTTGACTGAGAAGAACAACCTTGAGGAAGTATGAAAATCTTAGGGGTCTCTTTTTCCAAGTTTATTTAGAAATGCAAATTTTCTTCAAATGATGGTAACTAGACAGAACAAAATCTTCTTTTCGTGCTTTGAAGATGTGTTCTTCAGGTTCAGTTAGGACTAAGAAGTTGCTTGATCTGAATTCTTTTAACTGTACACAGCCATTCCTTTCAGTCCCCGGCCACACTACCATTGCTTTTAGCTAGAGCTGTATAACCTGCATTCCCTTCATGTCAAGCTAGGAACTGCATTTAGGTAGCACATAGAAATCATGGGAAATCCCTCTCCAAATGCTGCTGCTATGAAGTCTGGGCCGGCTCTGAAGGGAGCCTTTCTGGGAAGAATAGTGATTCTCTTTTAAGAGAATCTTTTGGTTTTCCTGAATGGAGGCTGAAACATAGGCTCCAGAACTGTAATATGGAAACTGCTTTTTAATCCTAATATAGTAGATTATTGTTGTTTGGTATAATAGAATGAGAATTATATACTCACTTTGTTGTCCCTAATGCAGGCTGATGATTACAGTGAGCTTGAAATTACAAGAATAAAAGAAGAAATTGCTGCTCTGCGAAATAAGCTTTTTCAGGAAATATATAAGGAACGAGAAGAATATGTAAGTATTATTTAGGCAACTAAAATAAATCTATTTGAGCCCCATCTGCTTTTCAGTTGCTTTTTTGTATATTGTGGATTAAAAAAAAAGTGGTTTTTGTAGTGTTGAATGTTAAGGTGGCTTTTTCTTGGCAAAATCTGTGGGAGAAGGAAAGGAAGCAGGTATTTGGGTGTAGTCTCTTCAGACAGTTCTCCCCCCATATTCTACTAGTCCTCCCCCTTCCCCTCCTCTCACTTAAGGCAGGTGAAGCAAGAGAAAATGAACTGCAGTTCTTGACCAAGAAAAACTGCTGGTGAGAGTGAAAGATCAGGTTTAGAAAAGAGATTATTTCTTGAAAAGGGGAAATATTTCCTTATGACTCGGCTAAAATAGGATTTATCCTCAATTGAAGGAGATCACTTTTTCACTGAGTCCTCCATCTGGAGGAAGGAGTTGAAACCATTGCCTTGCAACTTACCTCTGCAGACAAAGCATTTTTGTGTAATAGTTACCTTGCATTATAGCTATGGGGGATCTGGAGCTGATTTGAGTGCTTTGGTCTGTGTTACTATTTGATTTGTCTTCTCTGTTTAATCTGAGTGAAGTTGTGCCTTTTGTCTTGTTGAAAAAGTGTAATATTGTAGAAAAAGCAGTTCCCTTTTGTACCTTAACATTAGTGGTCTTACCCTTAGAGCTTTTGGAAATCCATCCATATTGAACCCCTGTATTACTGGGAAAGGTGAAGTTTTTATTTTTGGTAGAGAAAAGAAGTAGTGGTGTTACTTTGAGCGGTGCTGCGTGTATGCAGGATGTTACAAGGTACATACTTTTCAAATGTCAACATCTGTGATGTCAGAAGCTAGTGACCTAAAGCTGCCTTGTTTCCTTCAGGAGAAACTTGCATATTTAGTACAGAAATGGTTCCCTGAGCTGCCCCTTCTGTATCCAGAAGCAGGAATTCTAACCTACATGGTAAGCATAGATTGTTTGATCACCCTGACAGTTATTGTTTGGGGCACTACTATGGCTTTTCATTCCTTCCTGCCCATCCTCCTAGGAGATGTTCAGTATTTTCATAACTGCTTTGCAAATGCCATTTTGTCTGCAGCTAGACTCTTGCTAACACATGCTATAATTTTAACAAGTCCCCACTGCATTTGTGCTTTGCTAAGCTCTTTGAGAAAGAGGAGAGATGGTCAAAGCCTGTGAACCTTACCAACTGTTAAAGCTATGCTCTTACACTGGCTCTGTGTGTGTACATGTGCTTCAGAATTCAGGTGGGCTTCTATCGCACAGCCTGGAGCGAGACCTTTTAGATGCTGAGCCCATGAAGAAACTGAGCACAAAGCGGCCATTAGTGTGTTCAGAAATTCAGGATCAGAAGGTTCTTCTAAAGGTAACGTTTGTCCAGATTTTCAGGTACCACTGCAGGTAAGACCTTAGCTATGAATGTGCTGATTCTGAATTAATTCTGCTGTCTCTTTTCAGTTCCTGAATTCAAAAACCCTTTTCTGCTAGCACATAGCACTAGCCTGTAGAACATGCAATATTGTTCTCCCTCTGGATTGTTTCCCTGTTGCCTACTGATTTTTTTTTTTTCCTCTCCATTTGAGGGCAGCTGTAGTAAATAGTGCTTCTCTTCTGCTGTCTGTTCCTTCTGATATTTGATGGGCCTTTTAGCTTGTTCATTCTTCTTGTGTTTTTTCTTTTGTAAATGCAGGTTTGTCTTCCAGACGATTTCACCATGAAACTCCGGAACTGCATTTTCCTTTGCTTTACTTTTTTTCCAAAGTGCTAGCAATTAAAAATCCAAGGGATATAGTATTATGGGAGGCATTGTTATAAAAAAAAAATTGTTTTGGACTTAATGTAAAATTAATATTAAATGGGAGGCTTGCTCCCTGTTTCACTGGTACAGACTTCAAGTGTTGATAAATGGGCATAAGACACTTGGAAATTAGTTTTTTTATAAAAAGAAAGGAAAGTTATTAGAATGTAACAGTATGCCTTTCTTTAACTATAAGTGTCCTGTGGTGATGTTGCAAGTGTCCTGTGGTGATGTTGCAGGCATCAGAAATAGGAGCTTGGGTATTTGTCTTGTTTTTCAGGGATATTCTGTAGATGTGAGCTCAGAAGCCAAAGTGATAGAGAGAGTTGCCAAGTATCACAGAGCCTGGGATCAGCAGAAGGAGAAATCCAGTTTATTACAACTGTTGTTTCTTCTTTTCTGCAAGGCAAGATTCAAACTTGGTGGTTTTTTGTTTAAGCTGAAAGACTTTCAAGTTGTACTTTGAGGTTTTGACATATTTAAAGTTGGGTCATTAAATTAATTTCTTTTTTACTTTCTGATCTTACTTTGTGTTTACTAAGAAAATAGTTTAGATAATCAATTGATTCATCATATACCTAGTGCATGTGAAACTTTCCAGTATTCCTGACATTTGAAATAATATCTTTTTCTTGTTGAAGTCTGATCCTCTGGTGTATTTAATGGTCCCATACTACCCTGGAGCAAGTCTGACTGTTGTACAGGCTGATGCACCTTTAACTTTAGAAGTAAGTACAACTACTTGAACTATCAGTGTTTTCCTTTTTACGCTTTTGGACCCTGCTTTTACTGTTTTGCTGCTGCTGAAGGAGTTTCAACAGTAGTCTCCATTAGGTGGCTGAATTTTGAATGTAGAGATGCACAGAATAGGTTGATTAGCATTTTGTCAAGCTGTAATTTTCCGTAAGATTTGGCTTGGATTCACTGTTTTGTTGAAATCCCTGCCTCAGCTGTCTTACTAGTACGTTTAAAGACTGGAGTGAGCATGTCAAATTTATTAGTGTGGACATTCTTGTGTTGGAGTTTAGAGAACTTGCTGGGTGGGGAGGAGATTGCTCTTTGGGAGCCTCGGTGTCTTTTTCTCCCCCTTTTTCCTTTCTATGCACAATTCATTGGGAGTTTGGCTGCCAGCCCTTCTCAAAGAAGTGGTAGCCAGAAGCCAGTACAAATTTTTTCCTTAGTTCTGTTTGACGGCTTAAAGCTCCTGGTTGCTAACTTGGAGGCACTTATAAAGGTGCATTTCTCAAAGCATGTTGCATGGATTTTTTTGAATTTTATTGTTAGCTTAATTTTCTGTTTCATACTATTGATTTGTTAATCAGTGACTGCAATTTGTTTTTGACTGACTGCAGGATATCGCAATCACACTGGGAATTAATCTATACTTTGTAAAACAATTATCAGAAACTTTGTGTATAAATCTTAAATCAATAAAATCTGTCTTAGTTTTGGAAGAGAACAGTTTTGCTTTGTTTCTCCTGTATCTATCTTTTTAATAAGCACCTGAATTAAATCACTAGGAGACATTAAAAGTGATGAAAGGAGTGGCACAAGGTCTGCAAACGTTGCATGGAGCTAATATAGTACATGGATCTCTGCATGGAAATAATGTTTTTGCTGTGAATCGAAAACAAGGAATTGTTGGAGACTTTGACTTCACTAAATCGGAGGTAAAATAAAACAAATAAAACCCAAACTTGCAGTGATTTTTTTTTAAGTCAATTATGTATCAAAAATGAAGTGCATCTGCAGTTTGTAAGATACATTTGTCATTTGAGAAGTGTCACAGTTTGTATTATCACCTTTATGACCTTTGATAGTTCTAGTGTGGGGTGAAATCTGGCAGTGCTATTCTTCTATTGCAGTTAGAGATGATAGGTGTGTGACTTTATCTCCTTTCTACTTTACGCACAGTTTTTTCTGTCAGTAAAAGAGGATTTTAAGGTTCTTTTGAAGTCAGCATAGAATGTTGTGATTAAAGTTGGCTGACCTGTTTGAAGGGAGAGGGTGATGCCTGTGCTGCAACATACTGTTGGTCTCACTTGAAATTCTGAGTACAGCTTTTTCCCCGCAGGAGCAACGTGCTGCTGCAGACACAATGGTTATTGGTACCCTGAGCTTGGTTTCTCCTGAACTGAAGATGGGACAGCCAGCTTCTCCAGCCTCTGACATGTATGCCTATGGCTGCCTTCTGTTCTGGGTATGTTATGGCTTATGAGAGAGTTTCTCTGGTTTATGTTATGGTTTATGAGAGAGTAATATTACTGTAGCACATGTTATGGGTAGCAATAAATGAATAAATGTTATTTTCTACTTCAAAATATTTTGGAGAAATAAGCATTCATATGGTAGGATGGCTCTCTGGACAACCTGATCTAGTACTTGATCTAACAGTTGACTACATCTGTGGCAGGAGGGTTGGAACTTGATGATTCTCGAGGTCTCTTCCAACCCAAGCTATGATGATTCTTTGGTATTTTTAAACTAGGTGGTAGGTCTGTAACAGATGGGAGTTAAGATTGAGCAGAAAGCAGTTTTTTTTCTGTTAGGTGTGCAGTTAATCTATGTAGAGTGTAGTAAAATGACCAAGAACTGTTACTGTTCCTCATGCTGTGGATTGTTGGCTCTTAATAATTCACTCATTGTGAGCCTTTTTTCCTTCTTTTCTTTCACTATTGCCCATGAGGAATTGCATACATCTTCCCTGTTGTTTGATTTGGGTAAGAACAGGACTTTCAAATGGATGTTTTGTTTCTTGTGTGATGTGTCAGAGAGAAGAAAGCAATCTGCTTTCCTGTGTTAGGTTGTATGTTACACAGCATCTCCTCTTCCTCGTCCTTTTTTGCTCCTGGTATTGCATCAGTCCATCAGTGTCATGTGTTCCAAAGACTTCAGACCTCGTAGGCTTTAAAAACCGTGAGCCACCCAGCAGTTATTGATGTTCTCATGCAGTGACTTTTCACAAGCACTTGGTACATTGGGGCTAGTTCACCGAGTCCCTCTTGGCGGGCCTGGTACATCATTTCATCTTCTTGGGAAATGTGGGCAGTTCAATCAGCTGTGCAATGTAGCTTTGTTAATCCCTTCTGTGTCACAGGATCTGGAGATGCTTTGTAACAGGGACATAAACTGTACGTTAATTTTTATCCTCTACCAGTTACCTCTGCTGAGAAGATGAATCTTGTTCATATGAAAGTCATAACGTTTTGTTTTCCTCCCAGTTTAGTCAGCAGTTGCTTAAAATTAAGTAACTTCTATGGAAGTAGATAAACTAAAGTATAGCTTAATATTGTAATGGTTGTAACTTATTAATATGTTATGGTTTGGTTGGAATGTTTTCAGTACCACTCAGATCTTCATCTGCTTTGAAAAAAAATTTATTAAAAGTTAAATTCCTGGCGAGTAAAAAAAGTGTGTGTGAAATAAATGGAGAAAATGAAGCCACCGTAACAAATGGCTGGCTCTACTCAAAGAGAATATCTGCAGTCTTTTGAAACCCTATACAAGCTCTCCAGGTGAATTTCAAAGTAATTCATGTATATTTAACTAACCTGTAGCTCAGTCTTGTTGTATTGATCGTTTGAAAATATTTAGCTTGTTGACTCAGCAGTTACAAGTTTAATGACAGGTGTCTGAAATTGTGTTCTTCTGAACAGTCCTGCCACCTGTAAAATTGAGACAATGGTTTTGTGAGTTCTTGAAGGCTCTTGTGTCACAAGAGCCCAGCACTGACTAAAGAGATGTTTCTTTGTCCTGCCTTTGTACAGAACAAAGGCATTCGCAGCAGGATTTTGAAAAAAGGCTAATTATAGGTATAGTTCTGGGCAATAGTAAAGGGCTGGGGAAATTTCACTTTATTTGTGGGTGTAGGATTCACATCTGTCTGTTAGAGCACACTCTAAGAGGTGTTGTGGGGTATGGAATTAAATGTACAGCTTAGGCGTGGACTTTTGAGTCATATTTCAGAGTCCATTTTCTTTAGACATCTGGTAGTTGATTTTCTAATACTGTATTTTTATATGGGCCTTGTTTCTGTGCAAGGGCACCCTGAGGCCCCTGTGTATTTTTCCCTATTGTGAAAATACAAGTAAGTCTTCTCTCACCTATTTTCCACAGTAATCATTTTCACTTGAAACATGGAATCTTCCTGACTGATACTTGTTTAAACTAAAGGAGAAAACGGTGTTACGTATTAGGTATCTTTTAATTTACAGCTTTGCATTCAAAACCAGGAATTTGGCATAAAAGAAGATGGAACACCTGAGGTGGATGCAGTTGGCATGGTATGTGTATTGTCTGAGGCAGATTAGACCGGTCTTATTTAGAGATATCAATTCATAATATTTTTTTGAAAGTAAAAAAAAATTGTAAGTACTGGGTTGAAAAAGTGTTCTGACTTGAATATTCTAGATAGCATGCATAAATAAATTATACTTGAGGAAGAGGAAAACTCCAGAATTTTCTTAATTATTAAATTAACTTCAGAAGAACAACAACTTTGCACATAACTTGGTATCCCCCAATTAAAGACTTGGAGATAAATAATTGAAAGTTGTGCCTCAGAGATGATAATTGAGCTAGGAACCTGTCTTCTCTCAGGTCAAGGAGGTTGACTTTGCTCATCTGTCTTTTACTTAGTAATTGCAGAATTCATGAGCATTAATAACATGGCCAGCTTCCATTTTAGTCACTTAATTGCAATTGTAAAGTAGTAGCATACTCTTTATCTTTTGCCTGTTTTCTCTTTTTGTGTGTGTGAAATGTAAGCTTTCCCCTGCCTCTGAAACAAATCCAGAGACATAAGACAACCCTGCATGATATGAACTTCTGTTAATGCTTTCACTCTCTTCTGTCAGCCATTGTACTGTGCCAGCCTTAGCATCAGCAACTGTTGACTCCTTGAACTGTATTTTCAGTCTGTATTTTGAGACTTAGTGTTACCCACTGTCTTGATTTTGAAATTAATTCTTTGCTTATAATAGGAAATATCTCTTGGATGTTAATCTTAGTTAGGTGTTTTTATGGCCTTCTCTAGATCTTTATTAATGTGACTACTTCTTTTTCCTTGGGTTTATTCTCTAGTGTGACTCTTTCCCATAAGCTTTCTGTCTTCTTGCCGGGACTTAAGACCTTTTCTTTTGCCTACTTTTAACTTCTCCCTTTGCTGCAGATGCTGCCTTTTTCTTTTCATGTCTTAATTATTCCATTAATTCATGTCTTAGTTATTCCATCTTTTATGCCACCATACATAGTTTAAAGAAATTCCCTGGGAAATTAATGGACCTTTTTTCAAATCATTTTCCTCAAACCTGTGCTAGGTCTTGTTCTCTTCTAGTTAGTGACTGCTTTGCTCTTATCCTTTGCCTCTCCCAGCTCCCTCAATGGGTGACTCTTCTATTTTTTTATATCACTGGAGATCATGCTTTTTCTGTTGATTTTACTGCATGTGTTAACTTACTGCTTTGCTTTTAAGACTTGAGAAGGCTGTGAGACTCTTTAAATCATGCCTTACTATTACAAAAACCCTGCAAGCTGTTTAGTTTTTAAGTATTATGTAGTAGGCCAAGTTCCCTTAGGAATATAGGGAGGAGCTAGAGGTAGTCTTCTCGTTACCCAGAGAAGCAGAAAAATACTTTAAATGGAAAAGTGGAGAATGAAACAGCAGAGGTGCTGGTGGTCGGTAAGTTTTGGTTGTTTAGCAAGGGAAAACAAAACTGATAATAAATCACTCTCTTAATTGGTTACGCTTCTGTATCAATGATATGAATGCTTTGCAGAGATGTCTTAGATAACACAGGACAAAGATTGGTCTAGATTTACTAAAGTTCTGTTTGTTCTCAGCTCAGCTGTTTACTGTGTTTAAGTTAAGAAACTGTATCAGGCAGTCCTAGACTAACATAGCTGCTGTGCTTCCAGTGCTGCCAGTGTGTTATCACTGCATAGCCAAGTACTGTAAATAACTTTATTAGATTGCTTATCTCCTCTACTGTATCTTTTTAATAATATTCAGCCATGTTCTCCAGTGATGAAGTTGCTGCTGCTAAAGCACAGGACTGTCTACCAACTCCCTTTGCAAAATTAATTCAGGTGTGACAGCATCATGAAAAATGAATTAAAAATGTAACATTTGAGCACTAAGGTGATCCTGTAAATAGTATTTCTTATTTCTCATTATTGGTTCTATGTTCTTAATTAAAGATTTAAATGAATCTCGTGAAATGTATGGTATTATAGGAAAGAAGATTCAGTATTTCATGAATTGCCATTAGTGCTAACTGTAGGATTTAAACTTTATTCCATAAAACTTGTACAGAACTGCCTGGTCAGTGCATCATTTAGGGTTATGTGTAATCCTTAGATACTTGAAAAAAAGAAAATTTTCATAAGGGAAACTTGTTTAAGGAAATAGAAGAGTTTCAACTGACATAAAAATAGGAAATGATTCACTTTTGTTTTCCATAAGATTCCTGCATATGAGAGAGCCAGTTTCAGTTTATCTTACTTTTTTTCTTCTTCTCTAGTAGGTATATTCTGAAATCCTAACAACTGCTTTTATCTAAAGGATTAATATTCTTCTTTGTCATTTTTAGATTGCTTTATTTTTTCACTGATAACTTTTTTTAACCTTGATGGGTGATACAATCATAATACATCATTGTTAATTTTGAAGTGTTCATTCTAGATATCTGTTGATGCATGTGCTCCAACTACCAGAGTTTGTTGCAAAAACTATATGTGTTTCCTACAATCCATCCATGAGGGTTTACTAAAAACTGCAATACTAATAAATATATTCCAACTGTTTCTTGAAAATCTTAGACCTCTGGCTGTTAATACTTGCCCCAGTTCTTGGGGAAAATGTATGTTGTTTTTAAGGACCTTATCTATAATCACCTTATTCAGAATTAATCTCTCTGTCCATCTGCAAGCTCTTGACAGGATGGTAATTTCTCTTCCATCTCAGTCTTGTGCCTAGAGGAACTGTACATTTGCATCTAGTAAAATATTTATTCTTTTCCAGAAATGTAAAATCGATGCAGGAAGGTAGCATTAAACTTCAAAAAGGGGATATTAATTTTAGGTAGCTGCTGAGGAGAAGTTGTGATTAGAGACAGCATTTTGTATCTAACCATTTGGTCATGCTCAGCTTCAGTGTTTGATGTACGTCAGCGTTTAGCTTTGTAAATTTATAAGATGATGTAAACGAGACTGAGTAAATGCAATGAAATGTTTTCCTACAGCAGTATTACCTTGGGGGATCAGTTTTCAGTTGCTGTAGTATGAGAAACTGATGAGAAGGGGGGAACTTGATGAACACTTGATATTTTCGTGGAATAGAAATATATAAGCGCAAAGCTTTTCAAGCTCCATAAATTCTTGGACTTTCTTCATTTTTAATTCTACTGAGAAAGTGTATTGGCATGGTTTACCCCCGTATTGTAGTGCATGAGATATTTGAATGCTTTTGTTTAGAGGTTCTCTTTCAAGCACTCCTAATGTCTTGTAAGCATTTTAAAAATCCCTTATATCTGTAAGATCAACAGTTTTCAGATCTCATATTTTCACCCAGATTTCCAGTTTTCTCAGGAGAGGTTAATTTTCTTGAGCCATTTGGCTAGTCAGTGGGAGTTGGAAATTGTCTGCTTCTTCTGTCTTCAGGCTTTTGGCAACTTGTGTGTATTCCTTTCCATCACAGATCCTCTTTTGCCTGAATGAAGTTTAGGTGTACAGGTATCTTGTGCTATGCTGTTTTATTGAGCCAGGTTAGTGGTAATGCTGGTTTGCAGAGGCTACAGACAATCAAGTGCTCTTGTGGAAAGATTCTTTTTATGCTCTGTTTTGGTAATATGTCTTTAGGTGAACGCTTGAATGTTCCTTGCAGCTCCCTTATCTGAATCCAGTTCATGCCCTTCCTTAACAACTGATGTTTGTGTGTGTATAGCAGTTCTGTTCTAGTATTTTAAGTAAGCAGACTATCACTGTTGATAGTCTGTTCCAAGCATTTACTATGTAATCCTTCTGAAAAATCCAAAAAGCTGAAGTGTAAGTTTGTGGTTGAATAGCAAAACAACTGCTGTTGATTTATAGCCCAACTTTGGTTACTGTATAAAGTGATAGGACAGTTGGAAGTTGATATTGTAGGGGGTCACTAGCATCAGCTCTGTTCCTTTCCAGTAAAAAAGGCAGACTCTGGAATTTCTCTAATCTATAGTAGTTCATGTAATTGTTTTAAAACAAATGTTTTGCTCTTCTTTGAAATCTGCTAGCTCAAAGTTTGCCAACCTGATGTGGAGAACTTGCTTTTATTGTGCAATTATGAGACCTGTTCATCAAATACTTGGTTGTTATTTGGAATCATGTTTGTTCTGCTTGCTGATGAAATTCTTCTCCCTCTGTTTGTAGGATGATAAAGTTAAATCTCTTATCCTGAATTTGTTCCGCTGTGACAGACTGACAGCTGAGCAGGTGCTGAGGGATGATTGCTTCCTCTTAGTTGATGCCATTCCAGTTCCTTCACAGCTAGGTGAAGAGCATGAGCTGCCTGAGGAACATGATTCTGAGAAGACAGATGAAGAAGATGCAGTTAACTCCAAGAAGAATGCAGTAAACCCTACCCAATAGACAAGGAACTTGTCCATGAGGTGTCTGACACTTGTTTTTTGTTTCATTTTGAGATAAGTTGTCCTGATTTAAAATCTCAAAATATAAAAGGTTTGGTAGGCACGGTCATGTTTTGTGAGGTTTATATAATCTCTGTTTTCTTTTAAGTACATAGTCTAAGAGCTCAGAAATGTGATTTTTCCTTAATTTGTTACCCTTTTCTTTGCCTGTTATGTAGGCTTTGCACTTATGAAGTATAGTTTGTTAATGCCAGAAGTATTTAAGATTGAGGTCTAGTGACTTTTGTATCCAGTTTTCTATCCCTCTTCTTGCTGCAGTTCCAGAAAACATGTTCCTGCTAGAGATACTCTAGGGTGTTACCTTTTCAGTTAAGTTTTTTGTTACTGCAGTCAAAGTATTTCCTACTGTAACTGTCCTCAGGATTTAAGAAGAAAAAAACAACAGCTTCCACAACTGGTCAGGAAGATAGGAAGCAAGCTGCCTCTTTTCTCTTTCTGCACTAAAAGATTTCTAAATAGCAAACATTGTTTCAGTTGCTCTTTCACAGTGTTGCTGTGCTAAGTGGAATACTGTCACACATGTTGCAGTAATCACTGCTTATCTGCTCCACTGTGTATATCGTCTGTTCTTAGGTATTGTTGACTGTAGTTTGGCATTTTGAGCATGTTTTCTTGCCTGCAGTGCTTTTCTGTTAGCATTGAAAGAGTTTTGTTAGCTCTTTATTTTAATAGGAAACTGTTGCTTATCTATAGTTCTCCTCCTTTCTTGGGAGGGAGAAAGGTTAATGTTCAGAGTTTCTGTAGCAATGTATTTAGCCTCTGGGTGTTGCTCTTGGACAGTGCTGTTGGCAGACTAGTATTTTGCAGAGGAATTATTGAAGATGCGTGTTGTCAGATGAAGAATGTAAAAAATTGGTGTGTAATGGGCGAGATGCAGCAGCAGGGAAACCAGGAAGCCCTCAGGTACAATAATAGTCAACAGCAGAATATATCATTCTGGCAGTTCCTTCTGTGATAACAGGCTGGCTTGCCTGTGCCACTGTTCTTTACTCAAAGTAGCATGTAAAATGCCCAGTCCTATTTTCATTGAATTGTAATGATTTTTTATTTCTAGTGTGTATGTAATGAATGTTATTAAAATACTTGTTAAAATAATTTGGACTTCTTGGTTAGTGTGATTAATGTATTTCTGTTACTGAAATCACGGAAGACTAATTCCTTCCTTTTTGTTGGTGAAAACAACAACTGTAAGCAGTTCTATGGGATGCTTTCCAAATGCTGACTGAAGCCTTTTGCTGTTGATAAACTCTAACTTTAATATTAAACACTGAACACAGTTTGTAACTCTTACTTGATGTTCTGTCATTTAATAAACTTTTGCCCTGTTTTCTGCACCTGCTTTCTCTGCGCAACCTAAACTGTACTTAAATCCCCCAATTTCTAACTTCCTTTGTTTTTTGACACCGGAATCTCTGTTTATACTTGATTCAAAAACTGTGGTCGTTTCAGAATCTTTCCTCCAGCTGTAAGCAATCTGATTTTTACATGTGGAACCTAACATGAGAGATCAGATTATTTATAAAATCTGCAAGTAAGCCTTTGAAGACTTCTGGTATGTACAAGCATCAGGGTATGGGACAGCTTTTCTATTCAAATTAAGTGTAGATTTGTGGTGACATTTGTTCAGTGTCACTAGTTTTGTTTATTTCTGCTTTGACCTTTTCTGTAATGTAACACTGGCTTTCTTTTCCTTTCTTGTTTCTTAGAGGCCTTAAAGCATTTTGGTGCAGGGTCATGTTGCAGAATTATCCTGCCAAAGTTGCATGCTAATCATTGTAGTGGACTGCCTACTGTTTAGTTTAAGGCACTATTTTTTTTTTTAAACAGCATCTCTTTTGTCTGGAAGATGGGACAATGAAATGATAGTTGCTGTCGATTTGGTGTTTCTACTAAGTAGCTAAGAAGCTCAAGCTGAACTTCCCTCACTCTTCCTTGTTACCAGCGTTTTGCAGATTTAAGCAGGATCCTCATTCAGACCAACAGGCTATGTATTGCTTCATTTCAGTACACCACAGCAAATCCCCTTACTTCTAAGACATTCATATCCTATGGCCTTTAATAGTGAATCTGTTGTTCCAATTTGCAGTACTGACTTTTTTTTTTAAACTGAGAGCTATAATCTTTTAATCAGTGTTTTCTCTGCTCTCCTGCCTTTCATGTGTCTGTATCAGTCAGCTTTTCCACTAGACATCATATCTAAGTTAGCTACCACAGTCACCTTCTAATCTGCAGATCTAGTGAGAGCCATACAAGAGGATATGCTTTCTTTAGGCATGTACAAGTAGCCCCATGCTGTGGCTTACCCAGCTGATCTTGCAGACCTTACATAGGGCTGATTCTCTTACTGAAGAGGACCTTTTTCAGAAGGTTTGGAGAAAGCAAAGGCTTTTATCTGTGTTGTTTGGGTGGAGTGTAGGAATAAGCATCTGGTCATTTCTTGAGACTCCTGCTGTTCTGTTCACTGCCTCCTAAACTGCATGCTCTTCCCAACATCCGTAGTAACTTCACATCTTCCATGTAATTTGCTGGTCACTCTACTAGCATTTGACATTTCTGCCTGCATAGTTTTTAGAAGTTTGTTTCTTGTATTACAGAACAGTTATCTGCAAGTAGAGTCCTTATTCACTGGTGTTTTAACAGGTTTTCTCCTGATGATGATAGCTGAAAGTATGTATAGCCTGTATGTTACTTTGCCTCAAAGACTTCCCCTAAATGAGGTAAAAATTTCTTTTATCTGCAGTCACTTCATTTCCCCAGCTTGAAAGGGAATATGTCAAGATCATGCCATGTAGATGCATCTTCAGAAGGAACACATTCAATCTTTTTGTTTTGTCTGGTGTCTGTGTTACTGCTGTAAAAACTAGTCACTAGTAGATGGAGAGAAATGCTATTTGCTTTGCCATGAGAAGAAGTGAAGTTCATTTGCATTTGTTGTACTTCTGTGTTGGTAGTAGCTAGCTAACTGCTGCAGCTGAAGAACCTTCCACTGCTGAGCAGAGCTGGGAAAGCTTGCCAAAACTTGCTGACACATTTCTTCATTTGTGGACGTAGTGGAAATGCTGAGTCACAGCTTGAATCAGTGATTGAGCACCTGGTGGGAAGGCAGGGCCAAACCAGGGGAGCTCAGCTGCAAGCAATGCACCTGAGTGACCAGAAGGGTTGGACTTAAGATCCACCCCTTCCCGAACCTCATTTAAGGGTTGGTAGTGGAGGCAAGGGTGTCTCAGCTGGAGATTCCTGTCTATGTGAGGACCTTACAGGCCTTCTGTAGGTAAGCAGCTTCTTTCCCTTATTTTTTGTGCCTGCTGTTGTTGTGTCTAAGTGGATCCTCACTTGTTATGGTCTGGGATTTTGCTGCTCACTGTCTTGTTGCACTTTCAGTTGCATTACAGTGGAATTCTAGCTTTTCAGTTTTTCTGTAATCCTTCTGACTGGTAGTGTGGTCAAACAGACAGATCTGTTATGTTATGTCTCCTGTTGATGGATGGACCAGAAGTGGTATGGTGAGTTTTTTTGGTATTTGAAGTGTGGTATTAAAAGCCTTTTAATCTGGGCCCTCTCTGGCTTCTTTATGATTTCCTTCTCTAACTCAGTTGCTTGATGTTTCAGCAAAGTCAACAGGTGTGCCTGTGCACCTGGCATAATGATGTAGGATAATGATGGTTTTGATGCTTCTGGAAAGGGAGTTTTTGAAGTAAAAGGTGATTTGTCTGTAAGCTGTGGGGCTTTGAGATGCAAGATATTAGTTTTGCAAAACATTTTGCCCTTAACCAACTGTGAGTTGGTTTGTTTTCCTAAGTGTAGTCTGGGGTACTTAACAGGTACATGTTGTGGCCTTTCGGGCAGTATAAGGCTGCATGTAGTTAGCTCCAGTGGCTGAGGAAATGCTTACGGTTGCCTCTCCATTGCTTACTGAATCTTTTGCATGTTTCTGTGCCTTGTCTTTCTAGTCTCTTGAGATCTTTTCTTCTGTTCCTTGATTTCAGCCTCATATTCTGGTTTCTCTGTTCCTCTGGTCTGTGAAGGTGTTAGCAGAACCTGAAAAATCTGTGAAATGGAAATTTCTTAATAGTGTTGATACTGTACTCTGGTTATTCCTCACCAAGGCACAAGTAGACTAGATGTGTGGGCAACTCCTGAAGAAGAATGTAAGTGTTAATGCATCTGCTAGAAAGTCTTTTGAATGTCTCAAGGTTTGGTAGAAGAATTTGAAGTGATACTTAAACTGCTTCAAATGTTTTTGCTGTGTTTATGTGAACCATAGTAAACTGCAGACTGCCACGTGCTGTGCAAGGCCTACTGGCTGAAAGACTGTACAAACATTTAATTGTAAGTGTGTATGGCCAGGAGAATTCCTTTGGAGAAGATGGATTGAAGTTACTTTGGTCCAGTTTCTGAGATGAAAGCTGGATGAATACTCAAAAATAAACGTATGCCAAAATTGATATCAGAAATGCGTGTGAAGACTGCTGGAGTTGGAATTGTTTTTATTTGAGGGCATCTTTTTTCTGTTAGAATAGTTTAAAACTGAAGTCCACTCTTGTGAAATACAGGTTTATTCCATCACAATTTTTTCTTCTAATTATAAAATAAAATGTTAAAACAATGATTTCACAAAAGCAATGCATGCTAGTTTTTGAAGGCTGGTTGTTGCCAGCGTTCATGTTATGGGTATGTGGTTATTATAAACTCATTAGTCAGATTTCTACCTGAATTTTTTTATCCTCTCTCCTTGCCAGCAAGAGGTGGAGCTATTGTTCAAGTCTTCTTCTGGCTGCCTCTCTTTATGTAGGACAAGTGTTTTGTTTTTCCCTTACCCCTTTGTCTGTGGGTGCCTTTTTTATTTTTAAAACTTGGTCTAAGGATTGGCTGCTATGTCTACATACTTTCTATGTACCTTTGCGTAATCTTTTGATGAAATGATAGATTACTGGAACATTGAATTTTGCAGCACTTGCATATACTTCAAGTTATACCTCTCTGTTTTCTTCTTTCCAGCAGATCTTGTGATACTGTTCTGTAGAGTTAATCCTGGGTTGAGAAACACCGGGTTATTAGTTACCTTCCTTCTGCTTAGCAAGGAAAGTGTAAACTATGATGCCTCATGCCCTGTTGTGATATATGTAATTCTAATAGCATGATTTCCATAGTCTCAAAGCAAATACCCTTCCTGTGTTTTTGTTCTCCACTCTAGCACCCACAATCTGCTGACTTTCAGAATGTTTGAGCTCCTACAAACTGATGTTCATCCTTTTAAGGCAAGCATACTCCTTCCTTTTGCAGTGTGTCAGGTAATGCTCAGAGGAACACTGCTACTTCATCTTGGTTGTATGGGATCTGTTGATCGTGGCCTGAACCTCTGATGGACCACCTGAGGCAAGCAATGAATCAGCTGCGGGAGCACAGGTGAAGCTAATTCACCTGTGTTACCAGAAGGGATGGAGCTTGATTCTACCTCTCCTAGGCAGCATTTATGTGCTGTCTGCCACCAAGGAAGGATCTCTTTCTGGAGATCGCTCCTCATGGAGTTTATTGCAAGCCTACAACATCGGTGAGCTTTTTTCATTTATTATCTTTCCACTGCAACAATTCTACTTAGCCTAACTTCTGCACACTTATTGAGTGTACACCTATTGATTGTACACTGGTCAAACAGGTTGTGCTTCTGTTCGGGCATTTTTTCCACGTGTATTTTGAGCCTTCTATTGCTGGCACTCTGTGCTGTGCCTCACTACTCAGGAACTGCTCAAATGGACCTGCAATCTCTGGCAGTCTCTGTTGGCAGTCTCTATATTTCACTTCCCTTTTCCTGTGGCTGCTTTCTCTGGTCTTTAAAATTCCTGTATTACACTAGAGAATCTCATTCCTTGATGATTTCACACTTGATTTTTTTTTTTAGCAACTTCTCAGTATCAGTAAACTTTTAAGTGAGGACTAGGAGAGGAGTAAGCCTCACCTGTTCTTATATACAGCCGACACGTAGTTCTTGAATTACAACCCTTTGTTCTAGATGGTTTCACACTGAACATAAAATCTTTTTTTTTGTCTAAATTGATCTGTGAAACTCCCCTCTGTTAAGGACACGTGATCAGTATGTTCCTGGAGACCTCTCCTCTTCTGATACTAGAGAGCATGAAGAGCTGGGGCTTGTTTGTGCAAGGTCAGCCACCTATACCTGCTAATGTGGAATGCTCAATAAGTGAGTATGTGTGGGATGTGTAGGCAAAGCAGGAGCCAATTTTCAACACATGGTATGAAATGAATATTACAGAGTTGTTACTGATAGATGACAACATGTTTACATTAATGACCTTTTCCTAATACTCCCCTGAAGTACTGTGTTAAACAGAGCATTTGCTGTATTACTGCCTCATACATCTG